AACATTGAGGCCCAGCGAGGTGCGGTCCACCATGCGAGACGTCTCACAAGTACGTGTATGATTTATTACACTCGGTCAATGCAAGTGCGGTCCCCAATGGGAGCCGTGGCATCATGCAGGCAAATATCATCACGGATGACATATATGCGGTCCCCAACGGGTGCTGTCCGATATGTACATGTATGATTTAGTACACTCGGTCAATGCAAGTGCGGTCCCCAATGGGAGCCGTGACATCACCCAGGCAAATATCATCACGGATGACATGTATGCGGTCCCCAACGGGAGCCGTACCATAGGCTGAGGCATATCATCAACTACCCAACCACCTATCCCAGAGGTCCGGTCCCCAATGGGAGCCGTGGCATCATGCAGGCAAATATCATCACGGATGACATATATGCGGTCCCCAACAGGAGCCGTACCATAGGCTGAGGCATATCATCAACTACCCAACCACCTATCCCAGAGGTCCGGTCCTCAGCCGGAGCCGTTGGATCATTACTAGTTCAATTATACTAACAACAACACTGTGACCGGTCCCCAATGGGAGCCGTACCACTGGCAGGCCGGTCCATAAACATATATTATATCTACTCTCATTGCCTCAGCTGATTACTAGTTCAATTATACTAACACTGTTACCGGTCCCCAATGGGAGCCGTCTGACAAGTACATGTATGATTGATACACTCGGTCAATGCAAGTGCGGTCCCCAATGGGTGCCGTATCATAGGATGAGGCATATCATCAACCAACCAACCACTGAACCACTGACCCCAGAGGTCCGGCCCTCAGCCGGAGCCGTCGGACAACACCATATGTCTTATAAGTTTATAAGTTAAGTTTATAAGTTCAGGTGTAAGCATACCGAGACTCATGAGATGTCCGGTCCCCAATGGGAGCCGTACCACTGGCTCCAACTTATATCCGGTCCTCAATCAGAGCTTTGGACAGGTCCGGATCCCTATCCACCGTCTGGTAAGGGACAGATGTAAGTATACTAAGAGGCATGAGAGGGCCGGTCCCCAATGGGAGCCGTCTCACACATAAGATGACAACTGATACCTAGCCGGATACATCATCCGGTCCTCAATGAGGGCCATGCAACAATGACATACTTATGCTCACTATAGGGTGAGATCCCCTATGCGACGGTCCCCAATGGGTGCCGTTTGACATGTTCAGGTATGATAGAACTTTGGTTCACCACAGGTGCGGTCCCCAATGGGAGCCGTCGACGGCCGTAGGGTGTTGTGCAACAAGGACATACATACCTATGCTCACTACAGGGTGAGATCCCCTGTGCGACGGTCCCCAATGGGTACCGTTTGACATGTTCAGGTATTATCGGACCTTTGCCCACCACAGGCGCGGTCCCCAATGGGAGCCGTCGACGGCCGTTGGTCAGCAATACGGACCCCTCACCCATGCGGTCCCCTTTGGGAGCCGATGGAATGTGTACCGGACGGCTGACCAGGAGGGTACCACTATGAATCTAGGGTTAGGATGACCATTAATGGAAACTTTCGCCTAAAGGACAACCCCACGCTAGGGTTAGGGTCCTGCCCCTTGAGCCGTCCGTCTACCGGGTCTACGTCCCCGTATCAACCCTAACTAACCCTAACTAACCTAACTAAATGATAGATGATGTCGAGGGGAATGTGGCTGTTGTGGTGCGACGTTTTGATTATGTAATATGAGCGAGATATGGGCGAAATGAGTGAAAAAGGCTGGAATTTTGTGTGTTGAGTCGCTTGTGTATTGCTTGATTTTGACTGGATGATTGCTATCGTAATATGACTTTGGTTGTGATTTGACTTGATTATTGCTTGACTTTCCTTGATGGATGGCTTATGATTTATTTCTTATGGGTCGGGCGAGGACAGAACCTTGAGATGACTTGGCTTGATATTGCTTGATATTTGTGATTTTTTTGTGTTTGTATGGCTGCGGTGCGGGCATATTTTGGCTGTTATATTGCTGTAGTAGTCTTGCTTGTATGGGGTGATGCGTCTTTGTGGTCGGAATGTTGTGCTGACTTGAATTTGAGTGTGCTTGATTTTTGCGATTTTGTTGCTGGGGCGGTATGAGATCGTAGTCTTTTCCTTGATTTTTGCTTGTCTTTCTGTCTTGGTCTGGCGCGTAGTATTGAGTATTGCCGAGAACCGAGACAACGAGACAATACGTTTTTATCCTAAGCTGAAGCCTAGCTCTAACCGGTGGGCGGGTGGGATGGGCTTGATTCGTAGCTTGGTGTGTTTCCTTGATTCCGCTGCGTTATTGCTATCATAGTCTGGGGTGACGCTTTGGTCGAGGTCGGAATTTGTATATGATTTTTGCTTGATTTTTGCGCTATTGTATTTGTGGCGGGGGCGGTGTCTTTGTCTGGGGTGATACTTTGGATGAGGACAGAGCCTTGTGTTGAATTGACATGTTGGGGTGCGAGTCGCTTTATTTTTTGCTGCAGTAGTCTTGGGCGAGAGGTTGAAATCTTGTTTGGACTTGACTTTGTTTTGCTTGATTTTTGTGGTTTTATTGCGGTGATGTTGCTTGATATTTTGGCTGTTTGATGGTCTGCGGAGATGCGTCTGCGAGGTCAGAATTTGGTTTTGACTTGACTTCATTTTGCTTGATTTTTGTTATATTTTGCGCATTGGTGGCTGCAGTGGATGGGTGGATTGGCGGAGAACAGAGTATTGATTTGCTTGATTATTGCTGTAGTGGATGTGGCGGGGAACAAAGTTTTTATTTGCTTGATTGTTGCGGGTGGTATTTGTCTGGGGTGACGTGTTGGCTGAGGTCGGAATTTGGTTTTGACTTGAGTTGATTTTGCTTGATTGTTGTACGTTTTTGCGCTTTTATTGGTGGGGCGTTGCTATGGTGGTCTTGGCTGAGGACGGAATTTTGTTGTTGCTGGGGCGGTGCTTGTCTTGGGTGATGCGTTGCGGTAGGTCAGAATTTGGTTTTGACTTGACTTGGTTTTGCTTTATTTTTGAGATTTTTGATGATTTTGTTGCTGGGGAGTGGAGCGAGAGTGTATTGGTATTGGGGGGATTTTGTTGATTTTGCTTGACTTTGAGTTGTAGTCTGGTGGGGGGATGTTGGTCATATTACTGTATGTGAGTGAGAATTGAGACACCGAGAGAATATGAATATGTTCCTGATCCTAAGCATTAACTGAGACGACGAGACGACGAGACACCGAGAGAATACGTTCCTTATCCTAAGCGAAGCTAACGAGACACCGAAGCCTAAACTAACGAGACACCGAAACCTAAACTAACGAGACACCTAACGGCAAGCTAACATGGGTGGGGGGTGGGGGGGACTTGAATTTGTCTTGGTTGTATTTCCTTGATTTGATTATGATCATGCGGTTGGTATATTTGGATATGAATTCGCTTGATTTGAAGTGCGGAAAGGTGAGCGGATTATACTTATTGTATGCGGATGCTTCATTTGCTCAAGGATCAGGTATGCAGATGATGCATCGGATTTGTTTGATGTTGCCTTGACTTTGCTTTATTTCGCGTTTTTTTGCTTATAGCGATGGCAGGATCTTGACTTCATCGTACTATGACTAGGTCGGGATCTTGTTGTATCTTTGCTTGATTCTAGTCATTGCTGGGGTGGCGCTTGTCTTGGTCGATGCGTTGGTGGAGGTCAGAATGTTGTTTGTATTTGACTTCATTTTGCTTGATTTTTGCTTGATTTTTGCTATTGTATCATTTTTCTTATTTAATTGCTGCGTTGTTGCTTGATTTCGGTCACGCAGGCCAAGGTCAGGATCTCGTATTGACTTGTCTTTATTTTGCTTGATTTTTGCGATTTTATTGCTATGGTGTCGGGTATATTTACTTGTTTGATTGCGCTGATCTGGCAGGATGGATAGGGGTGGGAACTTTCCTTATAAGGACGTCGTGATGTAAGTCGTAGCACGAATTTGTGCGAACGTGGCTGTGGTCGCGGAATGTCTTTATGTCGTGATCTGACGGAGATATGGGCAAAACAAGCGCAGCAGGGACTCTTTTACGTCATACATTTTCGCACTCAGCAGGGACTCCCTGTAAACCGGAATAGGGGCAGGGATTTCCTTTTTCGAGCAGGGACTCCCCATATATGGTTAGTAGCAGGGACAGGGACGGCTACAGGGGTGTAAACCGGGAAACAGATAGATAGGAATGCCAGAAATGTGCAAAATGGACCTACCTGGTTTCGCACATTTTTGACATTTCTCAAAATGTGCAAAATGGAGCTCCTTGGTTTTGCACATTTTTGACATTTCTCAAAATGTGCAAAATGGAGCTCCTTGGTTTCGCACATTTTTGACATTTCTCAAAATGTGCAAAATGGACCCCCCTGGTTTCGCACATTTTTGACATTTCTCAAAATGTGCAAAATGGAGCTCCTTGGTTTTGCACATTTTTGACATTTCTCAAAATGTGCAAAATGGACCCCCTTGGTTTTGCACATTTTTGACATTTCTCAAAATGTGCAAAATGGAGCTCCTTGGTTTTGCACATTTTTGACATTTCTCAAAATGTGCAAAATGGACCCCCTTGGTTTTGCACATTTTTGACATTTCTCAAAATGTGCAAAATGGAGCTCCTTGGTTTTGCACATTTTTGACATTTCTCAAAATGTGCAAAATGGAGCTCCTTGGTTTTGCACATTTTTGACATTTCTCAAAATGTGCAAAATGGACCCCCCTTGTTTTGCACATTTTGAGAAATGCTAAAAATGTTCGAAATTGCTCACATTGAGCTAGCCATAACCATGGTCTAACCATATCCCATATAACAAAATATGCTTAGAATGTGGGGCGTCCACCGACACGCGACTTGTAAATGTATTGTAAAAGTCAGGTGACCGCGAATTGGGGTTCCCTATATATTGTGTCCTGATCTTGACTTGCATCTTTTCTCTCCAACTCAATTTTGTTAACTCAAACTTTGTTAACTCTAACTCTATAACTCTATAGTACTGTCTAGATTACCATGTCCGACCAAATCGACGGTTTGGATCTCTTAGACCTCCTTCCTCCTCCGCCGGCCGAGAGCGAGGAAACCATTGCTCTGAGAGCTGAGGCGGCCGAGCTGAACGCTCGTCTCACCCACATGCTCCAGTCAGCTCCCTCCCAACACGACGAGGACCACATTCCGGAGAAGGAGGAGTGGTGCAAGAACCTCTCCGATCTTAAGGTGCGTGTTGTTTTTTCTTTCCTTTGTCTGTTTTTACTTAACTAACGAACTACTTATGTAACTTATGTACTTAGGATCAGCTGGCGAACCGCTTGACGCTTGCGCGGGACAACAAGGTTGTTATCGATCTGCCAGTCTCCGCAAGGCGAGACTGGCAGAAAGGTTACCTCCTTCGCGCGGCGTTCCAAAGCCAGGTGACCGCCTTCAAGGATGCCGAGCTCACCTCAAAGGAGACGGCGGAAACCTCAACCACCTCCACCACCGCCACTGCTCCCGCTCCCGCCACCACCACCACCACTGCTCCCGCTCCCGCCACCACCACCACTGCTCCCACCACCGCTACTCCCACCGCGACCTCAATGGAACTCGGGCCCGCCACAGGTGAGAGAGAAGAAAGCGCCGATCAGGAGCAGGAGGCCCGGCAGGAGGAGGAGGAGGAGGAGGAGGAGGAGGAGGAGGAGGAGGAGGAGGAGGAGGAGGAGGAGGAGGAGGAGGAGGAGGAGGAGGAGGAGGAGGAGGAGGAGACTCATGAACGGGTGGGACCCAAGGTAAGTGATATGTGTTCTCAGCGGCTGATATTCTAACCCTCCGCCTGCAGAAACGGACGCCGCGCATAAGCGCCGAGAAGGCCATCCACGAGGTGCCTTGTGCCAACTGCAAGAAAGTGGCCCGCACATGCCACGTCGCCTCCACGGGCGTGTCGTGCTACGAGTGCCGCCGTGGGAAGGTGAAGTGCTCCCATGTCAGAGGTAAGTGTTTACCTCGTCCGTCTGATACAATAAGCACTAACTAATAGAATCAGACAAGGGGAAGAAAAAGATCGCGGCACCCCCACCTCCCCCTTCAACCCCACCACCACCAGCGCCGGCTCCCAAGCCTAAACCTAGGCCGAAGCCGGTTGCTTCGACTTCCCGTCCCGTTCGGGCCTGCTCAAAGGCCACGCAAGCGCCAGGCCAGGCCGCCAGGACACAAACTAAGTCCAGCGAGCCAGCCGCCGTCGCACCGGCACAACCACGGGCGGTGCCAGGCCCCCGGTGCGTAAACAACGCCTACGTCGAGCTCCGGACGTGCACCAAGCGGAAGATCGCCGCCGTCGAGGAGGAAGAGAGCGAGAGCGAGGACGGCGAGGAGGAGGCATACTTGGCCGGTCGGGTGTCAGGCCTCTCCAACATCTTGCAGATGATAGAGATGGCCTGCGCCACTATGAGGAAGGAGGTGGAGGAGATTGATGGGCAGGTTACCAAGCGCCGCCGCCGCCGCCGCTAAACAGGATACTTACTTTTTTAATGTATAATTCAAAACATCATGATTGTAGTTTGTACTTGTACATGTAGTTACTTAGTTTTATTACTGTAGTTTACTGTAGTTGGTACACATGGAATAGCATGTGGCCATTATGTATTGGGTTGATAAGAATTTCTGTGTGAGCCGGGTCTCTCAAAGGATGTTAAACCCATGATTGATGTTGTACGGTCGAGGTCTCCGGATGACTTATTTACTTCGAGTGCGCGGCTTGCATGTGTAACGGGAAGGATTTCTATTGGCCTTGTCAGACGGCTCCCATTGGGGACCGGACCTTACATCTGGGAAGGGATCAGTACACGGATGATCGGAGGAAGGCGCCGACAGAGGACCGGACCACTCAATGAGAGTAGATATAATATATGTGTATGGACCGGCCTGCCAGTGGTATGGCTCCCATTGGGGACCGGTAACAGTGTTGTGAACAGTGTTGTTAGTATAATCGAACTAGTAATGATCCAACGGCTCCGGCTGAGGACCGGACCTCTGGGGTAGGTAGTTGATTAGTTGACAATATGCCTCAGCCTATGGTACGGCTCCCGTTGGGGACCGCATACATGTCATCCGTGATGATATTTGCCTGGGTGATGTTACGGCTCCCATTGGGGACCGCACTTGCATTGACCGAGTGTATTACATTATGCCTGTACATATCGGACGGCACCCATTGGGGACCGCATATATGTCATCCGTGATGATATTTGCCTGCATGATGTCACGGCTCCCATTGGGGACCGCACTTGCATTGACCGAGTGTATTACATTACGCCTGTACATATCGGACGGCACCCATTGGGGACCGCACATATGTCATCCGTGATGATATTTGCCTGGGTGATGTCACGGCTCCCATTGGGGACCGCACTTGCATTGACCGAGTGTACTAAATCATACATGTACATATCGGACGGCACCCATTGGGGACCGCACTTGCATTGACCGAGTGTACTAAATCATACACGTACTTGTGAGACGTCTCGCATGGTGGACCAGATCTCTTAAAAGTCTCCTTATGATTTGAACTAGTACTTGTCGACGGCTCCGATTGAGGACCGGACCTTTGAAGTAGGATCATTAATGATATTTGCTTCAGCTGGCTGGTGTGACGGCTCCCATTGGGGACCGCACTTGATTCACAAAAAGCAACATTGAGGCCCAGCGAGGTGCGGTCCACCATGCGAGACGTCTCACAAGTACGTGTATGATTTAGTACACTCGGTCAATGCAAGTGCGGTCCCCAATGGGAGCCGTGGCATCATGCAGGCAAATATCATCACGGATGACATATGTGCGGTCCCCAACGGGTGCCGTCCGATATGTACATGTATGATTTAGTACACTCGGTCAATGCAAGTGCGGTCCCCAATGGGAGCCGTGACATCATGCAGGCAAATATCATCACGGATGACATGTATGCGGTCCCCAACGGGAGCCGTACCATAGGCTGAGGCATATCATCAACTACCCAACCACCTATCCCAGAGGTCCGGTCCCCAATGGGAGCCGTGGCATCATGCAGGCAAATATCATCACGGATGACATATATGCGGTCCCCAACGGGTGCCGTCCGATATGTACATGTATGATTTAGTACACTCGGTCAATGCAAGTGCGGTCCCCAATGGGAGCCGTGACATCATGCAGGCAAATATCATCACGGATGACATATATGCGGTCCCCAACGGGAGCCGTACCATAGGCTGAGGCATATCATCAACTACCCAACCACCTATCCCAGAGGTCCGGTCCTCGGCCGGAGCCGTTGGATCATTACTAGTTCAATTATACTAACAACAACACTGTGACCGGTCCCCAATGGGAGCCGTACCACTGGCAGGCCGGTCCATAAACATATATTATATCTACTCTCATTGCCTCAGCTGATTACTAGTTCAATTATACTAACACTGTTACCGGTCCCCAATGGGAGCCGTCTGACAAGTACATGTATGATTGATACACTCGGTCAATGCAAGTGCGGTCCCCAATGGGTGCCGTATCATAGGATGAGGCATATCATCAACCAACCAACCACTGAACCACTGACCCCAGAGGTCCGGCCCTCAGCCGGAGCCGTCGGACAATACCATATGTCTTATAAGTTTATAAGTTAAGTTTATAAGTTCAGGTGTAAGCATACCGAGACTCATGAGATGTCCGGTCCCCAATGGGAGCCGTACCACTGGCTCCAACTTATATCCGGTCCTCAATCAGAGCTTTGGACAGGTCTGGATCCCTATCCACCGTCTGGTAAGGGACAGATGTAAGTATACTAAGAGGCATGAGAGGGCCGGTCCCCAATGGGAGCCGTCTCACACATAAGATGACAACTGATACCTAGCCGGATACATCATCCGGTCCTCAATGAGGGCCATGCAACAATGACATACTTATGCTCACTATAGGGTGAGATCCCCTATGCGACGGTCCCCAATGGGTGCCGTTTGACATGTTCAGGTATGATAGAACTTTGGTTCACCACAGGTGCGGTCCCCAATGGGGGCCGTAGGATGTTGTGCAACAAGGAGATCCCCTGTGCAACGGTCCCCAATGGGTGCCGTTTGACATGTTCAGGTATGATAGAACTTTGGTTCACCACAGGTGCAGTCCCCAATGGGAGCCGTCGACGGCCGTAGGGTGTTGTGCAACAAGGACATACATACCTATGCTCACTACAGGGTGAGATCCCCTGTGCGACGGTCCCCAATGGGTGCCATTTGACATGTTCAGGTATTATCGGACCTTTGCTCACCACAGGCGCGGTCCCCAATGGGAGCCGTCGACGGCCGTTGGTCAGCAATACGGACCCCTCACCCATGCGGTCCCCTTGGGGAGCCGATGGAATGTGTACCGGACGGCTGACCAGGAGGGTACCACTATGAATCTAGGGTTAGGATGACCATTAATGGAAACTTTCGCCAAAAGGACAACCCCACGCTAGGGTTAGGGTCCTGCCCCTTGAGCCGTCCGTCTACCGGGTCTACGTCCCCGTATCAACCCTAAGGATGGCCCAGGCCGGTTTAACTTTCCGTCAATTGGTCTTGCTCATAGCATCGATCACTAAGCAAAGTTTCCTGCTAGTCGTCAGGTCAACCCGAGTTCGGCATCAGAATAATTGGCGCAGACCGAATCATGCATGATAATTCAAGGACAAGAATCCAAGATCCAAGTTCAACTTGACGTTTTGGAGACGGTGTTACATAATTACATGACGTCCATTCTGGGAGTAGGCGTACCAGTCAGCCAATTATGTAAAATCGTTTCGGATCGATCCCCTTTGATCAAGTCTAATGTTCAACGTTGCAACGTTCAACTGCCGAACTATTATGTAGTAAGTAGTGATGAACAGCGGCTGGCTCCTACCACAGTGCATCGACAAAACTTATTTTCTCAGGTGTGCCGCAGTTCACATCAAGTTCACACGATCCATAGGTAAGTCCGTCGTACATTTTGTGACATTTAACTGAAGTGAGGCCGCGTCGATTATCTAGCGTACAGTTGAAAAATCCTCGCGATCTTTCAACAGATGCTTATAAAGACCACCTCAAGGATTGGTCTTTATTCAAATACTAGCCTTCGAGGCTAACGATAGATGAAGGATTCAAGTTGCGCAGTGCATTATTACATCTTCATGCGGCCTCCCGATATCAATCTTCAACAACAACAGTTATTCGTTTCGACAGCCTCTTAAACTCGAGCTTTAGTGGACCACAAGCAAGACTATGCACGATTGATCATTTCAGATAACTTCAAACATCCATATTGCTCGAGTAGTACGGAAATTTGTCCAAAAACAGCTGTGCTGATTGGCTCCGAGCTAGGCATTGCACCATCAACCATAACACCAAAGTGAAAGGAGAAATACGACTCGCGGTATCATCATCACAAACCAAGACATTGCAGCAATTTTCATCTGTTTGGCAATCTTGTGTCTGGTTGAAACATGCACTGACGAACATGGCTGCTGTCAACGCAACAACAATGGTGAGGTAGGAGAAACGCATTGTTTGTGGGAAGTGAAATGCAACTCGAACGATATCTCTGAGGATGGAGAAGTACTGTAGGACGATTGCCAGCTTTTACATCCTGCATATACTCATGGGCGCGATTCTGATCGATTTAGCAGAATTATTATTGCTGTCAGATAGCAGAAGCTTTGGCAGAACCGGCCGGAGCGTATCCAATTGATCATGGTCATTGTATCATGACCTGCCGGCAGGCATCGACAATTCTCTTCGTAACCATGGAATACTCGCTCGAATTCCCGCTCTCTCACTCATCGCTTTATCATTTGAACCTGCAATGACGAGCAGCGACTTTTTTCTCACTCGCTCGTTGCTCCATTGTACGCGATATTGGCACTGTCTTTTTCTTTGTTCGTTGACACGAATAAACAGTGTGTATCTCGTCGATTTTTCACACGTGACAACGCAGTATACAGTTGAACGTGCGTAAAAAGATCAGCTCTGAGATCCAGAACTGTTTTTAACAGATCTAGTCAGTCCTTAGCATTCATTGAACGTACTTGCGTAAGCGAGTCTCAAGGGAAATTGCCTGTGATTCACTGTCCAGGTCGAGCGATAAGGATTGAATGTAAAGTAATCCGTGGAATGCAGTAGCTTATCAAGTAACCGCACCTCGACCTCGACGAAACGAAACGATGATGGAGGGCTATTATGCACCTCTAATCATTTACTTTCTGATTGAGTGATTACATTGTATTGCGCACATGCAAAATGACCTTCAGATTCAGTAGAAATGTTCATACTGTGGTAGCATGGCACGATGAAGTCTGAAATATGTCACTTCCTGCTTTGCCCATATGTATCACCTTACCGTTGCTCGTGTAGTGGTGAGAGTTCCAATGAAACAAGGCGGAGGAAATCAAGACACAATATCGCTCTTGGCTCTCCTGTACTCCAACTAGCATCAGGTCCGTCATCGCATGAGTACACTGGAACAACATTATATTTCAACATTGGGAGGCGATAACGGTAGCTTCTGCAAACAGTGAATGTCGCAAAATCCTACATCCTAACAATATATGCGCAGTGTTCTGGCGATGTCTGCAGTATATCACATGCCGCTCAGTCATCTTTGTCACTGTCCAATGCCTTGCGATCGACTTTGGGAACGATCAATCGAAAACTGGTGCTGCTCAATGACTGTTTTCTTGTTAGGTTTCCCTGCTAGATTGTGAGCAGTCACCTTTATTAGGAGATGTTGTGCAAACTCACATTGTCAGGGTGGGATTGCTAGAGTTCGTGAATTCTAGCCGAGGGACTACGTACCATGAGCGAGAAGTTTGTATTCGCTTTGGATCGGGCGAACACCGGTAATTTGGACGCGATACTGTAGATTGGGAGGTCGGGTGTTGACCGGGACCAGCCAAGTACTCTGTTCCAATCTCGATGCTCTTCTGGGTAACGTCGCAGAAAGCACTTCTCTTCACACGAGCGAGGACATGTGTCAAAAAGTGACCCATAACCGGTTTGCCTCCCTGCAATCCACTTATTGTCTCAGAAGTTGTTGAGCAGGAGTGTCGCGCCCCAGCACAACGAGTAATCTTCGTCCTGTTTGCTATCTGTAGATCCCCACAAGCGTACGGAGAAATATCGTGGGAGAAATCCAACAGACTCCTTAGATCACCAATACTGGGAGGAGACAAGAATCTGGCATCGACACACACCGAGATCGCACAGTACTCTCTTTTGAAAAAAGATGCAAGTGAAATGAATTGTTATCGTTTTTGCAATGGAGGTGCTGGCCCATTAGTACACCTCTTGTGTTGATGATGTCTCTCCTGACTGCCAGTTGCAACCGCTGGTCGATCTGCCATAAAATGATCAACGAGCCAAAAATCTATGACGAGCAGAGAGTGGTTAGCGTGTTAGACATTACAGTAAAAAAGTGCTCGCCTCGTTCGAAATAATTGATGGGTCCTCATACATTTATGTAAACCAACGAAGGCTGAATCGTGTGAATTTGTTGCGGACACTTTGACTCGCACCTCATGAGCGCTACGCTTGATACATCCAAAATGGTTATAGCTGGCCTAACATTAATATTTTATTATCTAGGACCTGAGGCCTCGAGGCCTGATGGGCCACCGTTACGCCAAGCTCCAAGTAGGACACTCGTGATTCGCCGTTCATTTTGCGCCGGTAAACCTCACTGCTATTAGTAGCGCTCAACGTTTGCTCAACTCCCACCCATCCCATTCGTGAGAACATGAGTGCTAACACGAACAACCTCTCTTCGACTCCACAGACCATTTATGTCAAACATGCGATTCATCCAGAGAGCGGTGATTCCTTCCGCGCTGTAGCAGCTTCCACTAAATCTCTCAAAGCAAGCCAGAAGGACTTCGGCGTACAATGTACGCAATGTCAAACGAAATTGGAGAAGCCTTTGAAATGCGCAAAGGTGGTGGTCAAATATTTGAATACTCTTTCAGCCATTAATCGAGTGTTGCAATATGCTTTTAGTGTAAGGGCGTCTGGTATTGCTCAAAAGAGGTATGATTTCCGACTGAAATGACACTGAAGTCTGAAGGGTTGTGTGCCTTCTTGTGTACAGTGCCAAAAGAAAAATTGGTAAGAGTTCTACCTATGATTAAACATATTGGGCCTCACTCTACATGGGCTCGATAATAGGTCCACCCACAAACCGGCATGCCATGAGGTCGAACGCTCCTCGGGGGTATTCAAATTCATACAAATGTTCGGTGTAAACCCGGTGCTCATGGGGCTCCTCAAAGTCGCTATCATCTTTGACTGTGGCCTGTTCGAGAATCCCCGGATCGGATTCGATGTGCCATTCATGGCACGTGCACGTGTTGACATTGCAATAGAACCTAGTGATGTTCTTGACTTTGTTAGATTGTATTTCAATGACAAGGCTGTTGGAGACAAACTTCAAGGGATGTTGCAAGTCAATACGATCATTCCGTGGCACCCAAGAACGCAAAGTCCCTTTATGCCGAAGCGGCTACAGCTGTGGCGTGAGGCTCGAGCAAAGTATAACTCAGAAGGTCTTGCCAAAGATCCCGTAGGACTCGTAAAGTTCATTGGCTGTAGTTGTGCAGAGGACTCAAAGAACTCATTGACTGCTGAGTTGCACATCCCGGCTGTTGTCCTTGACATGGCAAGGCAACGCGAGCCCTTCACATTTGTCTCTGCTGTCACGGGCATGCAGTTTAACAAACCCATGAGCACTGTGACATGTCTAGAGTATGTTCTCCGTTCTCATCCTTGGATTCTAGCAAGCGGCGCTTCTTACATTTACATTGCACAGGTACATCAATGTGCATATTCGAGCGGACAAGCAGAATCAGCTACGTTTGCGGGCTGAGATGACAGAATAAGACAAGCAAGCTATTCGCGCTGCAGGTCGTAATGAGCATACATTTCCGGCTCGTACCCTCAAACAGAAGATGGAAAGAGAACACCTCTATGCTGGTATCATGGAAATAATACGTGAAACAGCCAAATGTGAGTGTGAGCTTTTTCAACTTCTCGTTCTGTACTAAAACAAGGAAGGATTCTCGTACCTTTCTGATCGGAGTCTCTTGTACGACACCTCTTGAATGGGCTGCCATTGACATGTGCGAGCGATGATCAGTCGCCAGCACAATCTTGTCCGATACCTGTGTACTATTAGTGGAAAAAAGTTGACTCGATATCAGCTGCCGCGAAATAGTAATCCACATACTCGCCAACGGTCAATATTTTCATTCTTCCTATATTTCAATCTCAATTGTGACTGATCTCAACGGGCGTTGAATCCGCGTTGTGACGCACCTATTTGACATAATCAAACACTTGATAGACTCAAAGATCGCTGCAGAGGACCTCAAACTCAACACGTGTGATCGATGAATGGCATAGAAATCGATCCCGTCATGGAGGTAGGTGTTCGACGAGGCTCGGTATCAGTAGCGGAGTTAAGTGTGTGTTTAGGGCGCTCACATTCTACACGTAGAACTCATGCCAAGAATTTGGAGATGGTGGGAGATAATTTTCAGTTACTGCCAAGGTACACATATTTGATGCTTGACTCACACCTTAGCAGTAGCCATCCAACTTGCAAGAAGTATTCAAAACTCCTATGTGCGAATTTTCTTGGGGATTGTAGCTTTCGTCTTGCTGAATATCTGTTTTAGTTGCATCCCTGATCTCACTGATCAGATAATCAAAGACTCAGACACACCGGCTGCAGTGGGCGGCTATGCGACAATCTTCAAGTGCAGCTGGAACTCGCCTTCTGAATCTTCTCCAGTAGGTCTCCCCTAGTTGACAATCGACGTCGGCTGATAATTCTAAACACTACCAGGTTGCGGTTCAGATCGTCAAGGTTCTGCATGACTCTGACCGTGCCTCACTCAGTATGTACATTGAGACGTAAGTCTTTGTGCCACAGAAACCATGTTTGTAAATGACATTGGACAATGCAGGAAATTAAGAACAGCACTTTCACCTGACTGATCAGGAGTGACACACAAAGGCCGCGACGGTATCGATCGTCCAGACGACTAGGCTGCGGCGTGCCAAAATAGTCAGCCACGGGACGAACAATAGCGGGAGAATGTTGTGAGCGTCTAAGTATGCACTTTGACGGATCTAAAGCATCTATTGCAGCTTTCAAACTCGCCGAATTGGTAACTCCGACGTTGTAACTAATATTTGATGGGGTAGCTCATCGCACAAAGCTGCAGTGTTTCTCTTGAAGTGCGTTTCGGAATTCGAGCTTGTTCGACAGTGCCAAGGATTCTAATGAAATGTTGTAGACTTGTGACACCAAAAGGTGGCTTAACTGATTGCGTATATGTTGTCGTTGTCTCACATTAGAGTGACTGGCTCTTCGCATGTACGAGAATGATGAACTATCACTTGACCATGAAGAGATGGGTCGGATGGGCCGGATATTCTGGGATAGAGATGTCCTCCTGCTGACGGATCTATTTGAGATTGATGCTACGCTGAAATATCTAATTCGGCAGTATCAAATCGGATTCAATACTTCATTCAGTCCTCGACTTTCCCTGGAAGAAGTTTTTGGAGCTAGCAGTTCGTCCGCCTCGTGCACAGGAATCAAAACTGCAGCATATCACAGCCTGAGATATTCCTGTTTACGCTTCCAAAGGATGATGGGTTGCAACACAGGAAGCCCGGGCGTCAAACTCCAATTATAAAACGACCAAGGATCTACTATGGGCCTTATCTCCACCTTATATCGACACTTCAGTATGAGCAAACACGCAGGAATTATTCATCACTCTCCGGACCAAGGCATTCTGCATTTGCCGCTTCAAGAGGTCGATGTGAGAGTATGGATGGTCGATAGTGCGTATTTCGATCGCTGTGCAGGCGAAAACCACTGATCAGCACGTCACTTTCCTCATACTAGTCTCTGCGAGGGTTGTGCTCTCGCAAGTGTTTGAGAACGTATCAGATAGCCCTACCAGCCGGGCCAAATATGTATTCCCTCTTCCAGCGAGCGCTGCTGCTTGTGCCTTTGAGCTCGAGCATGCCGATGGCCGCGTTATTGTCAGTGTCGCTAAGGAAAAGTCAGAAGCCGCACAAGCTTCCCTGAGTGCAATAGATGCTGGAAGGACTGCAGGACTTGTAGAATAGGTGACACACGACAGTATTACTGGCACATTTCGATGATACTGGATGAGCACTGACTTTGACTTTACTGCAGTATTCACGATCTCAATTGGCTCGATTCCCGCTCGACAGAAAGTCACAGCAAGATTGACAGTAAGTGCACTCTCGTTATTGATCACTTTTTCTGAAGAGCAAATAGTTTGTAATGGATCTTTTGGATGAAGGCAGACGGGACTAGGTCCGTCTACAGCTTCCGATGGCTATTGCCGAACGATACGGCGAGATTTCAGCAGCTATGCTCGATGCGTCTATAACTAATGAAAATACGTTCATCAAAATCGCTGTGGACGTCATAACCAGTGAAAAGATACAGGAGATATGCAATCCTACTCACCCGACGATTGCTCGCAAACACTACAAGTCACGCATTGGGAAAAAGTCTGAACGACGAATGTTCGTAACTTGGTCGTCCAGTACGGTCCTCGACAAAGACTTCATATTGACAGTCCATGCTCTTGGATTCGACAAGCCTCGGTGTTTCGCTGAAGTCGATCCACAGGGTCGTAATACCATTGCTATGCAGCTCTCCTTTGTACCAAAGTTCAAAATTCCTCCCTTGGATTCACAAGAGTATATTTTCGTCATCGATCGCAGCAGAAGCATGAATGGAGCCCCGATGGAAACCGTTAAGCGCACGCTGGAAATGCTCCTTCCCCTTTTGCCAGACCCACAGACGACTTTCAATATTTTCAGCTTTAGAAGCAAAGTGGACGGTCTGTGGAGGAAAAGCGTGTTGTTTAATGAGGTAGAAATGTGTCGTGCGGTAGGTAAGTTTTGTCGCTGTCCAGAGCAACTAGCTAATGAGTGACATGCACAGATTTTGAATATCAAAGGCATGGAAGCACATTACGGAGGGACAGAACTTGCGGAGGCCCTTGATTTTGCTATTGCGTCACGTAACTGCGACCGCCCGACTGCCATGTTTGTTCTCATTGGCAGCGACATACATGTGTGTGTGATGACTTGGCTATAACTTTTCGATCTGACGATAGACTAGGCTTCCGTACGTCCTGACCCATTCACGGTTGTCTCTAGAGCTGTGAAAGGCTGCAAGGCCAATGCACAACTGAAGGTATTTACTCTTGGGATCGGTGAACAAGTCTCATCTGATTTGTGCGAGCGCCTTGCTCGTGAGGGCGGAGGCAAATGTCTGTTTGCTATCCAAACCGAGGATATCATAGGGAAATGTGCAATGCTTCTCAATGCTGGTCGGACACGTGAGATCGAGAGTGTCATAGTCGATTGGCATGGTTCGGGGAGCCCACCAGCTGTCAATTTTTCACCCTTGAATCACCACCACCCGCTTCCGCCCAGCGTTGTGCAGCTAGAACCTCCTCCTTCGATGCAGCAAGGGCCGCCCACAATCACAAGTATATTCCCAGGAATGCGCCTCAATGTCTTTGCGATCACTACTTTTAGTTCAGTTCCTCGCAAAGTCCGGTTGCTTGCGAAAATCAAAGGCTCGGGAGAGGTTCTCGACGATCTCGTGCCTGTCACGGAGGTGAAACTATTCAAGGACGAGTGGTCGCTCATTCCACTCCTCCATACCTTAGCTGCACGACAACTCGTAAAGGACTTGGTAGAGTGTAAGGCTCCCCTTCCCAAACCCATCGCACCTGCTTCGGATGAGGACGTTCGAAATGCGGCGATCGTTCGCTTAGGGCTTGATTACCAGCTCGTTGACAAGTACACATCCTTTTTTGCTGCGGAGTTCGGAAAAGGGACGACAAGGAGGCTGCGCCGGTCAATGCCATGGCAAAAGTCGTGGGATACTCCAAGAACAGATGTGTCCACTGTGCAGACCACTTTGGACAGCTTGTCTCAGGCGGTTTATTCGGTGTTCAACTTTTTCTTTTCTGATCCTCCCTCCGCACCTCGAAGACTTCAGACGCAGCTTCCCAGCAAGTATCATTCGGCTGCATAATCCCGCTCGGGCTCGCCATCTATTCGGACCGAATGTTCATATCGACACGACAACTCAAGCAAGGACACTTTCTCTACATTAAGCTCATTAGAAGGCTCTTACACGAGTTCTCGATGGTCTTACTCTCGGCCGTCCAGTCCTGTATTTCGACGTACGGCCATTTGTGTATTTGCTGTAGGTGTAAAGACAAACTTGGAGCAGTTACTTACATAAGTAAGAACTTGAAGCTTGAAGGTACTATAGCGTGAGTATTGGTATGTAATTGTATGATTTCGCGATGTGCTAGGTCAAAGGATATGCACTAAAGGTCGGTGCTAAAGTGTGAACATGTAATGAATTTTCACATTAATCGATGTAAGGTCCATGATGTGGAAAGTTTAATCATTGCCCTCGGAGGCTACTTCGTCCTCATCGCTCTCGTCAGACTGAAGAAGTGTGCGCACCGCTGTCATATAGAGCGGGCATAGTGTGGCGTCTTCATCCGCGTCGTCAGGGTCTTCGACTCGGAGCACTTCAAGAGGGCTGAAGCAAGCGTTGTGCGTGTAAATCCATACAGCACTGAGTGCCAATGTAGCATCCAGAGAGAGTGTCCTGACATTCGCTCTGGACAAATTCACGAGCATGAGACGACAATATAGGAAATGAGTCACGAGTACCAAACGAATGGCAGCGAGACCACAGTATACCAAATACCTGGGAAGACATAGTGGCTGAGGGACAGAACAAGATGTCATGAAAATGCGTTCTTACCACCACAGTATGCTGTCGATTGCAATGACGGAGAGCTGGACGAGGTCCTCTAGGATAGTAGGCAGCCAGTTCAAGGTCTTGTTCAGCGGTGCCCGAATCTCAGCAAGCTGCTCCAAAACACGCCAAGCGATGTCGACGGTGTCGAATGCGAGGGAGCCGGTGGATGTTCTAGCATGGGTCAAGGCGATATTATAAGAGGTCGGCCATCTATATCTTGTTTCAGGTAAATACTGTATCATCGTATGACGAAGGCAGCGGTCGTATATAAGCGCCAAGTCCTCTTGAGACAATCCGACCCGAGACGGGTCTTCGGACGCTGCGGTGTATAATCTGGGGGAAAAAATCCTGACGACGTGCCGCTGTTCCACTTTCCCTAAAGGGACGTTGGGAATTTCGTGCATGGGGACTTGGATCTCGTCACCCTGGTTCAATATGGTCAGGATCCATAATTACCAGTCACTTAATCGAACGTGTCTTACCTCAGGGTCGTATGCGCGACTCTTGAGATGGTTATCCTTAATCAAAGTCTCCTTGAAAGGAGGGACGGGCCAGACCGACAGTGCCGTTGTGTAAGGCAACGAACGTGATAATCCGATGACAAAGTCAATGTCGCGAGTGATGGTGGTTTCACGTCGAGGAGGAAGACGGGGAATGCCTTGCTGGGCATTCAGGGTGATGTGGCACCGGTCGACTTCCTCGTCTGCCTCTGGCCCGATCCTACCTGCCAATACGAGACGAATGAAATCGATCTCTGACCGACGATCGTCTCTCACACGCGTGAACATGTCTTGAGAATCGTAAGGACGTGGGTTGTCCGGTGAACGGGCTCAAGAACGTGCAGCAGCTGGAGAAATTAAGAGAGAAGGAGTGGAAGGGGGGGGGGAGCGGTGGAGACGACTTCCATTCCGCCTCTGCACTTTAGATTTTAAGTCAGTCGCTGCACATCCGATGGTCCGATTCTGACGTACTTACTAGTAGTTTATCGCCTATGATGGCGTCCCGTCGTGTGCACGGATCTTAAACGCAAGATTTGGATAGGTTAATTGAGGGTTGTAAAAGGCCTGGTACATCGCCGTAGTGTTCTGAATGAATAGCTACTACTAGGTCCGGCGCCTAAGAGGCACTAAAACTAAGTCACAAGGCCGTTCGTCGCTCGGTTTAGTAAGCGAGCCGAACTTTACTGATTAGGCTAGTCTACATTGTCTTGTCGCAACTATGATACTCGCGTAGCACTTTAGCAGTTTACTCAGCTTAGCTTGAACTTAACGCTACGCGCTCGGCTGTCCGTATGTATACAAAACAAAGCTCCAGCCCGATCTGAGAGTTTCAACTGACTCCAATGAGCCAGCAATTTGAACAGTCATAAGTTGAGTTCAACGTGCAACCATTGTCTATCGATGTCCATCATTCAACTGGTTTATGGATCAGCTATTTACACATAGTATCGCAGGCGGGCTGCCGGTACGGCCACCGCGATCGATGTCGTGTACAGATATTTTTGAAGTCAGACGCGTACGGCTCCATAGGTGTGGACTTCTCAGACGGCTGGCGGCTGCGAGGTTAGTTGTATTACATAAATTATGTAAGTTTCTTGCTTCGTCGAGAATGCCAAAGCGGCAAAAATCGGTTCGTCAAACCCTCTGCACGTGCTGTCATTCACGTCAACATTAATGCGACCCTTGAAACATTCAACTCGCTTCTCAGCCGCTGAATATTGTCCTGCTTTTTTTTTCGTTTCCCGGTCCGGGCACGTAACTCTAGCACTATGTGCCATCCGCAATCGCATCAAGAACAACACCGAACACCGATGTTAATATAGATAAACGAACATGTAAACATGATTTACATAATATAACCTCCCACGCAATGCAGGTTAGTTGTAAACGACATCGAGAGGAAGGCGCTTGAAAGGATGCGCCCAATGCTGTGCTTTCTAGAAGGTGACCTGAAAGTGTGACAGGGACTGAACAGATTTGTCCAATAAACCTTGGACGGGAGGCTCATGCCACCAAAGGTCAGAACATCGGCCCAAAAAAGGTCGGATCCATTGTATGGAAAGAGGCTCTTTCCTATCTGAGAGGTCCACGTCATGCACCACACGAATGGACAGCGGAACACTGCTGGCTTTTTTTTAACCAGTGCTTGTACTCGTCACCACCAGTTGTGTCTACCCTAAGCAAGGATATCCTTAAGGACGCCCATAATCGAGGAGTGCACAGGGCAACTACTCGCCAGTGACGGCAGACCCCCTTGTCAAGACCGTTGGGCATTCATCCGATGAAGGTGCAACGTAATTTGTCTGGGGAAGAACTCTCTCTCCAAGTGGCTCTGATGGTAGCGAACAGCATGCTGGAGATGCCAGGGTTTCGTGGAATTCCAGCGACTCTTGCACGATGGCCCGTTTCTCCTTCAATCTAGCTTGGATACCTTGTAATTTTTTCAATGCACGGTTAAGAAGGTCGATGTGGTCGTCGAGAGCTGCAGGTTGTAACTTTCGCTGCGTTACAACAGCGTGAATAGTTGGGACCTCGTCGGACGGAACATAACTGGTGGGACGATAAGAGAACGATGTCGGCATCAACTCAGATAACTAAACCAAAATATCAACTTTAAGTCTTAAAGGAGTGTGGCCCATCACGATGAGCAATGATCGCGCCATTGCAACTGAAAAGCATCAAACTCACATCTAACAAATCATTCAATAAATCAGGACTGATCGTTTAAAGATGTGAACGTTGCACGGCGGTATACAAGGGTACTGATCGCTCACCTCAAGCTGAAAAAAATGTGCGCACCACCGTCATATAGAGCGGGTATAGTGGGGCGTTTTCATCCGCGTCGTCGGGATCTTCGACTCGGAGCAGGTGAAGTGAGGCCTTCACAGTCGTCAGGACCTCACGCACAAGGAGGTACACCCATAATATAACCTTCCACGCAATGCAGGTTAGTTGTGAACGACATCGAGAAGAAGGCGCTTGACAGGATGCGCCCGATGCTGCGAAAAGGGTGACCAACGTGTCTGCTATGAAATCGGCGGATTTTCCGAGTCGTTGCGAGCTCGCTCCAGCCCGGAACGAACGACTGATTGTAAGCGTCAAACTCGCGATGTCGATGACGTAGTAAGAGACGCTTCCTGCAGCCTGCAGGGAAACAAGGAGGCCCAGCGATCGTAATGAATCCACTGTTGCGGAAGAAACTAGTCACCCTGCGCGCATTTCCTCATCGCTCTCAGAGCGATGAGAACGAAGCAGGCTCCGAGGAGGATGATTGAACTTTCCATCATGGACGTTACAATGATTAATGCGAGCGTTCGTTACATACTCACACTTTGTAAGTTAGTACCGACCTTTAGTGCATATCCTTGGCCTACTAGTACATCGGCCCGTGCTCCCGAATAAGCAAACCTGACATAATTAAGAGCGTGGAAACGATTCTTTACTAACCGGGAAGTTACTAGGTGGCGCAGTGGCAGCCTTTACAACTAACTACCTATAGCCTTACTGACATTGATATCGGGGAAGCAAGGTATGCTCACTAAGTTACGATGCACCTTTTGACGCTCTGACTGTGGTATTGTAGGCGACTTCAATGTCTCAACAACAGATGACGCTGCTCGAACGTGGTATTGGCATCTGGCCAACACAGCTACCCCGGTATGTCGAAGTAGTATTAATGCTGTGAGTTACAGTATACTACATTTGTAAAATGCTTAGTCCAAATAATTCATATTTTTTAGTGAAGATGAAATTGAAGATAATATAGTTCAACAGAAGCAAATTGATGACCCTAGGTCGGTCGCCTTTATCTCTGTAGGTATCGGTCTAACGACCGTCAGCAGGCCCCCGATGTTTGGCGATTGGCAGGAGTTGATACATCCCTTGGGAGGTACGTATTACTATAACCACACAAAGGTGAGCAGCTCTTGTGTCGACTTTACGATGTACTCACCGACTGGACGTTCAGAAAACATATACGTCCATGAACCTGAGGACTTATCAGGATCTACAGATGCTCAACAATTTCATTGATGCATCACGCGCTGCGGCCCAAGAAGACGGTTGGCTACTCGTTGTTCACCCGACGATGTTTATGGGAGAAAAGCGATTCCAATACTACTACGTTGTCCCCGATCAGCGCATCATTGCCTGGTTAGAGGAACTAAATGGATACATTCTTTTCCGAGAGGGTGTCAATCCTAGCAAATGGCCTCACAAGAGTGCGTACGCTTTACCGTTTTCAATTAGTTTTTTTTTTATGAGTTTGAAGCAGGACTCGAACTTGAGGCACAATATTGGTGAGTGATCTCGAAGGTCGTCTCCTAATGGAAACGATCTGACCCGAACATTTCTTGCTACTTGTCAGGAGACACTTTGAATTCTTTCCTCACAGTTGTCGAATAGAAACGTCAGTAGTGAGACGCTTACGGAGAGAAATCGGCTGTTATCTTGGAGGTAAGCTTATAGCACCGCGACGACTACCAAAATCACTGAGCAAGGAACAGAAGCAATAACCTTAAGTCAATCGACAGCTGCCTCAATGTTCTGGACACTCGACCAAATGAATCAAATTGTCGCACAGCTGGCCAATATCGGTATGTACCCATACATTGACAACAAAGTACCTTGATGAGCAAGATGCAGAAGGGCTTGTGGAAAATGGCCTCTTAGAGGAAACTAGCATCGTATTCTGCTGTGCGTGAGGCTCGAGAAAACGATCGACTCGTATACTGATTTCTTAACTATCAGGCAGGATATTATACATACTACGTACGTACGACGTCGATTTGTCCGCCATCGCTATTAAGCACGACGTAGGCCATCATCAATACCTGAACCGCCACAACCAACCTGAAGCTCGCCTCATCCGATCCCATGCGGTGAGAGAGAAGCGCAAAAATAATAAAATTCTTTCTGCTGTGGGCAGCGCTGCAGTTACGATTTTATGTATGCCGATCACAATCGAACGTATCAGAAACACTTCAGTTGATGGTATTGTAAATGGCATAGAAGTCCGACGGTTTGTCGACGACTTTAGCAGTCAAGCTAGAAACCAGATCACCCTGGTAAGTCTATCCCAGCGTCGCAAACAAGACCACCCCCCCATTCCGTCTGCTCAGGCAGGTGCCTCGATGGCCATGGACATTGCGATTTTTACCATTCCAGGTTTGGGCGCATCGACGACTGCACAGACATTGTGCTCGTGCTCTCTACTTGTAGGCGTCGGCTGCATTTTTGCGGGCACGATGGTGCAACGCTTTGGCGAGAGGATGGGCTCTCTTGAATTCGCGGTTCGGTTCACCTCATTTTCTGTAAGATTAGCTCAATATCGCCAAATGAACAGGGTTATTACCTGCGAAAGAGGAGGATGATGCTGGTCGTAATTACAAGCATACCCACCTTTTTCTGTGTACTGAGGTAAGTAAAATTTTGACGATCACTCGTCACTCATCAACCTGCTCTCAGTGTAATAGGTGCCATGCTTGGATTTCTCGCAGGCATCTTTGCCAACTTCAAACCCTCCACATTCTTAGTAGTTTCGAACTTTGTTATGCTCAGCGTCGTGGTGTGTCTCTTACTTGTACTGGCAATTGCCAGTTATGGTCCAGGCCTGGCTCGGATGCGGCCACAATGATATACGTAGTAGATTCGTCACGGCCCTCCGGGCATCACAGGACCCGTTATTTCTTTACTTTCTTCCCTTTTTCTTCGTCCATCTCGGTGTAAAATCGCTCGCACTGGCCAAATTATATCTCGTTGCGCTGCATCATAGCTTTGTTGTCGACTTTACAACCCTATTACATCATATACAGGCTGCAGCTGGCCACTGGCCTCGTGTTTAAACCCTTGTCAACTTGCAATGTCCTTCAAAGGTTTCAAGTATGGAACAAACTTGAATCGTTCCAGTATTCGTGGTTTTATCGCAGCGATTTTCCGTCCTCTCATGAATTCTCCTTCTGATGCCCCTGGTGTGTTTACCTCAGGCGATAGTAAAAACGATGTAGGAGAATGGCAGATGCTCCTCTTGGGCAACGAGCTTTCTTCCCAGTGCCAGCTTGAACGCCTTGTGTACTGCAAATGCACCAACGGCAAAGAACATGAATTTTTACTCCTCCACTTCCGTCACCCTACACAACGGGACGCTGTCGCAATATTAGTTCTAGACCGAACACCACGTACAGATTCTACGGAGAACAATAGTGGCTCGTCAAGACGTATGCAGTCGTCATATATAGTCTCTCCATCAGTTTCTTCAACACCCGCTCGCGATTCCATCTTCACTACCCCAAACAACGGTTCTGCTATTGAATCCTATCTATCCAGAACGTATAACGAGTTCAAGCGTCTTTGTTACCTCGACTTCCCCGCCTCTGCTCGCCCTTCAGCACTTCAAGTATCCGTGCTCTTGTCCGCTCTCAGCAAGCATTCTTCAACATATAATCTGTACCTGTATCAATGCTATTGGTACGCACACACTGTCTGGGAGGCCCTTAAAAGGATTTTCCCTGATTGTAATGAGATAATGCTGAGCAAGGGGCGCTCTCGTTATCTTGGGCTCAAGATAGAGAAGGCAGACAGTGTGGAGGTAATATGTGAGCAGTATTACATCCAGTGGGCATACATCGAGAATGCGGCACAGGAGAGGAGGAGAGCGGAGGAAGATAGAGTATGGCAGGTAAGGTTCATCGTAGAATCAGTTGTACCATTCACTAATTTATTCCTACACAGTTGCAGATGAAAGAAGCTCGATATCAAACAGAGATTGAGCAAGCAATGAGGAGAGCAGAGATGGCGGAACGGAAAGCAGAGGAGGCAGAACGAAAGGCAGAACGGAAAGCAGAGGAGGCAGAACGAAAGGCAGAACGGAAGGCAGAGGAGGCGGAACGAAAGGCAGAGGAGGCGGAACGAAAGGCAGAGGAGGCGGGACGAAAGGCAGAGGAGGCACGAAAGGCAGAGGAGCGGGTGAGGTTCTTTCCAGAATTCGTTATGCTATGCTATGCTATTTACTCACCGATTTGTAGGTTAGGGCTGAATGCCAAGCAGAAATGGACCGAATGCGAGTCCAGCTCGAGCGCCAGGCGGTGTGATACTGGTGTACCTATTGCTCTCATTTCCTTATTATCAACATCCTCATCATGATCAGATGCAGCTGCAATATACATTAGAGCACATTAGAATTGACATAATGTATTCGTACGAGGCCTGTCAATCGTATTGACCAATGACATGACATGACAGCAGTAAACAAAATGACAGTTTTGGCATTCCGCCATCTCTTGGATAGTGAAACTGTGTATCGCAGACACGTCTCCTGGATTTGAAGAGGACCTATATTCAATCTTATGATCGTTCATCATACTAGCAGATCCTCAGGCGCCCTCTGAAGAGATCCTGGACGAAGGCGGGAACGTAATACCAGTACAGCTTCAAGCTTCAACATTAACATCAACAATCTCCGCAACCACTGGCTCGGGCCACATCGACGAGGGCGGGAGTGCTCAGGAAGATGAGCTCGCCAGCGATGATGAGCAGGAGGCGCGTTCATGACCTTGCCTCCTCATGTTCAGCCTCGGTTCTAACCTATCATGTGTTCGATTAGGGACCCGTCGCTGGTAGTTCATCTCCATCAAAATCGGCACTTATCTCGCTTTAGATTACCGATGCTATTAAACGATACTCGTACCTTCTCGGTCAGACGGATCTTTTCACGCACTTTATCGATATCAAGGCGCGTTATATTACGTCAGTCCCATCATATTCTGCTCAGAGTCTTGTAGAAAACTCGTGATCCGCAATATGCTGCTTTATTGGACTCGCAGCCGAAGCCATTGAAGGGTAGAGGTTGAAAGAAGGGAGCGTGCGTCATTCGTGTTTTTTTTCTGTATAACTACCGACTAATTCTTTGAGAAGCGACGAGAATGCAGGTCATCGCAAGTCTGAGAAGGAAGATGATGATGAATTGTTGAATGATGGGGGATTCGCTGCGGATGGAGACGACCAACCCTATGTCTTTGAGGAGTCACCGAGCTGTACGTGTCGTCCAGTCCCATGACTAGCCACGCTAAACCACACTTTTAGACGTTAACGGTACGATGAAGACATCAACTTTAAGGACTGAATTGGATGGTCTCGTTGCACCACAACGGGTTGAACGGTATCCTAACTTTTGATGTTTCACTTTGATAACTCACTAAATTATACAGGGTCTCGGTAAAACATCGCAGACCATCTCTTTGCTTCCCTACTTGGAACATTATCGCGATACTCTTGGTCCCCCATCTGATTGCTTGCACGATACTCATTCACTGATTTTTTTTTTGCTTAGTGCTCGTTTGTCTCGTGCTGTATAGTGCCTTTTTTCTTGGCATGAGTGTGCTCTAGTGCGTATCTTTTGGATGGTGCCAAGCGCGTGCTTTTTGTTCTTTGTTGTGTGCAGTTTTCTAGCTGTTTGTTGGCGCCTTTGTTTTTCTTGGCATGAGCTTCTGCGCGCAGGTGCTTATCTGTTGCCATGGCACCATTGGCTTGCTGGCTTTATGTTGTTCAGCGCTCATTGTGATGATTGTTCTCTTCCTTTTCATAGTTGAGCCCATTGATCATATTTCCCGCCTCCCTTTTTGCGCCCATTATTCTGTTTGTTTTTGTGCCGCTTGTTGCTCAGCCCTCAATTTCTGATCAACAACTCTCCTACGCCTCAAATGGCGCACGCGAACTCCAACTGGTCCTCAAGCACCCCAGGTGGCTCACGTGCGCCTCAAATAGATCCCCAAGACCTCAAACGATTCTCCCGGGCCTCAACGAATCACTCGCGTCAAGTGGCCCGCCCGCACCTTAAACCAACTACCTACGCCTCGAATGCAGGTCAAGCGCAGGCCCATCCATGCCTCAAACGACTCACCCGCGCTTCAAACCAACTACCGACACCTCAAATGGCTCACGCGCATGTTAAGTGGCCTCAACTTACTTACCAACATCCCGAACGACTCCCTCACGTTTAAAATAGCTTACTTGCAGTTCAAATGACTCACCAAGGACCTGACGCCCAGAACGGCTCACTCCCGGACCAAACGAGTCACTCACGGTTCAAACAAACCAATGACTCAAACGGCTTCCCCGGGCCCTGAAGCATCTCAAAGACTCCCGCGCATTCATTGGCTCTCGCGGACCGAATGAATTCCTTGTGCATTAATCCGGTGAGCTCGCTCATGTCTCAGAAATCTCCCTCACACGGCAAATGGCCTGCTCATACTCCCTGTAGCATTCTCCAAGGTGCGGAATACGATCCCATCGTTCGTTTGTAACTGACCGGGAATAGCACGCCAATCTTCTTCATTCACCCTATCGATCCTTTGTCGTGCTGATTTGATAACGCTAAATATCACTTAGTTTAGCTGGACCTCTATCACTTGGGTCGTCAGCATTGGATCATCCCTTGTCACGGTCCTTTGGATCGTGGTCTACTCGTTCCTTCCAGTCAACACCTTCTCTAACACAGATGCATTTATAGACGAGGTGGACATTCTTTTCCCCAATGTCATTTTTTGAACGACAATTGTTTTCTCCGTTTTAGTAGCACAAGGTGAGTCGAAATGGTGCTCCTATAAACTCATTCTAACTAGCGATCGATTAGCGCCTCGGTTCCTCATCAAATTCTTTAACTTGGTGTATATGCCCTTGGATCAAGATATTGTTCGCGAGATGTGGGTCGGAAATCTCAAAGCATCTGCCACCGCAAGGAATCGCCAATCAAACATTGACGCTGCGCCCACGTTCTGCGAGCCTCACGCTCGTTCAGCATCGGAATTAGTCCTTGAACTGACGGTTCCAGGATCACCCGCAGGTTCTGATAGGAATGATCCTGGAGATAATGGCGCAAATGTTATTGAGCTGGTCCCACAGGCCCTGTTACCAATTCCTCACTACGTGGAGAATACTGTCTCACCCAATACCTATTACTTTTCGGCATCCGATCTCCCCCTGCCCTTACTCATACCACCCTCGCTATATCAGTACTATCCATCGGGAGAAACAAGCAGCTAGACACTATTTGTCGCGCCGTCGAGCTCACGCATCCTAAGCCCTGAGCCTCCTGTTCCTAAATTAGCTTACTCACGCCCCTCGCGTGATTGGCCCCGATCCCCTTTGCGTCTGCAGACTCCTCCACACTCTCATTCCTTGGAAACTGATGAACACCCCTTGTTCAGCTTCAACAAGAGGGACACGATGCTGGCGAAGGTCGGTATCGACCAGAAGAATCTTATCAAGGAGATCAGGCACATAGCTCACTGGTGTGGGACGGGCCGCGGGGTTTTCGAGATCTTTTTGGCTTCTGCCGGATGTCGACGTATCATAGGAGAGATGTCGTGAAACTTTTGTGCCCACCCTTGCTTTCATTCTGACCTGTCTACATCTTATTGCAACGCTCTTGTGCATTTTGCACTTACACGGACTCGTAGTAGTCAGTGATGAGATGGCTATCCCTATCTATTGTCTTACACTTTTTCGATGTCGACTTAAAGACCAGAGGGCAAAGCCCATGGAGATGAGGGCTCGATGCTGATCAACTATGTCACCATCCAGGTCAGCCTGTATTAATTGGGGCGTGATGGGTCAGCGTAAGTAGTGGAGTTGACAATGGCAGTGAAGTGGTCAGCAGCTTCATTGTAATGTGCACCATTGAAGGCTATGACCCCAAGCTGAACGTGCAGATATCTAATGTGCGAGTTGCAAAGATGAGCATCAAAGACCAAGCGTAGCCAAATGATACTTACTTCCATGACAGGATGCACGAGAATCAATAATATAGTCGGGATCCATAACTACCAGTCACTTAATCGAACGTGTCTTACCTCAGGGTCGTATGCGCGACTCTTGAGATGGTTGTCCTTTATCAAAGTCTCCTTGAAAGGAGGGACGGGCCAGACCGACAATGCCGTTGTGTAAGGCAACGAACGTGATAATCCGATGACAAAGTCAATGTCGCGAGTGATGGTGGTTTCAGGTCGAGGAGGAACATGGGGAATGTCTTGCTGGGCATTCAGGATGATGCGGCACTGGTCGACTTCCTCGTCTGCCTCTGGCCCGATCCTACCTGCCAATACGAAACGGATGAAATCGATCTCTGACCGACGATCGTCTCGCACGCGCGTGAAAATGTCTTGAGATTGGCCGAGGAATTGGTCCAGTCTGAATTGGACAAGGTCATCGACCTCGTCTGGGTACTCCATTCTGGGAGTTGTAAGGACGGTGGGCGTCCGGTGAACGGGCTCAAGAACGTGCAGCAGCTGCAGCTGCAGCTGGAGAAATTAAGAGAGAAGGAGTGGAAGGGGGGGGGGGGGAGCGGTGGAGACGACTTCCATTCCGCCTCTGCACTTTAGATTTTAAGTCAGTCGCTGCACATCCGATGGTCCGATTCTGACGTACTTACTAGTAGTTTATCGCCTATGATGGCGTCCCGTCGTGTGCACGGATCTTAAACGCAAGATTTGGATAGGTTAATTGAGGGTTGTAAAAGGCCTGGTACATCGCCGTAGTGTTCTGAATGAATAGCTACTACTAGGTCCGGCGCCTAAGAGGCACTAAAACTAAGTCACAAGGCCGTTCGTCGCTCGGTTTAGTAAGCGAGCCGAACTTTACTGATTAGGCTAGTCTACATTGTCTTGTCGCAACTATGATACTCGCGTAGCACTTTAGCAGTTTACTCAGCTTAGCTTGAACTTAACGCTACGCGCTCGGCTGTCCGTATGTATACAAAACAAAGCTCCAGCCCGATCTGAGAGTTTCAACTGACTCCAATGAGCCAGCAATTTGAACAGTCATAAGTTGAGTTCAACGTGCAACCATTGTCTATCGATGTCCATCATTCAACTGGTTTATGGATCAGCTATTTACACATAGTATCGCAGGCGGGCTGCCGGTACGGCCACCGCGATCGATGTCGTGTACAGATATTTTTGAAGTCAGACGCGTACGGCTCCATAGGTGTGGACTTCTCAGACGGCTGGCGGCTGCGAGGTTAGTTGTATTACATAAATTATGTAAGTTTCTTGCTTCGTCGAGAATGCCAAAGCGGCAAAAATCGGTTCGTCAAACCCTCTGCACGTGCTGTCATTCACGTCAACATTAATGCGACCCTTGAAACATTCAACTCGCTTCTCAGCCGCTGAATATTGTCCTGCTTTTTTTTTCGTTTCCCGGTCCGGGCACGTAACTCTAGCACTATGTGCCATCCGCAATCGCATCAAGAACAACACCGAACACCGATGTTAATATAGATAAACGAACATGTAAACATGATTTACATAATATAACCTCCCACGCAATGCAGGTTAGTTGTAAACGACATCGAGAGGAAGGCGCTTGAAAGGATGCGCCCAATGCTGTGCTTTCTAGAAGGTGACCTGAAAGTGTGACAGGGACTGAACAGATTTGTCCAATAAACCTTGGACGGGAGGCTCATGCCACCAAAGGTCCTAGGCTATCTCTGCCACAACTGGCCTGTCCAACAGCTCATCGCTCGTCACCCAGCCTTCATACAACAAGTTTGTCATGGTATTCCAGGTCTTCAATATCAACACATAACAAGCGCGTCGCCGTGAGTATGAGACGGATGTGTGGATCAGTGTATTCGACCTAACACTTCCACTTTCTCGCCTCATCAGATCATCGATTTCAACGTGCTAGAAGGATGGACCAGCTTCCATCCCTCCCTTCACTGGCTCCTTGCAGATCTGTTGAAGCAGATTGAGGTGTCTAGTGTCCGGTACTTGTTTTTGCGCCTCTTGAACTTCGATGAAGGTATTAATTGATTTCCCTTTGCCAGGTAAAATGAGCTCATCGATATTGCAGCTGGTCTAGTAGCCATGGCCTCGCGGTGCTCGTTATGATCGCCCAGATCAGGGCAGGATTATGGGTCCGCAACGGCTTCCCTATCCGTGGCTAATTTCTGCACTACCGCTATTTTGTGCTGTGTGGGCTCTGCTACGACCAAGACCTGCTCATCCTCCAGTCATCTCTCATCATCCTCGATCCCAATACCATCATTATCTCTATCCTCAACCGTTTCGGCCTCCTGTCATTTTTCTGCGGTGAAGTCGAGAACTGTCCTTATGAGGGCGTCCATCTTCTGAGCATGGTCGAGGAGCTTTTCTACGTCCTCATGACTATTCTTGGCGAGAGAGCCAGCGCCACCAAGCTTCCGTTCCAACGTGCCATCCGCCACCTCGAGTGAATCCTCAAGGATGTACTATCTCACTTCCACGCACCTGGGTCGACACTCACAACGGCATATTATCCTGCTAATAAATGGCATCCGCTCGCACATCATGAAGTGTGGGAGAGGCGCACTTTGCCCTCTCTAAATTGTCACCATAGAAATCCTCAAGCATCTACACAACTCTTGGTTCTCCAAGGTGAGGAAAACGATCCCATCATTCGTTTGTAGCTGACCGGGATTAGCACGCCAAATTTCTTCGTTCACCCTATCGATCAGGCCTTCACGCGGACTTCGGGACAACCGTTGCGGTTGCTGCTATCTTTGTAGCGAACCCATGTCGGGGTGAACACTCACTAATGAGTGCACTTTGTCGTGCTGATTTGATGACGCTAAATATTACTTAGTTTAGCTGGACCTCTATCGCTTGGGTCGTCAGCATTGGATCATCCCTTGTCACGGTCCTTTGGATCGTGGTCTACTCGTTCCTTTCAGTCAACACCTTCTCTAATATAGATGCATTTATAGACGAGGTAGACATTCTCTTCCCCAATGTCATTTTTTGAACGACAATTGTTTTCTCCGTTTTAGTAGCACAAGGTGAGTCGAAATGGTGCTCCTATAAACTCATTCTAACTAGCGATCGATTAGCGCCTCGGTTCCTCATCAAATTCTTTAACTTGGTGTATATGCCCTTGGATCAAGATATCGTTCGCGAGACGTGAGTCGGAAATCTCAAAGATCATCTACGCATCCGCCACCGCAAGGAATCGCCAATCAAACATTGACGCTGCGCCCACGTTCTGCGAGCCTCACGCTCGTTCAGCATCGGAATTAGTCCTTGAACTGACGGTTCCAGGATCACCCACAGGTCCTGATAGGAATAATCCTGGTGATAATGGCGCAAATGTTATTGAGCTGGTCCCCCAGGCCCTGTTACCAATTCCTCACTACGTGGAGAATACTGTCTCACCCAATACCTATTACTTTTCGGCATCCGATCTCCCCCTGCCCTTACTCATACCACCCTCGCTATATCAGTACTATCCATCGGGAGAAACAAGCAGCTAGACACTATTTGTCGCGCCGTCGAGCTCACGCATCCTAAGCCCTGAGCCTCCTGTTCCTAAATTAGCTTACTCACGCCCCTCGCGTGATTGGCCCCGATCCCCTTTGCGTCTGCAGACTCCTCCACACTCTCATTCCTTGGAAACTGATGAACACCCCTTGTTCAGCTTCAACAAGAGGGACACGATGCTGGCGAAGGTCGGTATCGACCAGAAGAATCTTATCAAGGAGATCAGGCACATAGCTCACTGGTGTGGGACGGGCCGCGGGGTTTTCGAGATCTTTTTGGCTTCTGCCGGATGTCGACGTATCATAGGAGAGATGTCGTGAAACTTTTGTGCCCACCCTTGCTTTCATTCTGACCTGTCTACATCTTATTGCAACGCTCTTGTGCATTTTGCACTTACACGGACTCGTAGTAGTCAGTAATGAGATGGCTATCCCTATCTATTGTCTTACACTTTTTCGATGTCGACTTCAAGACCAGAGGGCAAAGCCTTCCCGTTTCCCTCAGGCAAATCAGGAAGCCCCGCCTCCCTTAGGACGTATCGGAAGTCCGACTCCCGCACGCCCTCGTAAGCATACCCAAGCCCCGCTACAGACTGCACGTCTCGTATCATCGATACAGGCATCCTCATCTGATCCTGCGCCCCAAAACCAAAACCAGGCTTAGAATCGGAGCCAGAACCAGAATCGCCAGACACACGCGCATACCGCCCAAACACCTCCCTCAGCACCTCAATCTCCCCCGGCTGAAACAACGCGCGTGGGTACATCGCCGCACCCGTCGAAGACGGGCGTAAAAGGGCAGGACAGAATCCAAACAGTGCACACACACGCCGCTGTACCTCCCCTATGCGTAACCAGCTTTCTCCCGACGAAGCTGTACCCACTTCGATCCGTCCACCCGCACCCATCCCGCGCAGCACCTCCTCTGCCTTCCTCGTTTCTTCCCTCCTCCGTCTCGTATCCCACCCCAGGGTATCGCCCATGACCTGTACAACTTCTGGTAGTGCACCGAGTGCTGCGCGTGCGTCGACAAAACCTAGGCGTGTGCGCCGTAGGAGCACATCGAGTGGTTTTTGTGCGTATTCATGCGTGAGCGCATATGTGATTTCGGAGTGTGTGAAGGGATACAAGGCGGAGAGAGAGCGGTGTGGGTCCAAAGCGGCCGTCTGGGCCGTTGACGAGAGGAGCGTCCATGCTTGTGAACCGTATGATGAGGAGAGGTGTTGTGCGACTTCTGGGTGGAGGCCGTACTGCAGTGCATGTCAGTAAGAGTAGTAGTATTGGAAGGCAAAGGGCTGATACTCACGCGTTGAATCAGTCCGATGAACATATTGCGATCCCACCCTTCGCTTCCAACAAGTCTTAGCTCCTGGGTCTGACACTTCCGAGCCTTTGCCCTCAGCCCGGGACACACTTCAATCGCTTCATCTACTGCCTCTTCCGCCATCGCACGATAGGTAGTCCACTTCCCACCTGCGATGGTCACCAATCCACCCTCATCAACCTTGACTACATGACTTCTAACCAACCCCTCCGTACTGCCCACTGCGCCAGATGAGATAAGCGGACGCAGTCCCGACCACGCTGAAAGCACATCCCCGCGGCGCACTTTGATGTCCCCACTCGGATACCCACGCACCTCATCCATGAACCACTGGACTTCAGACTCCCGGGGGAGAATGTTATCACCGCTTAGATACGCGTCTTTTTCATCCTGAGGTTTGATATGCGCACGCATGTCGTAGGGCTCGTCAGTGGTGCCTGCTACGACGCCGCCTTCCCACGGAAGGAAGAAGACGACGCGGCCGTCGCTTGTTGCAGAATCTAGGAGACCCATGCCTTTAGGGGCGTAGTAAGAAGGAAGGGCGATGTGTACGCCTGAGCTTGCGCGCACGATGGGTTTGTGCGTGGGAGAGGATAGGGAGAGGAGAGAGTCGCTGTATGGGCCTGTGGCGTTGACGATTATCTGTTGGGATCAACTATGTCACCATCCAGGTCAGCCTGTATTAATTGGGGCGTGATGGGTCAGCGTATTTAGTGGAGTTGACAATGGCAGTGAAGTGGTCAGCAGCTTCATTGTAATGTGCACCATTGAAGGCTTTGACCCCAAGCTGAACGTGCAGATATCTAATGTGCGAGTTGCAAAGATGAGCATCAAAGACCAAGCGTAACCACATGATACTTACTTCCATGACAGGATGCACGAGAGAATCAACATTTGGACAAGCGGTAACCAGAACTTTGATAAGCGGTACCGCTTCCTCATGTTGGTCTGCGTTGAAGAGTGCAACGACCTGAAATACGCAATGAGGCAGAGAGCATGTAAGATGAATTTGACCTACCTTGATGAAGAGAAGAAATTGGTCAATGGCTGAATCTTGGTTTGTGAATGTGGATGCGACATTCATTGAATGCTATCCTTAGTTCCTGAACTTGAAGGCCTGATCCCGCACACATTCGTCAGCGTGTAAGAGCTATTTGGTCACGGTAGATTCCAACAAGGGAATTACCACGCTCATACAAGGAACCCTTCAAGCTGATGACGATACACCGGAAGGAGTCAGACGCCGCCTGACTCTAGATATAGTTAGCGATCTTAGCAACGTTGGTATTGTCCAGAGCAGCGTCTACTTCATCAAGGACAAAGAACGGTGCAGGCTAACAACCTGAGACATCGTGAGAACAAAGGTTTTTGGGGTGAAGACGAAAAGACCAAGGCAGCCACAGTCTTCTCCCCGCCCGAGAGTTGTTCCATGTCACGGAATTGCTTCATCAGTGGCATGGCATGATATTTGATTCCGGCATTATAAGGTTCCTGTGATCAATAAGTGTAAAATTGCCTGGACTTGACAGACTGAAAGACTCACCTCACTGTCCTGTAAACTAAGATATGCAATGCCTCCCATCGGCGAAGCCTTCCCTTTAGTGAGGTCTTTATAGAACTGGTCGATACAATCTGAAATGTGGTTGTATGCCTTGTTGAATAACTCGCATCGGGTGACTGGGATGAGGATGGCGCTCAAAGTAAACTATTCGCATACCTTTTTCGCTTGACATCGTTGAACTGAGACAATGAGATTATGGTAATGCCACCGACTACTGTCACAAGAACGTACCAGATCGTCTCTTATAACAGCTATAGCACTCTCTAGTCGTGTAACTTCAGCAATGACGTTTTCGTCTGCCTTGCCCCTCGGTATCGAGTGATCCAATTCCTGAAGCTGTGCCACAAGATTGTCACGAAGACAGGAAAGGCCTAAATATAAATGAGTGTGAGGCGCCACGGTCAGTGAGCTGCCTACCTTGCACGTCCTTCTCCCACTTCTTTCCTCCACCATGCGTACTGCGCCCACCGGTGATGAGCCCACTCTTATAGATGACAGTGCCCGCCAATGTAACGGCTGCCCAAATGTTAGCATGGCATCCAACTTCCCGCAAATGAATGCCAACCTACCTCTCACCTCCTGCCCCCGCTCCCAGCACACGTACCTCACCACATCCATCGTGTCACACACGAGTGCATTCCCACACGCATGGAGCATCGCGCGCTCTATGGCAGGCTCATACTGGATCACGTCCACAGCGAGACGGTGCACCTCTAGTAAATGAGCGGAACTTGTCGTTGATTGGCTTGGTGCTGGTCGTGTTGAGGGGGAGGAAAGTTGCTTGACCTGCGCGCTGGGTGCGCATATACTATAATGTTTCAAAATTAGTTTAGATAGACAATAACAGAAGGCAGAGAAACGCACGTCGATGCATTCGATGGCAGTTTTCTCTTCATCCGCGACGATAGCGTCGATATTGCGCCCAAGGATGACAGATACAGCTGTCTCGTACTTGTCCTGTGTGGGTTTACAGAGGTCGACCACGCGCCCGCGGACGCCTATGGAATGTGAGCGGTGACTTTCTCTGACCAGGCGGGCAGCGCTGCAGACTGGCGAGCGTCTTCTTCAGCTTTGCCTCGCGCTCGGATTCATTCCTGTTGACGCCTGCTTGGAGCAAATGCTGATAGACATCCGCGAACTTTTCCTTTGCCTCGGTCTCAATAAGCGGGTCATAAGTCATTAAAACGAGCTTTATGTTTTTGTACCTGAGCCCGCGAGGTTACCAAACAGAGATGTGGATCTCGAAGTCGAATGAAAGCAACAGCATAATTTGCAAAAAGTGGTGCTCTGTGGAAAACGGGAGTACTTTGTATCACGAGAATCTTCCAGTCTTAAAGACCTCGCATGACGCATATGGTAATGGTGGTCGTGTGGGTGCAGGCGGTCGCGAGAATTACCACAGGAGGGGTCACGAAGGGCACCACGAGAGTTGGGCCGGACAGCATCACAAGGGTTGTGTACTGATGGGAGATGCGGTCAGTCAGCACGACTTGAGCTCGACGGGTGGATCAAATCATTCAGTCTATCAATGGATCAGCGATGATTTTGGTAAGGGATGAGGTTGTCCCAGCCGCACCGTATCCTTCGCCGCTTCCTCGGCTGCTGCTTTCACTTCCTGAAAAGATAGGATACATCAGCATTGGCGTAGGAAGAGCAACACACATTCATCCCTCATAAGCCTTTTCGCGCCCCTTGCAATGCTTCTCGAGCAATTCTAGATGTGGGATGTCGCCCTTGTTCCATTCCCTCTCATCTTCGAGCTCCTTCTCCAAATGTTCCTACTCCACATATCAACAGCGCAAATAAAAGGGAGAAAGATCAAGCGTTCACAATTTGCGAGGCGAATTGTTCATCACCACGACCATCTAATCATCCACCATCTCTCCTGGCTGCACGAGCAGGACTAGCAGTAATAGCTTGAAGAACTTGGGCAAAGTTGAGGGAGGGGTTGGAGGTAAGAGTAGCGGGACAGTAGAATGCGACCGACTGCAAGGGGAGATCAACGTGAGAACGTGCACTTCGGATGATAAAATGAATGAACGACAAAGCAGGAATAGAGCGCCGAAACGCCGCCAAGCTTTCCGCTGCAACCCACAACCCACAAACTACTCAATCCATCACCCGCCTGCGCCAAAGGAATCTCGAACCCTGGGCTAAGAGTGAGATAACACACGTTGTAGAGAAGAACCACAAGGCCAGTCGTGAATAATTGGTTTCGGCCATATGTTGGTGCGCTTCTGAACCAGCTAGTGAGGCGGGTGGTGTATGGGATGGCGAGGAGGGAGAAGGAGTAGAGGAAGTATTTGAGGTGAGGTGCAGAGGGTGTTTGGCTGTCCATTTATCTGTGAGAGGAGATAATGATGGGTGTACGCGGTTCCTCGTCCCTACTCCGATCCAAGGCATACCAACACCGAGACTTAAAAAGGGAGTTTGACGCCCCGGTGGAGAGTAAGAAGTCCAGAAAGTGAATATAATATCGATGTGATCCGGTGGGTATCCATCCTATCATATGCCCCGTGCAATCAGTATCTCGGTGCAGCAAGTAATTGTCACGCACGTTAACATCTTCCGGTACTAGAATAACTAGTTGCGTGCGACGTGAAGTATGCGTTGCAAAGACAATCTCGTTTTATTGCTAGCTATGCACAGGCTTTGCAGCGTTCTAATTTCAAGCTCTCCAGAAATTGTAGATACATTCAAGGCAGAGGAAAAGGTACTCAACCAAGGATGCCACTTCAGATAGTAGTGGCATGCGAGAGTATCGGCATCCAGACAACCGGTAACAAGTTCTTTAAGAAGTGATTCTGCCTCGTCATATTGGTCTGCATTGAAGGGGGCGATGGCCTGAAATACGCGATGAAGCGGAGAGTATGTGAGGTATATGTAACATACCTTGATAAGTGGAGGAAATGAAGGGTTTCAAAATATTGGTCCGTATACATTCAAGTTGATGCGACATCAAACGCTGCCCTTGCATACGCAACACGGCCTTTCCAAGAGGGCAATACCCTTGAAGATGTAGTCTGTCAATGATGGCTGAATGCTGATGGACTATGTTATTGTCGAGTTGGTCTTCTGTAATTAAGCCAGATCAGCACTTATGACTCACCTTGATTGCATTCTGAAGGGCGCGGTCCCAGTCGCTTTGTCGAGCCATCACAATGATTGACGGGAGTACGAAGGGTGAACGTTGAGTACTTGCCCTCGTTTAAACGCTGGGTCATAGTGCGAAAGTCCATCGGGTATTTGATCTCCTCGTAGTACTTATACCAATGTTGTGATAGTGCAAGATGTCACATACGTAGGACATCCGTCTCTCTGTTATTCGGACAAAGGACATGAATACTGAAGGTCGTTACTATCTATAGCGTGAGTATTAGTATGTAATGAATCTGAGTGTACGAGTCCGCGATGCACTATTAAGCCCAAAGGATATGCACTAAAGGTCGGTACTAAAGTGAGTATGTAACGAACGCTCACATCAATCAACGTGAAGTCCATGATGTGGAAAGTTTGATCATCCCCCTCGGAGCCTGCCTCGTCCTCATTACTCTCGTCAGGCTGAGTAAATGCACGTAGGGTGACTGGTTATAGTGATCGCTGGGCCTCCTCGTCTCCCTGCAGGAACTTGAAGCGTCTTCCATGCTCTACCGGGGGCATTGCTATGGTTGTACTACGATCTGACTGGGTGAATGGCACCCATGCCAGGGTCTCGGATTCTTTCCTGAGTGCGCATCTGATCCTGGGCAGGGATTTGGGCTTATCAGAGTGATGTAATTGTAACGGTTAAGTGCATTTCTTGCTTGAAATTCTGACGTGAAACACCTTTAGCAGCGTCTTTGCAGAAGCAGGAAAACACGATCAAAGTGCTACTGATCCGATGTGCCATGATCACTTGCCAGGCAAAATAGTACTAGCAAGGTGGCACGTTCTCACTCTATTACGTAGCGAGGCGTGTTAGAGTTTTTTCTTTGGGCGAGCGGAAAACGCCGGCCCGTCTCGTTTCTGCTCCCCTCGACGTATCTCTCGTCGAGCTATTTTCTTTTCCCCGCCCTCCGCTCCCTTCTTCACCATCCTGATTAATCAAAATCACGATGATAGGCCTCGCATTATGAGAACGCTCCTGTGGACCCGATCAACATAATCTCCCTTGGATCCCTGCGAGGCCGGCAGCTCACATCCTCTTGGCAGATCTTCGGTTGGGGCCTATTGGCGCTTCCCGCTATCACCCATTATCTTAGTGCTTCATTATCTCACTAGTTTGTATCATAGCTATGCACCCAATGCATGTGTTCTCCTGAACAGTCTCTCCTCTCAAACGTTAGAGCGTCCCTCAAAGATCGTTACGAGACATTCAAGATTCCTGTTCAATATAGTGATTTGGAGTGATGTTGATTGCGGGTCCTTTAATTAGGTAATATATTATGATATTGCTTTTAGCGATGAAAATAAACTTGAAGGACATAATGCCCTGCATATAAGACAACATAACTTTCTCACCAGTCCTCTAATGCATGCACGTACCGAATAGTAGCTTCGTGGGATGTGCTTTAAGGAGAGTAATAAAAAGACCGATGTCAAGCGCTCATAATCCTATTCCAGCCCGCCCAAAATGCCAGCTATTCCAATCCCTCTTGCTCTGATTCAACTCTGGATCGCCGATCCAACGCTGCCATGGTCTAATCCGGTATGGCAGTCTCTGACACACGTTTTTGGCGACCCGTGGACGTACGACCATGGTGGGGGTACAGTAACCCATGTTGCTGAATGGACAATAGGCAAGGCTCAGGCAGTCGAAACCTTCATGAACAATTGTAAGGCGGCAGAGGATCCCGCGGAACACTATGCTGTGAAGTGGAAGGACAATGACCATGAAGGTCGTTCCTCATGGAATGCCTGGGTTAAAACTTCATGGGTTAAATGGAAGATCAATACACTGGTCGACCACATCTTGCAGGAAAGTGGTTGTGAGCCGCACGATGTTATGGCAAGGATGAATTGCAAGACAGCGGAGGATGTGAGTTATGTGCCAATCTGTTTACCTCATAACATGACAGTCGTACGCTTAGTTTCCGACGATGGAAGCTGCTCAGGTGAAGCAGGCAGTTTCCGTCAAATTGGCCGACGCATTATTCGGTGACGATGCATTCAGCGACGGATCCTTCGTTATACCAAACATCATGACGTTTATCACCATGGTGTTGGTATTGACGTGGGGCAGATATAGGAAGGTAATCAAAAGGCAGGCCAACAGTATTGAGAGGAAGGCTCTCGAAGTTGAAGAGCAATGGCTAGGTAAGTGTTGTAGATTAGTCAGTTAGGGCGGGGGTTGACCATCGCGCAGCCATGACTGCCGAAAATTCAAAACCCACCTTGACTAAGATCCGCAGCTACCTAAAGAAATTGGAATCATTGGTCACGCTTCTTAGCGTATTCAAGGACCAGGAAACGGTCGAGAAACTCAACGCGCGTCGTGAACAAGTCAATACCATGCTGGCCGCTGCCAAGAAAGATCCCACCAAGGCAGAATCCATTGCACGTGAGTGGGTCAATATCCGACTAGCATGTACGCAGTAATTGAAGGCATTAATTTAGGACTACCTAAATCTCTTCGGGAGGCGCTTGACAAGCTGGCCACCGAAGAGGAGGTCAAAGGGCTTGAACTTATGATTGAAACCACACTGGCTGCAATGGTGCCCCTCGAAGGTGACGAGGTAGTGATAGACTTCAAGGATAATATTGATGTGAGCGACTGGAAGAGTGGCGTGGAGGAATACGACCAGTGCAGCGAGGATGACCTCTGGGAGCAACTGGGCTTGTCAGAGAAGAAACTTCCTTTTTTCCAGACACGATCTGATCCCGACGCCACTATCGATCCCTGGAGTGAAGAAGGTCAGCTATGGCTTGATAATCCGACGAGTACGGCCCAGATCCTGTCGCCTCGGTGGCACCAGCTAGTTGGCATTTTGCGGTTGATTGACAGGGTGTTAGAAGGTGAACCGGTGCTGCTGATGGATGGCGTTGGCGTCGGCAAAACCATGCAGGCTGTCGGATTGATCGCATGCCTGGCGCACTACAGGGAACATTACAAGAAACACGGAAAGTTCCCTGGCAAATTTGGTAAGCAATGCGTTTGGCATCCGGGACTACTGCACGCACTAATGTTTATGCCAAAGCTCAACGATCCTATAAGAAGACCGGGGGCAACATACCAGATTTGCCCACCGTGATAATGTGTCCTCCAAACTTGCAACATCAATGGACAAGTGAAATACAACGGTATCTAAGGCGAGCGACATTCGACGTTCTTCCCTACGCGGGTAAATATACAGCACGGTCACAGTGGTGGACGGTAGCTTGGGCCAAGTGTCAGCAACCTCTAATACGACGCATCATCCTGACTACAACAAATGTAAGTGCCTGCTGTGAGTGACTGGCAGAATATAAAATGATCGTGTTGTTACATAGGCGGCGCACGACGATGCTGCCACCGTTTTTATCGAAGGCGATAGGGACAGCTACGGGCAGCCGATAGCTAGCCCCCGCTTCGAGCGGACAAGTCCTAATACTTTATTCGGTCGAGAATACAATGTGACGTTCTTCGACGAAGCTCATTGTGCACGCAAATACAACAAAGTCCACGTCGCAGCTCGAGGACTTCAAGAGAGGTCTCACTCAATGGTTGCCATGACCGCAACGCCAGTCACCACAAAACCCTCGGTAAGCCGCCTAAATGCCATTACTGTGTCACTGCCGTAGTAGCTGACGTCGCTTTTGATGGACTCCAGGACCTTTGGATTATGGGTCAGCTCCTTGGCCTTCAGCGATTCAAGGATACAACACAGCTTAAAGCTATGAACCGAGAATTGGCAGCGGCCCAGCGGAGGGATCGTAAGGCGCAGAAAGAGGCAGGGGTTGAAGGATCGATACTGCGAGCTGTCTTCGTGGGCAACCACAATCCCGAGGCTGCTGAAGAAGAATACCTGCCCGCAATGAAACGATGGATGGGCCGGATGCGAGAGTGGTTCTCCCCTACTATTATCCTTCGTACCCTGGACTCCATTGACAATACAGGCAAAAGAATTCTAGGCCTCCTTCCCTATCATGACCATAGCTTGAAAATCAAGCTGCTTGACTGGGAGATGGACAATCTGAGGCGTATTGCGCGGGGATACCTGGATGACTGTCCCATTGTGGGGATGAGCAAGGTGAGGTCTATTGCTCCTGGCCTGTCATAGGACTGTCATCCGAGCACCGAATTTTTGTTGTGCAGAATTTCTACGTTGAATTTCGACGGTCCATCCTTCATCCGCATATGAACTCAACTGAGGAACGATCCTGGACAAAACCGAAATCCCTGGAGGAATGGCAAACCAGCCCTGATATCAAAAGTATGAAGTTGGACGTTCTGGCTAAACTTCTTAAGTATCATTTGGAATCCGACGGTCGCCAGCCATTGATGATGGACGAGAGCGGTCGCAACCTAGTTCCTAACCCGGCATTCACGGCTGGCAATACCAACCCAAATGAGCCGGACCGAATTGTAGTATTCTCGTCTTTCGTCACCTCCAATCAGGCCATTGTGGATGTATGTTCTATGCTTGGCTCCTGCAGCCTTCTGGCTCAATTCTACCTTCCAGATTTTAGACCTTCATGGTGTACATGCGCTGGAACTTAATGGCCAGACCCCTATGAGAAAGCGCAAGGACATCTTGGATGAGTTTAGGTCATCTGCACGGCCTAAGGGAGCGCGTGTCTTGATTTTGTCAGGCGTAGGCATGGTAGGCTTAAACTTGGCCTGCGCTAATATAATGTTAGTCATGGTGGGTACATTATTGTAAGCGCTTGCATGTCAAATGTAGTTGATCTTTGTGATAGGATACCCTTTGGTCAGAACAGGACGATCGACAGTTACGTGGGCGGATCTACCGTCATCCTCAGGCTAAAGAGGTGCACATTTACCGAGCCATCGCCTTGAAGACCGCAGATGTCTTTCTTAATAACATTTCATTCTCGAAGGGCGCGATGCATGATGAATTTGTCGGTGCTCCCAAAGAATTCCGTAGGTGTCTGCCGTGTGTGCCTAGGGATTAGCTAAAGAACGTCTCTGTAGGGAGCATCTTCGATGGCAGTGATGACACCATGGGTGATCTGATATCTGTTGGTCTATCAAAGTTAGATGACTTCACTGACGATGGCGACCTCATGGATGTCGACCCCGAACCCGTCGTAAGGAGCAAAACCGGAAAAAAGAAGGCTCGTACCAAAGCCACAGTCAAGACCGTAATCCTTGCCAGAGCAGCTACGAAGCGCAAGGGTAAGGGAAGGGACGTAATGTCCTTGACGGTCGACACAGATGATGAATCTGAGGGCACCTCGCACAAACGGCGCAAGAACATGCAGCCATCGTCGCCCGTGATCATAAGCAAGGAGGCGGCTGGTACAACCAGCGAAGCTACAGTGCCGCTCCAGTTGGAGGGTGGGACTCGATCATTCTCCCTACCGTCCGCACCCAAGGACAATTCAGTAGCAATAAAGTTCAGGGACAATCACGACGAGTCACCCCTCTCTGAGTCACCTTCTCGCTCCCTTCAGCCTTCTTCTCACCATCTTCCCTCCTCTTCTTCATTTCCAACTCCAACTCCAACTCCAACTCCAACTCCAACTCCACTTTCACCTTCACTTTCACTTTCACCTTCACCTTCACCTTCACCTTCACCTTTATCTCCACCTCCACCTCCACCTCCATCTCCACCACAACGCCCCCGCCCCCACCATCCGTTTACTGGTCACAGTCCGACTCCCGATGCTCGGCCAGAGCAACTTGCGAGCGTCCAGGGTGATCGCTTGCGCTGCAGTACCGAGGTGGCATTGACTGGTCGCAGTCCGACTCCCGATGCTCGGCCAGAGCAACTTGCGAGCGTCCAGGGTGATCGCTTGCGCTGCAGTACCGAGGTGGCATTGACTGGTCGCAGTCCGACTCCCGATGCTCGGCCAGAGCAACTTGCGAGCGTCCAGGGTGATCGCTTGCGCTGCAGTACCGAGGTGGCATTGACTGGTCGCAGTCCGACTCCCGATGCTCGGCCAGAGCAACTTGCGAGCGTCCAGGGTGATCGCTTGCGCTGCAGTACCGAGGAGGCATTGGCTGGTCGCAGTCCGACTCCCGGTGCTCGGTCAGAGCAACTTGCGAGCGTACAGGGTGATCGCTTGCGCTGCAGCACCGAGGAGGCATCGCTTGCTCCTAACTTTGAGGTGGACTGGAATGATAGCGGCAACCAGGACTGGAATGATAACCAAAGCCACCACTGGAATGACAGCGGCAACCATGACAACCGCTTGACGGTGGAGCAGCGGCCCCCGCACGTTCACCGCGCCTCATTAATCAAGAGGAATTCGGCTATGATGTCCTCTTCCACGAGGGCAGCAGTTGGCAGGGACCTGGACAAGTCTGACATACCTCGAACTTGCCATCGCCCAGTGAAGTTCAACCCTGTCCCATTCGGCTTAGGTCCTATTCATTCTTCCAGATTCTCCTCCAATGACCGCATGCCACGGCAGCGGTCTCGCAAATAGGCTATGTTGTAAGGTCTTCTTTTGTTGCGTCTCTTGTTGATATCACACCCACAATTACTAGTTCCCTTGCAGGCCCAGCGTATATATGATACATGAAGCTCATCTAATTACCTATTGCTTACATCTTCGGAGCATTTAAACTGACCGTTGTTTCGATGAATTTTAATCCTTGACCAGTGTTTTGTCAAAGAAAATTGCCTGTAACCCAAAGAATTTGATTGGTAAACAGCACCTGTAGTGTTGAAGCTAGAAGATATTAGATTAAACATGGACTTTGAGGCACAAATGATTCTAAACCTTTGACAGTGAAGTATCAGGTCCAGTAAAAATAGGGCAGATGCCCTTGCACGGACATTGGTGGAATTGTAAGGTTGAAGGAGATGGTAGACCTAGATTGATGGAAATTCAAGTTGTGCAAAAAATCTCAAAGATGAAGCAAACCAGACATGAGCCACAAATCAAGGAAAGTCAAGGAATAAAGCAGCCAAAATCAAGTCAAATTGCAACCAAATTCAATCATCGGCCCACAAATCACCACCGCAGCAATAATTATGATGCCAAGATCCAGTCAAAATCAATCAATACCAAAGCAACAAAACATCAAAAATTCAAGTCAACAAGAAACAAAATTCCAACCTCTCCTGCAGCAAAAATAAAGGCAAGTCAAGCAATAACTACACACCCAAATGTCCATAGCCTTATGCTGACATTGGATGAAAATTGTTTCACACATGTAAGCATGTGGTAAAAGCAAGGTTTGAACGACCGTTTATTAAGATCAGTAAAAAATGCTCAATGGTGGTTGATTTACTGTGTTTATGAGACCAAATTTTCTGAGGTCAGATTGAGGTCAGGCTGAGCACTATGGCCACCCTGGACAGGTGGTGGTAGTGCAGTGCGCAATACACCAAGAGTTCCTCTCGACCTCTACTTTTTTTCCCTCTCAAAAAGCACTTTTTTTTGATCCAAAAACCTCGAAACGTCCAAATGTGAACAGAGCGCTTGTCTGTTTGTCTTTGTGTATTGGCCTAACAGTTGGTTATTTGTGCTTAGTGAAAAACCTTGCAACATCTGAACATGAACAGAGCGCTCGTCTGTTTGTCAAAAACCAGTCCTAGATTCCTAGCAATATATCTATGATAAATGATGGATTTATTTATACAATGGTAGTGGTTATATCGTAGAATTCGAGAAGATGAGGCAGTGAGTAGGGAGACATGAAACGACTTCAAACTGACATAGTGATGGATGTGAACGTGGTGCGAAACAAATTAGTGGACAAGGTAAAGCATAGGGAGACACAAGGCAACTGCAAGCTGATGGTACGATGAATCCTAGAACATGTGAACGTGATAGGAAAAAAATTAGCGGACAAGGAAGCCATGGATGCCAGGAGTACATACCTATTGAATATCACTCTATATCACATGTCAATATCCATGTCATCCTGTGATGAAAGGACGTCAGAAACGAATAGTTGTGCTGAGAGATGCACAAACCGAGTGAGCATGCATCTCTACGTCAATGTCGTCAACATCCATATATTCCTGCAATGGAGTTGCTGAGAGATTGAGCACACAAAATGAAAAATACATACCGGTTGAGCACTGTTCTCTGTTATGCTGTCGCACACCTCCATTGCATCCTCCCCACCGGCCTTGTCATCATCGACGATCATGTAGTTTTCCTGCAATGAAAGAATGTAAAAAATGGATAGATAGATAGATAGATATCTTTACATACCGGTTGAGTGTTGTTCACGACATCCTCCCCTTCGCATTCGTCGTGGTCAATGTTCATTGGTTCCTACAACAAATGAACATTAAAAAAATGGACTAAAGTATGCATTACACTTACTAGGTGAGTCCCCTCCCCTTCGCATTCATCATGGTCAACGTCCATCGAGTCCAACGAAGCAACAATCTATGCACCTTCAGTCTTATGTAGATACGAAAGCATTTACTGAATGCATCATTGTACTAGTGGTTACTATCAGATAATGTAATGGTAAGACATTGGTCAAAGATGTTGGTCAGCTATTCATTGTGACACATTGTGATTGTGATTGTGACGATCACCTCTGAGTTTCATCCGTCACCGCTGCAATACAGCGAAGCAGCACACCAAACTCAAACTGCACGAAGTTGCCACCAAGTGAGTAATACACTCATTTTCGAATTGTTCTGAAGCTTACAATATTTAGGTATGGGATGAGACTGAACGGCGCAATGCTCAAAGGTCCGGAGTTAACCGCATTCTGCGAAATGAGGACACAATCATACTTGGTGCCACCACCGCGATCCACCACCCCACCCGTCAAAAAAAATGCTTCCAGTCCAGTGGTTGATCTCACAGGTCCCAGCTCATCGCCATCCAACACATGGTCCACCTGGTCCGAAAGTTTGGATGTTGATAAGGCATATAACCCTATGTCAACCACCAATCCCACCTTTCCATCAACACACGATCCCTGGGCTGTTGATACCCAGAACACTGAAGCGGAGAATTTGCCGGACAACAGTGTGTCCTCAGTCTCAGCATCGCAATGTCTACTTATTTCATTCTAGGCCCAATACCTTGGTTGACGTCAAAAGAATTTTCATTGACACTTTCAATGTATCACGTTGTAGAAACAACAATACAATGAGGAACAAGGATGCTCCTAACTGTATCTATAAAATGTTGTGAGGTCGCGCGTTACCTAGTCTGCTATTCTTGAGGAGACAAGTGCGTTCGACCCTAGGGGAAGCGAGTGCTGCGAAGATCTAGAGGTACGCGCTTCAGCGAAGCGTGAGAAAGCGCAAGTGCGCGCAAGGTACGAAGGCGCGGGAACGCGCGCGCGTATTAGCGCGAAGCGCGGGAAAGCGCGCGTGCGTAAGCGGAAATAAAAGAGACTAAGCTTAAGTGATGATATAAAGCAATATAAGAAAAGATAGATGCAAAGTGTAGACCAATAGACTTCTACTATGTACTGCTAAGTAAATAGTGGGTGATAACTAGTAAGTTCAAGGGAAAAGTAAGGTAAGTAATAGTATGTACTGCTGGCGCTTATATAGCGCGCCTAAGCGCGGTCATGCGGAGCCGAAGCGCTACCGAGTAGGTATGTAAGGATATATATGAGTGAGAAACTATGATAAAAATAAAGGTGGAACTATGCTAATAAAGGAAATGGAAATATACGTACTAGGAAGCTTGGTGGACAGTGGATGGATGCATCTGAATGGCTGGCGCTATAGGGCGCGCAAGCGCAGGAACGCGCGCGCGCGTATACATCGCGAAGCACGGGAATGGTGCGCGCATGGCGCGCGTTGCGTGGGAAAGCTGCGCGTCATATAGAGATAGCTGTGGGTAGCGCACAGAATGACGCTGCGAGTTTGTGCTGTATACTTCCTAGTGAAACCTGCCATATCACACCATGAGACACACGAGTCTCTACAACATGTTGTTGAAGGTGTCGCCTAATTTCCTCCATGGTAGGCTATACAAGTGATTTGTATCGATGGCTTGTCCCGACTCATTCTGTGGTGAAAATGGACTGGCACCTGAGGGTCACATGGCCACATTCTGTACATCCAACGGCGCAGGCACTGCTATCAAACACCATCATATCCCCGCCAGCGATCTGAGCCCAGCTCCTCCACGCAAGAAAAACCAACAGTGCCTTGTTCTGGACAGGGCTCACCATGGGGCTCTTGGAAACTGTCGTAAATTGTTGGACCAAGAAAAAGACTGTTGACCTTAGGCTTAGTGAAACTGTCACTGTAAATCTGGGTTTCAATCAGCTATGTCTGGTAGAACCTGCAAAACGTATGAAGTGATATATACTGATAGTAGAGTACATGAGTCTAGTTATTGGGGACAATTACCTCTGTTCTTATCTTACAGTACATATCTTATCTCAGTTTCACTTCAACCTGTACTATTCATGTTGAGTATCCTGTAATAATACATGCATCAGGAAATCAACCTGGACTTGATATGACCAGGTAGAGCTGACAAATAAAACACATTATGATACATTTAGATTTAGAATTATACATTATTATCTTGGCACAGCATGTGTATGAAAAAATATATGACTATGCCAGGGGCAGGTCATTTTGATGTGCATCTTGCAAGCATCCAACAAGTTTATGAAGAAAGATATGACTATGCCGGGGGAAGATCAACATGCAACAAATTTATAACAGAATATATGACTATGCCTGGGGTAGGTAATTTTGATGTGCATCTTGCAAGCATTCAACACATTTATGATGAAAGATATGACTGTGCGGGGGGCAGGTCATTTTGATGCACATCTTGCAAGCATCCAACAAGTTTATGAAGAAAGATATGACTATGCTGGGGGCAGATCAGCATGCAACAAATTTATAACAGAATATATGACTATGCCTGGAGCAGGTAATTTTAATGTGCATCTTGCAAGCATTCAACACATTTATGATGAAAGATATGACTGTGCCGGGGCAGGTCATTTTGATGCACATCTTGCAAGCATCCAACAAGTTTATGAAGAAAGATATGACTATGCCAGGGGCAGGTCATTTTGATGTGCATCTTGCAAACATGCAACACATTTATGATGAAAGCTATGAATATGCCAGGGCAGGTCATTTTGATGCACATCTTGCAAGCATGTAACACATGTACTATGATGAAAGATATAAATTGTATCTAGATCACATAACAGCTGCAATAACTATGAGTGCAACAGTATGCTTTCATATCTGACATGGTTAATTATCTACAAAGCTTGATAACCATGGACTACAGATTGAAACTGATAATAAACCAAGTCAGATGTGTCAAAATTTTACTCAGCAGTATACAATAGTAACTCTAGATTTCCAATTTGTCCAGCTTCAAACATCATTGATATGATTTGATAGGTTGGATTGGGCTGAGTGTTAGCTTGGGGTGGTATGCAAACAGGTAGCATCATAAATCAACCTGAAATTAGGGGAGCTCACAGTAGGTCGCTTTCACTTTCACATTCATGTTCACTTTCATAATAAATTGTTATTTTCACATATACAGCAAAATACATAGAAACTAAATTAAATATACCATTTCTGGTGGATAGCTAGTATGCAATTTATATCCATATTAAGTTCTTGTGCAAGGTCTTTGAGTATCTGTGCAGGCTGAAAGAGTGTTCAAATGATCATGAAAAATATACAAGACTCTAAGTATTGCTGATGTAGCGAGCAGCAAGCCATATTACACACTACATACATGCTACCCAGCGGACAGTTAACTGCTTATATAACATACTGCTAACCCTTGTCCCTCACGTGTCAGCCAAAGCGAACATGAACATGAAAGTGAAAGCAATGTAGCACTCGAGCTTGCGCTAGGCTCGTATTCAGCCATTCCACGCATCATGTCAAATGTTCATTGCTCGATATTCACTTCCCGATGCAACCCAACACTTTGACCAGTGGACCCGACGCATCGGCCGCATCGGACCTGATGTTTTTCCTGCGCACTTGTCCTATCCGTGTCTTGCCTTGTCAGCTAGCCCCACTAGGTGCGTAGTTGATTATTTTGCACATTACTCACGTTGTAGCCAGCACTATTACATGTTTTCCCATAGTCCGCAGCGCCTCGTGTTTATTTACATGTACATTGGACCTGAAATTCTTCGGCCGCTACTTTCGCCTATAGGGTTCCGTATTTCTACGTACTTATGTATATATTGGTTCCCACATAGCATATTCATCATCCAAGTAGTAGGGAGCCGTTTCCCGACACTTTGTGGTCAAACCCGATATTTTCGTAGTTCTTAGTTGACATTGCGAATATTACCGCCCTTTCTATCCGAAACTCCCGTCACTATCGATATTCCGCATACCACTCGCTATACCCGACAACCATTTCCCTAACCCTACGCTAACCCGCCGAACCCGAACCCGAACCCGAAACCTGCTAAACCCGAAAAACATCGGCCAACACTTTGGCATCGGACTAACTTTTTCCAATAGAAAACCCCTCAGGTCGAACACACTTGTCTAGCAAGTATAGCAGACTAGGCTGTGCAAGACCACTACAACATTTTTATAGTGCTGACACTTACTTCGTATAGTTTCAAGCATTGTTGTATCTTTACAGCGACCTACTGTGAGCTCCTCTATTGATGTGACCAGATATAATTGGTAATCAAAACACATTATTACATACTATGTTTTAGTCTTGAAACTCTTTATCACAGTGTCACACATAGATGAGATATGACATGACTATACCACAAAAATATCACCTTGATGTGTATCTTGGCAGCAGACAACAATGTGATCACTAGGCTGTCCATGTGCTGTAATTCAATGGCTACAGATAATCATATCTCAGTAGAGTTATAAGAATTGACAATCAAAACACATTATGGTTTGGCCCTACAAAATTTTGTCATGGTGTCACACATAGATGAAAGAAGATAAGACTATCCAAGGAAAATATCAGCTTGATGTGTGCTTTGGAAGCAGACAACACTATGATCACTAGGCCATCTATACTATGTAATTGAATGGCTACATGTAATCATATTGTCAGCAACCTTGCAAAAATTGGCAATCAAAACACATCATGGTTTGGCCTTACATATTTTTGTTATGGTGTCACACATAGATGAAACAAGATAAAACTATACCAGAGAAATACCATCTTGATGGGCATCTTGGAACGATCCATTTTATTGCGCTCGCGCTCATATCTCGGATCCTTCAGCTATCAGCGCAACAACTCACTCGCATTCTCAAATAACATAGACTAAATCCAATTTACAACCAAGCTATCGTACAAGTACATACAAGTGTATCACAGGAGTACAGAAGCATTCAAAGAGGTGTATGAAGTTGAAAAGCAATCATCAAGCCAATCATCGGGAAGGGTGTCAGATGGAAGAGAAGCAAACATCACAGTGCTTCCAGAACATGTGCCTACAAGTCATATCAGTGTTAGAAACCGGAAGCATAACACACATGCCCACCATCATCAGTACCCTTGAACTCAGCGACCCGTGCTAGGGCTTCGGAAAACATGTCTACTTCGGCCTGTGCCCGTTGCTTCTTCAGGCCCAAAATATGTATGTTGGACTTGAGGACATCTAGAGTCTTGTTCTCTTTCAGAGTGAATCCGTCACTATTGTCGATGCGTTGAGGCTTGTTTTCCGCAAATGATGCGCTCATGTATGCACAATATGTGACAGGATCCACCCAAATCTTCAACAAATGAGGCAAAGATATCAGTACATCATTGGGCTGCATAGCGTCAGAATGTTGGGTGTTCATGTAGTATTAACAGCACTCACCCCTTGAAAATATTCGTGATGGTCAGGAACCTCTAAAGTTTGTGAAAAACCAAAAAGTGTTCGGTTTGCGTGAGATTCGACCTCTAGAGTGTCTTCAGGCGATAATGTCCGAAGCCATGCATGGCATTTCTCTCCAGTGTGTGTAGCGTTGTTTGCACGTCAGAAGCGATCAAAATCGATCAAGCTAGGTGCTGGGCATGCTACAACATACACGGTATTGCTCACTACAAGTGGCTTCTTTTGGCCAACTACAAACAATTTTGAGTGTCGATATCAATCCTTAGAACAGCATGGCTCACTCGAGTGAATTTTAGCATCAAGCACTTCGCATAAGTGTGCAATAGCATTACTGAACAACGAGACTTCCATTTGAGCTCGATACATTCTATGCTCCATCAAACATCCCCCTCAGGAACGAAAGGCTGCGCACTTTCTCTCCTCTTCTTGTTGGAGCTGCATCTGCATCACGCCCTCCTTAAGGCTCATGTCAAGGAGAGCCATAAGATCATGGGAGTCGACCCATCCAAATAGTATGGAAGCTGTATTGAATAGTGGGTCTGAAAGCTGGAAGCTGAATATTAGAAAAAGTATAAGAGACATGTGAGCACGCTCACAGTGTCATGCCCCTGTTGCTGAAGCGAAGATGTAAGGGCAGTTTCGGTCTGATCAGTCCCAAGAAAATGAGCATGGTACTGTTGTCCGTTATATGAGCATCCTACGACTTTTTGATCAATAATGATGTCAGATAACTCCTTGCCAGCCGGAAGGCGAGATCGGTCTAGCAGTGCCACAGATCCTTTGGGCATGTCATATGGAAAGTCCTGTAAAGCAACTAAGAGCGAGACAAAAGGGCCAGATTGTCCATCCTTCAATTTCAAGCTGGTAATGTAGCCTATAGCATTCTTGTACTTGCCGTGTTTTATTCTTGCCCACCCTGGGCTGGGCAGTTGGAATCGTGAGTGTTCAACAACCGCACGTTCTTCATCCAAGATGAGAAAATAATCTTTCACAGAGAATTGGTGTGAGGTCGGAAGTGACGAACTAATAGCCTGGGGACTCTCTGAGACCATGTAAAGCTGGCCCAGTACCCAGGGTGACACAGTAACAGGGAACCCTTTGTTTTGAAGATATTCTGCAATGTAGTCCATAACGCTTCCTGTAAACCAATGAATAACATGCTACTTGACTGAAAATGGACTTACTGTGAAGATTGAGCAGGTACATTCTGTTATAGATGGTGTTGGGAGACCAGGCAGCCCTGTAAGGAAGACGTCTTCCTGACAGTTTGGAAGCGCTGTAGAGACTCATGCCTCCCATGGTGTGATATGGCACTTATCACTAGGGAGTACATAGCACAAACTTGCAACACCCCTCTGTGTGCTATCCACAGCTATTCCTATATGAGGCGCAGCTTTCACGCGCTTCACGATATATATGCACATGTGCTCCTGCGCTTGAGCGCCCTATAGCGCCAACCATCCAGAAGCATCCATCCACTGTCCACCAAGCCCTCTAGTGCATATATTTCCATTTCTCTTATTAGCATATCATTCCACCTTTATTTTTATCATGGATTCTCACTCATATATATCTTTACATGCCTACTTGGTAGCGCTTCAGCTCCGCATAACAGCGCTTAGGCGCCCTATATAAGCGCCAGCAGTACATACTATAACTTTACTTACTTTTACCTCCCAATTACCTGTTACTACTTACTTACTACTTAGCAGAACATAGTAGAAACCTATTCTTTTACATCTCGTGCTCTCACATCTCTTATCTTGTATCATATCATCACTTAAGCTTAGTCTCTCTATCGTTTCTGCATACGCGCGCATGTTCCCGCACCTTGCATGCACCTGCACTTTCTTGCGCTTCGCTTCAGCGTGTACCTCTAGATCTTTGCTGCACTCACTTCCCCTTTAGGGTCGAACGCACTTGTCTCCTCAAGTAACGCAGACTAGGCAACACGCGACCTTATAACATTTATAAATACAGTCAGGAGCTTCATTTGTTCCTCACAGTATTGTTGTTTCTACAGCGTGAACTTTGTACGACTTGAAGATCTCGTCGATCTTTGTGGACAGCGTATGTTTAGCCGATGGTCCTGGCAAAGTTGTAACATTCCGAGGATGCGCAAGGGGCCGTACTCGTATTCTTCCTCTTCCTCTTCCTCCTCCCCACCTTCTCCTGCTTTACTGTCGACGAAGATACAACTTTTCAACTATATTTCTTTAGTATATATTTACAGGAGTGAACCTTACACTTACTCGTCGCCACTTTGATCTGAATGCAGCTGTGGGCACCAAACTCGATGAAGAGGTCTTGGGTACTATATATTTGTTTTTCAGGGCGGCCAAGTTTTCCATCGCTTTGGCGTCATCGCCATCACTGGAAAATAATGCGAGCTTGGCTTCTGCCCAGTCATCCGCACAGTATCGTTTGCCAAGGTACAATATCAATCCGTCTTCCATCTGTGCGTAGCCCAGATTGGACTGGAGGTACTGTTCTAGAAAATGCCATGCACCTGCATCATTTAGTGCGGATGGCGTGCAATTTCCTGTATCATACTCATGAGCAATTATAATGACGATGTAATACTATTATAACTCGCTATCATTACTCCTGATGCACTTTGAGGGGCATTCAATGTCGACGGGATCACTCTTGGGTGCTGCGTGTTTTGTCATTGTGAGTCTGTGCAGTCTTCACATTAATTCCCTCTTATAAAGTATTAACTGGTATTCTTACTGTGTTGATCTCTTCAGAAGTCTATCCTACATTATATGTAACAGTACTGTATGTATGTATCAAAGTAGTTGGAGTAGAAAGAAGACCTGCAAATGCGCGTGATCAGTATTTATAGTGAATGACTAATTTTGAGGTGATTACCAGGGTATCAAATTTCAGTTGTGGCCACTGAGGACTTTCTTTTGTTGGCTTCCAGTGTGACCAGCGCTGGGGAGTGTGGACTCAATTGCTAAGTCCCAGCCCTATTATAGTATATACTAAACCAACATTACATAGTGTATATAGCTCCAAAATCTAGGCTGAATGATATAGAATGTGTGAAAAATTCCATCCTAGTTGATATCGATAAATACTAGTACCAGTGGTTGTATGCAATATAATATTTTTCCGAGTCATAGTCAGTCCACAACTGCAGCCGCCAGATGTGTGTTATCACCAGCCAAAGCTCCGATCATCTGAATCACTGCACTACTCTACATAATCACAATGAAAATCTGGGCCCTCATGTCAAAGTCTCACAAGTCAGAAAAGAGATCATAACAATGGGTTGATACGCTCATATAGTAAATGGCAATATATTCAAACCCAGCCGGAAATACCCGCTTAGTCACTGAGGCAAATTCCAATGGAGTTTGGAACAGTCATTCACTATATCAAGACATTTCTTCTGCTGATGAACTTCTTTCTCAGCCATGAAGTCCTAATTAGCTTATTTGTGTACTAGTAGATCGTAGGAAGCACTTTACCTTCTTGTTTTCCTTATTACTGTAGTGCCTTGGTTAGACTTGAGAAAGTTTTGGTAGAAATAATCTTGTCTCACTGGCGATTGACTTAGGAGTTGTGAGTAGATGCAACACTGCCTGATAATAAATAAACTTCTACATAGTTACTAGCTGCGGTGAACAAAAGCTGTTGGGTACATTCGGAACATTTCTGTGATAGTCAAAGAAACTGGCCTCAAGGAACTTACAGCAAATCAGTCCTCGCTGTATGTGACACTTACAGTTAGTTTTCATCAATCATATAAACATATGTAGGTTGATGCTACACAGTGTCCAGTCCTTCACCTGATCATCATCCCCCGATGTCTGATACCCCAAGGTTTTTCGACGACATACCAGATCGTGCTCATGTACGTCAATATCTCATTCAGTGTTGTTTTTCCTGGCCTCAATATTCTCAGGTTTCTGTACGACACCACCTCCACCCTCAATCATGGGTCTCGCATGCAAGCACCCTTAGTGGCCAGTCTTCTTTATTCCACCTCATATACCCCAATACTCACGGTACATCATGTCGACCCCACCCTCTCCACTGGGTTCAAAGTCATATTTCTGGAAGATGAAGTGGTGAAGATGTCGAGCTCTGCATCCCTCAGCAGTTGTCGATGTTCCTTCCATATACCAAGGGCAAACATGTATGTCATCTTTGTCCTTCTCAAATATTCAGACCCCCTCTCATATCACACAGAGGAACACATCAGCAAGAGAAAATTGGATAAAAATAATTACATTGAAACCCAGGAACCGTGCCGCAAGCACCATTTGCCCTCCCAATAGCAATGCTATGGAATGGTGTGCCTCAAGCCCGATCTTCAAAAGCACAGGCTGCTGTCTCTGCTTCCACCACTTCACATCGCTAACATGACTTCACACACCAATCCTCACGCAACGATACAAAGTTCTGGACTTGCTTCCTGCTGTTTTTTTTTACCTATCTCAAGTATCCCAATTACCATCATTTATATATGATATACGAAAATGTCATTAACAAATACTGGTCTGTATATGGTAGACTGCAAAGTGCACTGACAGGAGGTGGCGCTCAGGTGTGGCACATATATGGAGTCAAACCGTCCTTAGATATGTAAACTCAAATATCATGTCCATCACTATGCTCTCCCCGTTCCGAACCTATATTTTTCCACCCTATGTATGGAGAGAAGCGGGGAGAAGAAGCGCCTATTGGGATCTGCCAGGGAATCTCAGGCACATAAATGCCGTGGGGCATGTGGTGCTCGAGGTTTTCTGCGTGGTAGTACTCTTCAAGCCACCTATACCTGTACATATGCACCTTGTCCAAAAGGTACGCAGCAGTTCTTTCCACGTCCCTGAGCTGTTTTCTAACTTGATGTAGCTTAGATCTTGCTTTTCTGTATCTTTGTCGGTGATCTGCATCAGATCTCCTTGGTGTTCGCACTGAGGAACTTGAGGTAAATTGATTAGTTTAATATCACCCGCCTGACACTGACATACTTTGGTGTTGCATCATTTCTAATGTTGATGGATCGCTTCAGAGAGGGCGAGTCGGTCATGTCAGGGACACTGATCTTTTTGCTATAGTGCCTGTGACTGTAGCTCTTTGCGATGATCACGCTGTAGGACTGAGAGTCCTCATGGCCTTGTAAAGGCTATTTTTGCGTTGTCCCATAGGTCCTTGCATTGCGCGCACTAACGCTAATGCGGCGCGCATCTTTTCCATTATCGGCCGACGGCTGCGGCTCATGCGTGTATATCGGACCGTATTGGCTTTTACTCGGCCCTGTCACGCGTCCTTATCCTGTCCTATCCATGTCCTCTGCTGGTCTATCGGTGCGTATTTCACTTGTTTTGGAATAGACTGACCATAATTCCGACGCTAATGTGTTTATATCGCTATTACTTTCGTCATGGACCCTTATTACCTACAGCCATTACCTACTCGGCTCCAAATAGCGCTTCGGCGCGTCCTCTTATATACTTGTACTTACGAATTTCATGTATCTTTTTACCTCCCATATAGAATCCATCATTCACTTGCACGCAATACCGCCTGAACCAAAGAATCTAAAATGTTGTATCAGCCGCCGCGCGTAACTACTGGCCTTTCGCATTATTCCTAATACTTTGCGGCACCCGCATATCTTCCCGCACGGCCATGCTTCTATCGTGCGCTAACATATCTTTGGCTGCTCACGCTCGTTCCACGCCATGTCATCGGCGGCTCGCTCACGCTCGCATTGCATTGCATTCGCATTCACGTCCCATCCATTCTCAACCACCCTTACTAGTTTCAGTGATTTCCCTCCACTTTATATAGAGGAATCATTCTTAGTAGCATTCCCCTTGGGCCGAAATATATACTCGTGTCCAGAGGTCTATTTGAGTTTCACCCCACTTCACTTTTTCTTCTCCCTTTACCCCTTCTCATCAAGCTATCATTCCTCACGCACAATGCACTCTAATATTTATATTCATTGAATGGCAAGTCCGTTTTATTATGAAAGTGATGGCACTCGGACAACGAGAATTTTGGTATTATGATATTGATGGCGAACAGATGACGAGGATATTAGTATTACAATATTGATGGCGCTCAGATGGTGAGTTTGTTGTCATCACATACTGTTGGTCTTCAGACTTATATAAAGTGTCTCACTTTCTGTTGTATCAGAACCACCTCATACAGTTTGGTATGAGGAACAACGAAACAACCCCTCTCCTAGCGAACCATCGCGCAAGCGCAGTGGCTCAGCACTTCATATGGGACCGTGTAAAAAGGTGTACGTGTTCCGTCAGTAGTGAATCCTTGCGTTCCTAACTTTTCCCGACCAGGACTTTGTCAAATCCACTCGTTCTGCACAGTCGACATTTTGATAGTACAGTTTTTGCACTATGCAACTATCCTGCGCTCCTGACAGCAGGTATCCTCTGGCTTGAAGAATTGCAGGACTCACCGATCGAGGATTTCCTAGCCGAGTGAGTTCAGTTGCACCATATGCCGCCACAACTTAATGTGCTGTCAATGTTAGTGTTTGGCGAGAACACAGGGTATTCATGGAACTCGTAGATTCTTATCCTGGTCTTATGGATTGTCTGACAAGTGACGAAGAGGAGGATGTTATCCATGTTGGAGAACTGGTGAGTTAATTTTTGTATGTTGGAAGATTACAATGCTCACTTTTTGCAGTTAGGTAAAGGGGCCTCTGGTGCACGAGGGGACAACACTAAGACCCTCTGCCATCCTTGAATGGCTTGTGCCCAGAGGTCAGGCCATCATACCACCTCTCTCCCGAAACATCAAGTGCGATGTAGCACTCGAGCTCACGCTAGGCTCGTATTCAGCCATTCCACGCATCACGTCAAATGTTCATTGCTCAATATTCACTTCCCGATGCAACCCGACGCATACCCGCCGAACCCGACACTTTGACCAGCGGACCCGACGCATCGGCCGCATCGGACCCGATGTTTTCCCGCGCTCTTGTCCTATCCGTGTCTTGTCTTGTCAGCTAGCCCCACTAGGTGCGTAGTTGATTATTTCGCACATTACTCACGTCATAGCCAGTGCTATTACATGTTTTCCCATAGTCCGCAGCACCTCGTGTTTATTTACATGTACATTGGACCCGAAATTCTTCGGCCACTACTTTCGCCTATAGGGTTCCGAATTTCTATGTACCTATATATATATTGGTTTCCACATAGCATATTCATCATCCAAGTAGTAGGGAGCCGTTTCCCGACGCTTTGTGGTCAAACACGATATTTTCGTAGTTCTTAGTTGACATTGCGAATATTACCGCTCTTTCTATCTGAAACTCCTGTCATTATTGATATTCCGCATACCGCTCGCTATACCCAACGACCATTTCCCTAACCCGCCGAACCCGAACCCGAAACCCGCTAAACCCGCTAAACCCGAAAACATCGGCCGACGCTTTGGCATCGGACTAACTTTTTCCAATAGCAAACCCCTCGGGTTGAACACACTTGTCTAGCAAGTATAGCAGACTAGGCTGTGCAAGACCACTACAACATTATTATAGTGCTGACACTTACTTTGTATGGTATCAAGCATTGTTGTATCTTTACAGCGACCAGGGGTTCAATCATGATATCACTGGTGCATTGCTCTGCCCTGCAGGCCTCGACTGGTCGAATGCAGAGTAAGTTTGAACACCCACTATCCCATAACCAAAATGTCATGATGCTATCCAGAACCAAGCAAAGTCTTAAGAGCGGTGAAACTGCAGTCCGTGGTGACCAGTGGCCGATGTTTCTATATGCTGGCTACATTTATGATTCTGAAGATCTGTGGAAGGTCTTACTGAGAAGCGAGATACTTGTGTTCGTGAGTCCATTCCATTTGTGATAAAAGTCTCACTTTGCAATGATTTCCATTGACAGGGCTTCAAACATGTATTCACATCTCCAAGCTCAGTGGATAAGGAGCCCAAAGCCACATGCTCGGGCAATGCATACCTCCATGGAATGAAATCTGCAACTAAAGGTTCCCTCGGATATATTGCCACACAGGCATGTGCTAATTTTACCTCTTATGTATCTGGTATTGATTATGCCTCAAGATTTGGTTTTGTTAAGTTCCTTGTCTGTATTCTCACGTACCGATACGGTCACGGATTCAGAAAACTTCTACCATAGCATTCTTGACCTATTGGAGGATCCTGACGAAAGTGAAGAAGTAGGTGATTTGATGACTTGGTGGACTCAGTTTGTAGTGTATTCCGTCAATCTCAAGCTTCAAGCTAATATCATGTGCAGTCGAATTTTTCCTAATTCTTCCTCCTCACAGCGCAGTATCAGCAAAAATAGTGCACTGGTGAAAATTCGGGAAAAATGTGCTGCTCTTTGAGAATGAGCTGCTAGTACTTTTAATTAGTTTATTGTGTTTCGTAACTGTACTGTACTGCAAATGCTTGTGAACCCTAGTAATGTTATTAATGAATATTTGATGTTATTGGATGCTGTACTGTGAGCATGAAGATGGATCACTCATTTCATAACATGGGAATCTTGATACTGTGACAGGGGTATGGGCAAGGCAAGATGGCACTAACTTGCTTTTGACTGACAACTCTTTATCACCCCTGGCACATTGTCAGTAATTGTGGACTCTGCCATCACAACATGCCTATATAAGGTCAGATATGTTTGGTGACAAGTCAGCAGCTAGATAATTATTTGTCGCCTCCTGGCACATTGTTGGTGGTTGTGAACTCTGCCATCAGAACCTGCCTATATAAACCCAGGCATGTTTGGTGAAAAGTCGGCAGCTTGATATCACTAGATAATTCTTTGCCACCTCCTGGCACATTGTTGGTGGTTGCGGACTCTGCCATTGGAACCTGCCTATATAAACCCAGGCATGTTTGGTGAAAAGTCAGCAGCTTGCTATCACCTGACAACTCTTTGTTGTCTCCATATATATATGACAAACACATAACATCATGCTAGTGGATCCCAATAAGTCTGCCAATATGTTGTATTTGGAAGATACTGTCACTGTAGTCTACCTATCTATTCCTTTATCATTTGATCTGAAATTATGATGTATATTTTCAATATTATTCATCAGATAAAGCTAGCTAAGTCTTTGTCATACTGTGGACGATTTCCTGATGTGTGATATAATGTCAATTTTTTGCGCCAGCAAGGTTGACACTGAACAGCTGACTCGGTTTCAATCAGTGAACCACTCACTTCTCCCATTACTGACTTCTACCCTTGTGCAAGAACAGGTGCTGAAAGATATGAAATATCTATGCTTGCTGTACTGGGCTAGGTTGTCAGTATATCCAACAGACACCCTAACTCATCATGTAGATAGAGTAGTTGTCCAGCAGGTTTGGAACAGTTGATACAACATTGGTAGCTTACTGGTGGGCATTGCAAATAACTGTCAATGATGTTTATTTTGGGTAGCTAACGACCATTGTTGTCAATAACTGCTAGTGTATTTCCAAGTCATTGCTATAGAACCATCACAAAGTTTCACTTAGGCAGTAGGTGACCATTGCGGTCGAAAAATGCTAGCATATGACAAGGCATTGCCCTGGGTCTATCATCACTATGAGTAACAACCATTCTGGATAAGTATTACACTGGTCGTGTAACTCATGAATGCCATCTCATTGAAGTTGCAAACAAACATAACAAAGTTTACCTTAGGCAATGGATGACCACTGAATTGGAGAGATGCAGGACTTCTTACAAAGGTATATCTATCAAGCATCATAGTTATAAGGCATTGTGAGATTAATATACATTCATCAAAGTTAGGTTCATATTACACTTTCTTATCTTTGGATGGCATAATGTTTTGCATATATATTTGTTTGTCTTCAGATATAATCTGGTTGACTTTTGGTCTGAACTTGCCACTTATATCTACAAAAGCCAAGTTCTCACTGATTTCCTGATGGAACTGGACAAAAAAAGATGAGCAAATGGATGCAATATATCGTGAAGGCAATGACAAAAAAAATATCATCATGGGCCAACTCACCTCAAGTCCTATCCTAAGTCCCATACAAGCAAGTGAAATGAGATCAAGCCAATTTGGGGAGGTTAACAATGGCTTATCCCATAGTGCGACAAGTCTGGGCTCTGTTAATGAATGACTTCAATCCCAGAATGAGTTACCAGGTCTAAACAAGTGCCTAAATATCCCTAGTACATCATGTGACATTCATTACTATGGAAGATGAATCAGAGGTCACCTTATCCATCAGTCCAATCAATTGTTTTATCTTTCTTGGGAGGGGAGTAGAGTGCTTGACAAAGTCAGGGAATTGGCACCTGTGAAGGCTGAACACCAACACCATTGCATTTCGGGACTTATGCAACACTCTGCTTACTTCAAATGACCTTTTGCATTGTTTTTGACAAGTGGGGGCTATGTCAACATCGACAATACTATGTGATGACTAGAGTAAAGTAATGACATTTGAAGCAGCTTGTCTAAGAAGACTTAACATGCTTGGGCATGACTTAGTTAGACAAAGGTGATTTTAACATACCAGATTTACGCCAGGTTCTTTCCGACTTCTTACAATGTGACACAAGGAATGGAGAAGTAGGTTATGGATTGAGAGTTTCAAGAAGATCACTAATCGACTGTCCCTCAATTCTTCCTTTTGAATGTATTCAAGTATGGCATGTCGTTCGTTTGCAGCAAGTTTCTTTCTACGATGCCAGTGTTGTTCTGACCATACAGACTGTGCATGCCTCCCCCGTCTCCTGTCAGTGGGTGGCCAAAAGGGTGATGTAAAGATACAACAATGCTTGATACTATACAAAGTAAGTGTCAGCAATATAAAAATGTTGTAGTGGTCTTGCACAGCCTAGTCTGCTATACTTGCTAGACAAGTGTGTTCAACCCGAGGGGTTTGCTATTGTAATAAGCCTATAGTTAGTCAATTGATAAACCATCAAAAGTCCGAGCGTGAGAAACAGAATCCAAAGCTATAATTACGAGTCCAATGCCAAAGTGTCGGCCGATGTTTTTGGGTTTAGTGGGTTGGCAGGTTTCGGGTGCGGGTTCATCGGGTTAGCGTCGGGTTAGGGAAATGATTGTCGGGTATAGCGAGCGGTATGCGGAATATTGATAACAATGGGAGTTTCAGATAGAAAGAGCAGTAATATTCGCAATGTCAACTAAGAACTACGAAAATATCGGGTTTGACCACAAAGCGTCAGGAAACGGCTCCCTACTACTTGGATGATGAATATGCTATGTGGAAACCAATATATATAAGTACGTAGAAATCCGGAACCCTATAGGCAAAAGTAGCGGCCAAAGAATTTCGGGTCCGATGTACATGTAAATAAACACGAGGTGCTGCGGACTATGGGAAAACATGTAATAGTGCTGGCTACGACATGAGTAATGTGCAAAACAATCAACTATGCACCTAGTGGGGGTAGCTGACAAGACAAGACATGGATAGGACAAGTGCGCGGGAAAAATGTCAGGTCCGATGCGGCCGATGCGTCGGGTCCGCTGGTCAAAGCGTCGGGTTCAGCGGATATGCGTCGGGTTGCATTGGGAAGTGAATATTGAGCAATGAACATTTGACGTGATGTGCGGAATGGCTGAATATGAGCCTAGTGCAAGCTCGAGTGCTACACCGATGTGATGCTGTCCTCGTCAATGTTGATTGAGCCTATGATTGGCCCAAATCAGGGTTGATGGGTGAGTTTGTTTGTGTTGATATTAATCTTGCTTATCATGACCCCCCCATTTTTGAAGGGCACCGAGTTTGTGAATTGCAGCTCATAATGCAGCCAGTTCCCCGGCGACATTCATGCATTACATGGTGTGATCAATATTTGTGTTATGTACATAGTTTCAAAATGGGTGTGATTGACCCAGTCACTGAGATGCATGTATTGAAACCTGCTAAACATGCCAATGGTGCCCCAGTAGATGATATAGTGCCCCTTGGCCAACTTCATGCATTTATCCACATCATTCCTCAACTCGGTCCTATGGCAGATGCATGGTTGACAAAGGCAAATTCTACTCATTATCATTCATCCTTTTTCTTGAATAAGTACTTTGACAAGCAGATATATGACACCCTCTCACAAGGATAGATACCTTTTACTTTTATCAAGTGTTTCACATTTAAATTGCATGTATTGCATGTAGAATTAATGGAATCAGATCTTCAGCATGCTTCAACAAGGGTGACAGAGCCTCAGTAACACCACTCATAAGTGGTGCAAATTGCGCAGGCACTGAGACACACCACACCAGCATACTAGCTCCTACCAGACACCACTCTGCAGCACACTGTCTAGTTCAGAGTTGTCTTGCAAACTGCCAATGGTGACCACCTTGATGTTTGAACTTCCTGATGATGCCACATCATTTGACCTTTACCTTTGTGGGGCTTCACTTAGCTCTGTGGGTTTTCCACCTATAGGCGGATGCACCGCTAGTACTGTCAAAGGTCTTCTGAGATCAGAGCTTGATAGCAAAGTTATTGATGAGTCTGATCTCAAGAAGATGAAATTCACCAATTCCATCTTTCATGCGCTCATCCGAACATCCTCACTTCAGTCACAACACATCAACAAGATCAAGTACCATAAAAAGGACAGTTTGTCAGTATACACCCAAAAAGTGGAATTTCAACTGGAGGAAAAAGAGCAAGACAAAGGACTCAGAGAGCATCAATACAGATGCCACTGACTCGATTGACTCAGACGAAGAAGTTGAGGGTTTGGATTCTCATGGTTCAACAATCTTTTCCCAAGGGACTGATGACACCTGGAGTGACAATGAATACAAGGGCAGTGAAAATACAGGATTGAAGAGGGAACAAAAGAAGTGTTTAACAGAGAGAGACTTACAGTACCTATTCCATGTCATTCAGTAGGCCCTGCACAATTGAAGTGGTACTGGTCTGCAGAGTTTGCCAACTCTCCCCTACAAGACCCATACAACATGCATAAGCCAGATGTAGCCCTGTTCTATTACAAGAACAAACATTGGGAACAAACATGGGCTGACATCTTGAGCTTCGTGGAATACACTTCTAGCAACCTCGCTGTAATGCATGACTTAGTGGTGTATTGGGGATCTGCCACCAAAGTGTACCTTATCATACAGGAGCAACCCTGGTGTCGTTTCATTCTTGCTTACTCTATTTGCGCAGATGACCTTCGTGCCCATTATTTTGACTGCTTGGGGCTCATCATATCCCTTCCAACCCCAATCCATAAATTTCCCATACATGTTACCGAGGCAGTAGCCACAACTGCATTAGCCAACCCACAGTACTTGGGCCTCGACCCAACCATCTATATGTGCATCCCTGATTGTCAGGGTACTCATTCCTCTCTCGCTGTGGGGGCAAAAGGATGGGTGATTAACAACAGCAGTAAAACTTACTCAATCATGGACACTTTATGGAAAAGTCAGGGTTTTTCTGTCACAGAACTGTTTGTTATCATGTCAGAGATCCTACCAACCTGGACTGAAAGGATTATGCGATGAAGGACTGCCGGGTGCCTGAGGCAAAGAGGTATCATAAAGTGGATGTCCTCAAGCGCATCAAGGGCATTCCTAATGTCATTCAACTCGTGAATCATTGAGATGTCATGTACAATGGGGAGCCTGACTGCACAGCACAGATTCATAATTTCTACCAGCAGTTCGACCCAGAGGATAGGGATGATCACAGGTTCTGCAATCAATTTCACCGGTGGATTGTCATGACCCCTTGTGAAGAGCCGCTGTCAGATTTCAGCTCTGGAAAGGAGCTGATCTGTGCTTTTTGTGACTTTATCATTGGTGAGTTCAGTTCAGTTCAACATGTCAAATTCAAGTGTAATGATGTTACACATGGAATTCTACATGGGGACCTCAGCCCAAACAATTTCATCATCTATGAGGGTATTGAGTACTTCATTGATTTCAATCATGCTGGATTTATAGAGAAAGGCAAGGCCTTTATGATTTCATTTGGCACTGTAAGAATTTCAAGTTTACGGTTTTTGCTCAGGCTGTCAATCTTATTCTATTAGGGGACCATCCCATACATCTCTATGTGTGTCCTCAAGATGATGTCCAGGAATGCTGAGACCATGAAAAAGACTGCTGACACTACTCAGCTGCACCCAATCGAACACCATGTGTGCAATGACCTCAAGTCCATGTTTACATCTTTTTCAAATTTGTCGCCAAGTATGGGGGGGCACATGGCATACTCACACCAACATGGGATAAGCTGGCGATGTCATGGTCAGACACCTATGAAAACTTAGGTGCCAGCAGTTTGCTTACCACATTCTTATCTAAGAAGAGAGCCATATTTGAAGGCGACTTTTTGATGAACAGAAGTCTCCAAATATTTCTCAGAATTCAGACCTCTAGTTGATGAATGGCACGGTCGAATCCACCTCAGGGAAATTAACACCAGTGAAACAATCGTCCACAATCACATATTTCAGATGCTTGTCATGTTCATTGCGAAACTTGATGATGAAATACCAGACCCGGACCCACTGCCCTGCCCTCCCTCCCAGCCTGTAACTCTTCAATCCACAGCAGGTCCTTCAGCCCTTCCATGCACTGGCACACCATGGCCTTTATCAAGCCAGCCAGGCCCATGCCATTCACAGCGACTTGCTTCTACGACTCAGCCCGGGAGGACTACTAGATGAGATACTAGACAGAGAAGTCTTGTCACCCCGTTCCAAGTCATACCATGCTAGCATGGCTAGTTCTAAACTATTTTGTCTTCTCCAAGTCTGTCTATTTTGTCCTTGCAACTTTGCTGCACCTTTTTCTTCTCAGTCTACTGTTATAAATTTTTTAGCATGCCTCTGTGTACTGTCATAGCATTATGATTGCATAACATTTGCTTACATGATGTCTATGACTACTAACCAACCTGCGCTGTTCATTGCTTTGCTGATCTCCAATGCCTCCCAAGAAGAGAGCTAGATGTTCTACTATAGATGCTCAGGACGATACGACACCTGAGGTTGCTTGTCGACAAAGCTCCAGATCTAACCGCAGTGTTGGCGGCCATGCAGCACAACTTCAAAAAGCTGGAGAAGTGATAGCAGCACCCATGAAGAGTCGGAAAGGACGAAACAATTACCCTGAGCTTGATGCCAGTGATCCTGAAGAAAATTTGATGGCTCCTGTGCAGCTGTGTCAGGGGAAGAAAAGTGTAAGTTTATTCTATTTTATTTTAACAACATTCAAACTATGATCTTATCAGGCTCCTGCAAAACCTCGAACTATGAGCAGCAATTCTAAGCGACCCTATCAAAGGTCGGGCAACAATGTGAGAAATCACCCAGCCCACACTTCTCCCCATCCAGTGCTACATACTGTTTGCTCTTCTGACAGGTTTGGGTTTAAGGCACCTACGCCTACTTTCAGTGTGCAGCACACCCAGAATGTAAACCAGTGAGACATGAGCAAGGAAGATGATGATGGAGAGTCTGTGCACCAATCGCATGACAATACATAAGTGCTAGCTTTTTTTCACCTCTAGCTTTCTTGATGTACTCATTGCAGGGACGGAGCCAAAAAAAGTGGCGTAGATCAGCATGTGGACAACAGAGAGGACTCCAGTCAACATTCAGATGCACCTGTTGAAGATGGTGGTGACAATGGAAGGGATTTTGATCGAGAGCATGACTGGGAAGACGAACCCATGGATGTCACTGGAGGATCAAGATGATGTATTCCAATTTTTTTGCTCATGTTCACTCATTGATATGTGTATAGGATACTTATGATGTTCTCAAATGTCATCAAGCACAGACAGAATGGATGACGCAAGGCTCCTTCACCATCATATCTTTTGAAAATGAAAGGAAATGAACGTGCTCATACCTCCATTTGCTCCAAGTCTCCTTGCCAATGCCTGTCTCAAAGTAGTGACTGCTCGAGATCTCGTCAATGTGTGCCATCTGTGGATACCTTTTCTGTCCAAGCGCCTACTTCCTGACATAGATGCTCGCCATCTCATCTGCATAAACTTTACATTTGCCCTAAGTCTCCATGCCAACACTCATATCAGCCCGCAACATCTATGCAATGTCCTTCATATGTGAAGTTTTCATGTTGGTGCTCCCCATCTCGGCCAGTCACTTCCTCCGATAGTCATACACAGGCCTCCTCCTGCAAATGCTCTCCGTCGTAGACTTCTTCTGACTATGCCACTACTCCTAGTCATTTACTCTCTCATAGCACTACACCTGTTCAAGCTCGGCGCACACAAAATATCAAGACAACACAAGACAACCCTTCTAAGCTTGGATTTTATCCACCTTGTTGGCAAGGCTGTCTTCAGGCAGCAAAGTTACAGATGCGACTGCAAGCTGTTCTCACACATCCAATTCCAGAACACCAGGATGCCATGCAACTTGTGCAAGAAGTCCTGGACGCCAAATTGTGGGTATGCCACCAGAAGAAGCTCAAATTCGAGGATGGTAAATTTTCCCTATGCTGCTGCTTTCTTTGAGTCTTCTCATGTCTTGTCGCAAGGCTACTTCCCGGCATATAGCCCGCAGATGTGCCAGTTGGTAAGTCCCCCATTAATTGATGGTGAACACTCTCGCTGATATGTTGATCAGCTCTGTGACGATCTCTTCACATTCCATACAGAGCTCAAAAAGATTGTTATCTCTATAGACTTCCCGAAGGGCACCTCATTGTGATCAAAGGAGATAAAGAAGTGTGTCATTGCAGCTGCCACTAAGCTACTCAAGACTGGTGATTACCTCTGGATCCCTGACTTGTCTGATGTAGGTAATGACTCTTGTTAATAGCACTGACTCACTATTTTTCTTGCAGGGAAAATTTGAGAATTTTGTATTGCAGGCTCTCAAGGATGTTTGTCTCGAATTTTTCTATGGCGACAGCAAGAAAGCACTGAAGAACACAGACGACTTCCACCAAACAATCCCTATTAACACACTCATTCTTGTGGTGGCAGTTGTGCACCATTTTCTTTTTTCTTTCTCCTTTTTCGCTGATGATTTCATAGATGAAGGGTGTTATTTCTGGGTTCAGTGAAACTGGGACCGACAAATCTCCTGAACTCCCCGCTGATAGATGCAGGGCTGACTTCAACAAGTTGCGGACATCAGTTGATAAGTTGCTCGACATTCCAGAACTTTGTGAAGAGCTTGAAGAGATGCTGCAGCAATGGGCTAAGATTGGTATGGGCGAATCTGATTGGCATGCAGATAGGAGTGCAGCAGGCAGTGATGTGGACATCAATATCATACTTTAATGCACTGTTCGATGCTCAATGCTTATTTTAGTTTGATAATCATAATGGCAGTTGGCATGACGTTTGCATGCTTGTATGGTATGTTTCCCATGTACAGCTACTATTTATCCATACATAATGTAGCCTCTGCATGATCTGTGTAACTTGTCTTATCTGCACAACCTGGCTTGTCTGTCCAAGGTCACTATATTGTAATGACTGTACAGATTGTGGGCCTATGTACAATCCTGCAAAGGGGGGACTTAGCTGTATTCTGAAATTTATTCAGAGATTGCAAAGGGCACAAAAACAGCCAAAGATTACATACAATTACCACACCAGGGCAGAATTGTAGTGTTTTGACACTGACCATCAACTAGGTGACATTGGTCACTCTCGACAACTAAATCATCCTTTCCCATGGCTGGTGAGTAATGCAATACTACACCATCTCGGTGACAGCTGACAACTAGACTGTCATGGTTGTGTATTTTGCAGGTTCTATCCAAGTAAGTCTGGGTATATAAAACTTTCTCATGCGAAGTACAATTATGATAGATATTACACAGATTTTAGAGCAGATAAAGCTGTCTAAGAATTTATCATTCTTGGGTTGATTACCTGATGCATGGGAATGACAGGGAAGGTGTGGATGAGTGTTTGTAATCTTTTGGTATCAGTTCATAAGGTGGCGGGATTACCCAGCTGGAAGTACCTGATATGGCAGGGGATGTTGCACTCGAAAATCTCAAGTCACTGCCAATATGCTGATATGATTGCTGGTATGATGTGTGGTAAATAAATATTACTAATTAGTAAATTAAATGGTGACACTCAGGTGCAAAACAATGGTACACTGGCACAAGAAGATCTTTCTGTATTAATATAAATAGTACAAGTTTACAACGGAGTACGAGACCCATTGTACTGGGGCTTACAACATGGCACCACTTGCAACTCCTCTCGACTGTAAAGGAATCTGCATCGCCTTTATTATACTACCTGTGAACATCAAGGTGGTTCCTGCTGGGATCCAATGCGAACACAGCCTTCGATATGCAGTGGTACAATAAAACTAGGTACACATCGAATAAAATAAAATAAAGTACAATACTCGAAACAAACAACAATCAGACATTGAAAATTCTTCTGGCATAGCGGCAAATCGAACCATAACCAAAAATCCACCATATGATCAGATTCTTCTGGTCGATACCAACCTTCGCCAGCATCATGTCCCTCTTGTTGAAGCTGAACAAGGGGTTGTTGACCAGTTGCCAAGGAATGAGGGTGTGAAGGAGTCTGCAGACGCAAAGGAGATCGGGGCCAATCATGCCAGGGGCGTGGGTAAGCTAATTTAGGAACAGAAGGCTGAGGGCTTAGAATGCGTGAGCTCGACGGCGCAACAAATAGTGTCTAGCTGCTTATTTCTCCTGATGGATAGTTGATGGATAGTTGGATAGTTAGTACTGATATAGCGAGGGTGGTATGGGTAAGGGCAGGGGGATGTCAGATGCCAAATGCCAAATGGTAATAGGTATTGGGTGAGACAGTATCCTCCACGTAGTGGGGATTTGGTAACAGGACCTGGGGGACCAGCTCAATAATGTCTGCGTCATTACCGCCAGGATTATTCCTATCAGAACCTGCGGGGGATCTTGGAACCGTGAGTTCATAACCTTGCGGCAGAACTAATTCTGACGCTGAACGAGCGGGAGGCTCGCGGGACATGGGTGCAGCGTCAATGTTTGATCAGCGAATCCTTGCGATGGCAGATGCGCAGATGATCTTTGAGATTTCCGACCCACATCTCGCAAACGATATCTTGATCCAAGGGCATATACACCAAGTTAAAGAATTTGATGAGGAACCGAGGCACTAATCGATCGCTAGTTAGAATGAGTTTATAGGAGCACCATTTCGACTCACATCAGTAAACTACTTTGCTCTGTACAGTGCTGTACAGTGCTGTACAGTGTGCCAGCCCGACAGCTTGGTCCCTATTAGCTAGCTCGCCACAGTCCCAATTCTTTCTGTGAGATTCTGTGCACACACTCTACAGGCACCCAGAAAACGGCTCTCGTACAATCAAATAACATTATGCTCACTGCTCAACTGTCCACCCATGCACAAATAAGCACAAATGATCACAAAATGCATAGTATTCAATCAGATAACACACTAGCGGATACATGGTACTAATAGGAAAAAGACACTCGAAATAAACGGGGCAATAGGACAAAGAACTTCGAGACCTCAATCAAGTACGAGTTGCAGATGACGATGCCTTGACGCGTCATCCAAGTTCCCGTCGACCTTGTAAGACTCCACCCTGTGTGAATTTCGATTAGTATTCAAAACTTCATAAAAAAACGCGCAGCTTGCCATCCAGCTTCGGCCCACGAACGAAGCTGTCGCACCAGCTTCGGTCCATGATAAGGATCATCCATGAGCTGTCTCAGTAGTTTGAACATCGACTCGTACAAGGCACCATACTCCTTGGAAGTAAACTTCGGAATCGATTTGCTGTTACCGTTCCTCTTTAAGCCATCAAGGACACAGTTCACCTAGTGAAAATGGCGTCAGTAGATTGTAAAGTAATATACAAACACGCAAAACTTTACCACTGTACAAACTAGAGCAAGGCACTCCAAAGGTAATTGTGTCTGAAATATGTCAGGTCTCCTGCGAGCAACACGATAAGAGCCAGTGTAGAAGAAAGCAATGACAGCCTCGTGCAGTGCTGGGTGAGCTGCATTTTGAGTTTTGCCGAGCTCATCCATACCGTAGCACAGAAAGGCAGAGTCTTCTAGCAACATCGTCACGGCCTCTTTGACCCAGGCTGAACATTCTTGGGGAGGAATGTCAGATGGCGGGATGAGGTCATATAAGGATGGCGCGATGCTAGTTATGATCTTCTTGAGATCTGAGCGCCACATTGATAAATCTTCATAAAGCTAAAATAACAGTGCATTAGTAGAAATCAGATGCGTGACAGTAGACTACCAGATGTACATACCAGCTTTGCCATGTCATGTTTCCGATCAGGCCACACACCTAGTAGACTCACTTGAGTAAAATGTCTCGAGGTGAAAAGAATATGTACCCTCTTCAACTTGCTTACCCTCTTCCAGCCACTCGACAAGCAAAGACATGAGGGCCTCATTAACAGAACCTGGCAGATTGTCGACAAATTTCGGGAATGGGTTCTCTATCGCATGTTGGACACCGCACTCTCCCTTCGCATACTCGAGAAAACTCTTCCAACGGGGACCATACCATCCCAACTGCGTAGCCTTCGGCCCTTCGCGTGATGCCTTTGATTTCGATTTGACCTTTGGTTTCAACTTGAGATCTTTTGTCTCAGCCTGATGTAAGAGATCGAGGATTACAGGGTTGGGAGGGCAGGGACGTCCGTTTCGCTTGTGGTGAAGGTGTAGCACATCAGCAGACATGACCTTCAACAAAGAGAAGGTTAGCAGATAGCAAAAAAAAACATAAGACGTACCGGAGTCGAAGCATCATCAGTGCTGGATGTGACATCGGCTACTAAAGACTTCATTGCTGCATTATCATCTTCGTCACATGAGTGTTGAAATTCAAAGTCAGTGGGAAGGGCGGTGGTGACAAGAGGCTGTGAGGGTTGAGCTTCTTTTGAAAAACCTGTCTCACATTCACTATAATCACCGAGAATAACTATTGGCTTACCGGGATGAGCACTATGGCGCCCATACGCTGCACCCCATCCCACTTCTTGGTCTCCATGAGCGTCCTGACCGTTGTCGTCATCATCGCCACTACTGCTATCCTTGTCATCGTCATCACGTTCATCACCATCGTCAGTAGTCTCAGAGTCTGAACTTTCAGAAGCAGTGTCTCGCAATTCCAAACTTACATCAGCGGTTGACCGCAGGGCAGGGTCCAGATTCTTGTAAAAGTTAGTGTCAGCTTGACGCATAACTGACGTGGATGTGGTAGGTGCTTTTGGCGTTGGATATATGGGGGGTGGAGGATGTGCTGTGGGGTCTGAAGGCTTCTTGGTGGCAGCTACGAGTGTATTATTAACCTGCAAATGAACGTCTGTGCCAGAAGAGGTGAGGGACTGCCTGAATCCAAACTGCGACCCAGGTTTGCAGTGCGAAAAGCTGGGTCGAACATTTGGTACCTCACAGCTACTAGTAGAGGCAGGAGCAACACCCTTCTTTGTTGCCTTATCCTTCTTCCCCTGCTTTCCAGAACTCGGAGGATCCACTGTCTCTGAGGGGCTGTATGGAAGAGGTGGAGGGGGTATCTGAATAACATTCAGTATGATTATCTATGGCTGTAAGCATGTTTACCTTTGAATGACTCCCGCGGCCCTTACGAGGCTGTTCTGGAGCAAGAGGGTTCACAGGAGTGTTCAAGTCGAGCGAAGTAGTGCCCTTGTGTTGGGTGGTGCGCATGTGAGAGGCATCTAAAAGGGCGCCAATCTTCTCTAATTGGACGGCCCTACCTCCTGTTCCTGCGCCTGCATGCCCAGAGCGTCGAGTGGCCAGGATGTTGTCCACGAACTCTGGCTGCTGTAATTGCAGGGGTATCTCGGCCCCAGCCCGCAACTTCTTGGTTGAATTCGCTTGCACGTCAGAGTCTACAGCTTTGCGCTTCGATCCTTTTTTCTTGGGGCTGGAGCGAGACCTAGAATGTGGCATGACTGGTCCAGGTTAAGGCCTGGGACAGAAGGAATGCAGTCTGAGTAGCACTGGTGAGTAGTAAGAAAACCATTGATAAACACACGCCGTCTTTTAAGTGTTGTCGCATAATTCCAAGCGAGTATCTCTCACTGCCGGCAGGTAGATATTTGGAAAAATGAGTCGACTGGTACTGCCTACAGGCAGAAAATTTCGTAATTCGGATGTTCACCGAGGTAATAAGGATGATGACTCGATCAAGGACTTATGAAGTTCAACTTGGAGTAATTATATTTGGCCACATCTATAACTACATGGGGCAATCATGTGACTCGAACTGTATCATATCCGTATGAGTATAACACTTTGTAATAGTACTACATACTACTATTACTACTCTATCCAATCTTGCTCCTCTTCGGCTTGGGTAGTATAAGGTCTGTCGTCCATCGGTGTTCAATAACTCGTTTCTTTGACATCTCATCTACAGATGGCGTGTCTTCTTCATCAGTACTGAGAGAGCTTGCTGATGCTGAGAGCCCCTGGAGCATCCATGTCGAGACTAAAAGCCCAGGGGACAGCTCATTCCGCAGAAGGTTGGCAAGGTGTTTTTCCAGCATTGCAATTATGTTTTCGAAACATACTGATGCCGGATCTTTGATTAGGTTGTACCATTCCAATGCGAGCGGAAGGAGATCCCAGAAGTAAGGATCAAATTGTTTGGTAAGTTGCGCAGTGTAGTGATCGGAATGGTGAAAGAACCGTGTTTTGCTGGCACTGCACTGCTCGTATGTCCCAGACCATTCACGTGTGATCCAATTCAAATTCTCTTTTGTGCACTTAGGGAGAACACGCTTCATGCCAAGAGGGCCCCTGTACTCGATACAGGTCCAGACAAATACGTAAATATCGATTCGAGATCATCCTTGTAGTTGTGCTTGATCAGGGCGACTGGATATGGTCTCGAGCCCGATGCACACTTGCCACTGCGCTCGTCCGATGTATCCGGTGTGTGAAGGTAAAGGTTAAAAAGAAGCGACCGTGACATGAAGGGTAATGTGCCCTGGGGTGATCAACACGTTATCAATACTTACTTGTGCCCAAAAGTGAAATAATACTCACAGTACCACCAACAACATATTGCTCGCCTTCTACAATATCAACCGCGAACTCCCAGTCTATCAGCATTCTGTGGGAGCCATCACCATCATCCTCGATCATCGCATTGTTCAGACTAGCATCACGGTGGAGAACCTTGCGCTTTTCCACCGCTTTCCTCTGGACTGAAAGATAACGATAAGTACTAGTAGGACATTCATTTGAAATGTATTACTCACTATTAACGATATCCCGTATTGCGCCTAAGAACTCGACCTTCGAGCGGAATTTATGCAATGGTCGCACGCGGGGCTTCAAGACCAGGCGAACGTGAGTAGGGAAGGTGTCCTGTATGCTATGTGGAAATTTGTAACAATATGCTTGCGTGTCATCGACCTCGCTGGGTGCAACTTCGACGAGCCAATACTCAGCAAGTTGAGGAACTCCACAGACCCCCTCCATCTTCTTCATCATGTTGATCTCATTCAGCACTGCTTTTTTGCCCCCGAGAACCCAATGGTCTTTTATGATATACTCCTTGTCGTCCTTCCTGGCCAAGTAGCACACACTGCCACGACCAACGAGGCCTTGGGTAGAGAAGATGATTTCCAAGATGTCATATGTGTTCTTATCGACACGTATTTTGCCGATCGGCTCTAGAACTGGCTCAGGGTTGAGAGGATCTTCGGGGACCTCTACTATAGGGGGGTACATTGGAGTGTCCCCGGCTGCGGGGGTGGGCACCATGTCCTTTGCGATGGCAGGAGGGAGGGACAGCTCGTTCTCCTCAAGTTGGGAACTCTCAACGACCTCCTGTCTCTTGGAAGGCAGGTTCTTGGTAGGGCGGGAGCCAGAGAGTTCAAGCGTGCGGTGAAGGGTGTGTTTTAGTATGGTAATGGTAGGGTCAAATCCAATGCACTCGAGATTCCCGAAGACAATGCACGAAAAAATGTGCAAATACTTATCAAGCTCCTTGTCAATATTAGTGCACGGACTCACGACACCACCGGAGTGGTCATACAAGTGGACGCGAAGATCATGGTACCCATTGCAGAGAGAGATAAATAAAGCGAAGCGTCTCCAGGGTTGATGCTTCAAAAGAAGGTAGGCTTTGCTGTCGAGAGTTTTTGAGAGGGTTTGGGAGGGTAGGTATGGACTCGCAGTCAGCTCGCACACTGCTTTGATGGTGTCCCACCTAGCTTCCAAATTGTCAAGTAAGGTAAGGTCTGGTTTTCGCGCGATTTCTTCACCACGAACTGGGCGTGAGGAGTTTGCTGCACTCTACTTGCACGATAAGTTATGTTTGTGAGCGAGACTGGGTTCCTTTAGGAGAAGGGCAGAGGTAACAGTGTTGAAAAAGGACCCGAAGATGGCCTCGGTTGTCGATTGTTGGGGTTCTATTTCTCTACTAGTCTCCGAGTCTGAGGATGCTGATGCCAGTGCCTCCTTGTATCCGTCAGGAGATGTCTCCCAAGGGTCCCCAGAGTCCCCAGAATCCCCACTGACATCAGTCACGGACAACATAGGGTCATCCTTTACTGGCAAGTCTGACTTTGTCTGATCAGTGGTGGACTCAGGCTGAGACTCTGACAGATCAGCCTCTGTCCTGTTATCGGCGACCAACACCCAATCTCCCGGCTCCCTGTTCATGCCACCTTTGCTTCCTCCCACCCCACTACCAGCATGACTAGCAGATTTGTATGATGTTGGAAGGGCCCAATTCCATCGACGAGTTTGGCCATTATAGAGCGGTACTGTGGTTTCCTCGTCTTCAATGTCCAGAAAGGTGTTGGTCCTAGAATTGATGGGTATTTTTTTTAACGGAACAGTGAGTTCTTCTGCCCTTGGAACGTGATCGGTGTAGGACCTGAATATCAGCGACAATAGATGTCCGAGCTCATCTTTGTGGTCGAGGTGGTTCTCTTCAAGTATTAAGTGGCTAAGCTCCAAATCGGTGAGTTTATCCATGGTCGTTACGTCGTGTACTGCGGGAGCTGGCACAAAAGATGCTAGCTTCATCCCGAGGCCAATTGAATAGAAATGTTTGCCATTTGGCATGTTGTCGTAGAGTTCTATGTTGGTACACAGGAACAACTCATGGGAACCATACTACTAATACATATAACTACCCTTTGACCACCTATGCAAAAATGGCCTCATCTTTGTGCCAAATATCACCGTGATAGCGCGAAGAATGTGGTTTTGTCCCAAAACTCGTTCAACCAAAACTCCGTGGCATGCTCCATGCTGTTGTATGCTGTTAAACGGACATCTGCAATAGCGCCAAAGCGCGGGATTAGGTTGATGGGGGCCCTCATTTGAGAGACAGGTATGACATCTCCCATTCGGTTCCCATTTGAACGCTTGGCTCGCTTGAGCAGATGCAGCTGCATAGTTGGATCTCGATCGTTCAAGATGTCGAAATGTTGGACATAGGTGAGAAATTGGTCTTTCCATGACCATTGTGTGCTGCTCTTACCAATAGGTCGCATGATAAGTCTAATCTGGGCAACTGTGTGACCTGTGGAAAATGGGAGGTTTGAGGTAAGGCATTTATCACAAATCAAAACAGAGATCGCACCAGAAAGACCACTGTTAGGCCATGTGTGGCTTGTGTCAGTCTTGAAGATGCTCGTATCATAATGGCCTAGGGTCCAGGGGTTGTTGGGCGGTGCACAATTCAGCGTCTGAGCTGATCTAACAGTGTGAGCATCATATAGCTCCATCTCTTGCACACGAATTTTGAACCAGACTTGAATTTTGTCAAATGGAAGGATAGCGGTAGGCCCAGCCTTTCTAGGACTGCCTATCACATGAACGTGTGCATGTCCATAAGTTGCCTCCCATTGGAGGAAATCAGCAATGGCTGGTCATAAATCTGGTAGGGCGAATTTGATGGCGGCTTCATCAACAGTAATGGTCCAAATGGAGGGATCATATGCAAGATGAAGGGCAGTGCACTTGACGACGAATGAGCGAAGTGGTAAAGGCACTGAACCCAATTCTCGGCGCTGGAGCAGCTTAGAAATTTCAAAATAGTTCGTGATTGGGCGTGATTGTGTTGCGCTGATGAAGATATCTTGCACATCAGCATCGTTGACATTGGTATCTTCATCATCAGGATCTAAATCTTCAAGCTTCCCAACACTCTCCCCGCAATCTAAAATGCCAGTAGCGAGCTCAAATCGACGACACTTTTCGGCACAATCAAGATATCGGCAAATCTGAGGGTCGTAGTTGTTGTTATTAGTTGATCTTGCGGGATCTTTTACCTCGGTGATGTGAGCATGTTCAGTAACATCAGCAGACCATTGTCCTATGATGCCAGAGTTGCGAATGCTGGCAACGATGCTTTGCATCAGTTCCAGCTTGGGTATATACCAGTTGTTGATGACTCTATTGCCACTCCCCCGGCGAGCCCCAGCAGCAATGATCGCATCCTTTTTGGTGTGGAACTCAGCTAATGTGCTTGAGATACGCTTCAGATCGTCCTCGTCAACGCGTGGCAACTGCACAAGATATCGGAATTGCATGAGTGCGCGTACAGCAGCGAGAACATCAGTAGGTACTCCATCTGCACTGACGGCAATAATATATCATTTGATGTCCCGTTGACAGCGCCCAGTGACTTGTTTCAGCTTCGAGATGCCTCCACGAAAGTGCTGGTAGCCAGTCATTGGCTGTAAGACAGAAAAACGGAAGTCTATCTCAGACTCTCCAACAGCGCAAATAAGCCATTTCGCGTCATGGTCATAGAATTGCTTGTGAATATGGTGGAGTGTTTCCGGCGTTAAAAAATGGGAGGGTTCCGCTAGTAACCAGTCCCGCCAGAATGGTTTCTCGACACCATTCAGTCAGAACTTCTGTGCTTCACGGAAGAACACCTCAACATCATTGGGATCGGCGTGTGACCTTGCAACAGCAAGCTGCGCGAGAGTAGTCGATTTTGTCCGGGGTTCGTGCCGGAAGGGATCTCCAAATTGCTTGTACATTGCCATAGTCACAGGTGATGTTTTTCCACCAACAGACGCCAGCATCATTGCTTCCGGGGTGTCAGCAATATAGCTTGCGAGAGGGGTGAAGCAGTAATGACTATGCCCGATGGGATCCGATAACATGATGCCCGATCGAGCAGCTTGCTTTAAAGGTTCAAGAACGATGTCGAGGCATTGGTGCACGAGGTGATCCTCCAACACGCCCCTCATTCTCTTCTTCTTATGGATAAATTTTGGGACGGGTAGTAGGGCTGTGAGAACGAAAGCATTGGATGATGATTTCAGTCATATTTTCATATGAATATTTGCGAGGCTAATCAGGAGCGGATGAGCCACATGATCCCCTGTTAATGAAGTAATATTTGTCTTGTCGGAAGAAAGAACGGTGCCAAGGAGAGTCGCGCCACTAGGGATTGCCGACTTCGAGGATACATCAGCTGCAGCCTTCGAAATTTGAGTTGTTACACACCTGCATGTCCCATGCGTCATTTCCTGTCATCCATTCAGTAAATATGCGACACTTCTTCTCCGTGGTGGTGTACACCCTGCGAGGCGTGAGGTCGATATAGTTGTGGAATAATGGATGGTTGAAGAGCGCGGCTATGCACTCGATAGGGTCACGCCAGTACAGAACCACAGGTGACTTTGTAGGGTGAGACATTGGAATTACTCGAGACTGCCAACGTGGACCGCTGGGCAGCATCTCTGCTCGACCCTGTAATTCTTTGGCTGAATGGAATGATAAGGGTAAATCCTTGATCTAAAAAGTCATATATTCAAGGGATGACAGCGAATTCGATGTACTGACACTGACCATTTCGAGTGATAAAAAAGAATCAATCTTCCCCATGCTCAGGCCTGAACGTAGCAGCCATGCTGCAAGCTGCCAATCTCTCTGACTGCTAAAAGGATAGTAAAGGTTTGTTTTCCGATGTATGCTATTTTCGTCGGAGTCAAACAGGCCCAAGAATGTATAGCCGTCCTGATAGGCCAGAGGGGGATTGGGAAAGAGGTCTGTCACTTCACCAGTCAATTCGCTACTGCGCTCGTGCTCACTTCCACCTCCATGCACTCTCGACACATCCTCTCCTTCAGCGCCAAAATCACCAAAGTCATAGAAATCGTCACTGAGTCCTTGAAAGGGTTCAACGTCCGAGCCATCTGCTGAGTCCATGGGATGATCTTCATTGGATAATGTGGTGGAGTTGATCAGGTCTTCCAACCAGGTGTTGCATCCAGACCGAGGTTGGCTCATGTGCCGAGCGACAGAGGTATGGTCCTGAAATATTTTTCCACATGAGGGACAATGATGAGACATGCTATAGTACGACTCTGTATGAGTCAGTCGTTTGAGGGATATGCATAGTATACCTTCACGGCATTTTCCGATACCAACCTCTGCCAAACGATGACCATCACTGCCAGTACTCTACCAAAATTATCAGCAAGCGCATCAGGCAAAGTGGACAAACTTGATCCTCATCGTTGGAAAGATGATGCAAAAACGGGAATGTGTGACTTGTACGAAGTTCTTGATGCTGTCAGTTCCACAGTAAGTCAATAATGTTCATTTTTGAAGGCACCTTACATTTGAACAGTCGATACCGGATCCAACGGACTCTGAAGCCAATCTTGTAATGGATCTTGTAAGAGCCAAGCGCGAGGTTCTTGTCGCGCAAAAGGTGCTGGCAGAGTGTATACTGCGCGAAAATGAAATCCAGGCCAGCTTGCTCAAATTTCAAGTCGACACCACGGAGAAGAAATTAGACGATACTGACATGGGCTTGGGGTACATGAGAGCCGTCTTTAAGAAGTACGGCTGGTCTCATATTTCTCCTCTACCTCCAGGACACGGGAATTATCTACACACTGGTAAGTCCATGATTCCTCATCGGTGCCATACGGAGTCCTGACGAAAGTCGACCACAAATTAGAATCTTCGAGGAGCTGTCATCACCTCACTCTCCGGCTTGACTAATCTTCTGTTCCTTACACTTTCACATTATGATAGTCAGTTCTTGTATTATGGTGTCCTTACATGCATGATAGTGTACTATGTTTATGATATGTTGAATCATAAATTCTGTAGTAGACTCGTTGAACTTCAAATGTCATATGCTTTCTTTCGCCCTTAGCAAATTTAGTCACTTGGTGCCGCTCGAGTTGAATTGACAAAGTCAATAAATACAACATTATACTTGTATAGTAAGTACTCAGTAGTAATAGTGCTAAGATGCAAGTTTTCTGCAAAAACCTGCAGGTCCTGTAGAACTGTGAGCAGTTGGAGTAGATGTATACTTTGGGGCCACAGCTAACTGTGATATTTGTGCGAACTGTGGGGTCTGTGGTTGTCTGTGCAGAGAAAATGAATTTTAGACGTCTGTGGGAAAATTTGTACTTTACTGATGCACCTTGTGCTACTAAAACGGAGAAAACAATTGTCGTTCAAAAAATGACATTGGGGAAGAGAGTGTCCACCTCGTCTATAAATGCATCTGTGTTAGAGAAGGTGTTGACTGGAAGGAATGAGTAGACCACGATCCAAAGGACCGTGACAAGGGATGATCCAATGCTGACGACCCAGGTGATAGAGGTCCAGCTAAACTAAGTAATATTTAGCGTTATCAAATCAGCACGACAAAGGATCGATAGGGTGAATGAAGAAGATTGGCGTGCTATTCCCGGTCAGTTACAAACGAACGATGGGATCGTATTCCTCACCTTGGAGAATGCTACAGGGAGTATGAGCAGGCCATTTGCCGTGTGAGGGAGATTTCTGAGACATGAACGAGCTCACCGGATTAATGCACAAGGGATTTATTCGGTCCGCGAGAGCCAATGAATGCGCGGGAGTCTTTGAGATGCTTCAGGGCCCGGGGAAGCCGCTTGAGTCGTTGGTAATTTGTTTGAACCGTGAGTGACTCGTTTGGTCCGGGAGTGAGCCGTTCTGGGCGTCAGGTCCTTGGTGAGTCATTTGAACTGCAAGTAAACTATTTTAAGCGTGAGGGAGTTGTTCGGGATGTTGGTAAGTAAGTTGAGGCCACTTAACATGCGCTTGAGCCATTTGAGGTGTCGGTAGTTGGTTTGAAGCGCGGGTGAGTCGTTTGAGGCATGGATGGACCTGCGCTTGACCTGCATTCGAGGCGTAGGTAGTGGGTTTAAGGTGCAGGCGGGCCACTTGACGCGAGTGATTCGTTGAGGCCCGGGAGAATCGTTTGAGGTCTTGGGGATCTATTTGAGGCGCACGTGAGCCACCTGGGGTGCTTGAGGATCAGTTGGAGTTCGCGTGCGCCACTTGAGGCGTAGGAGAGTTGTTGATCAGAAATTGAGGGCTGAGCAACAAAGCGGCACAAAAACAAACAGAATAATAGGCGCAAAAGGGGAGGCGGGAAATATGATCAATGGGCTCAACTATGAAAAGGAAGAGAACAATCATCACAATGAGCGCTGAACAACATAAAGCCAGCAAGCCAATGGTGCCATGGCAACAGATAAGCACCTGCGCGCAGAACCTCATGCCAAGAAAAACAAGGGCGCCAACAAACAGCTAGAAAACTGCACACAACAAAGAACAAAAAGCACGCGCTTGGCACCATCCAAAAGATACGCACTAGAGCACACTCATGCCAAGAAAAAAGGCACTATACAGCACGAGACAAACGAGCACTAAGCAAAAAAAAAAATCAGTGAATGAGTATCGTGCAAGCAATCAGATGGGGGACCAAGAGTATCGCGATAATGTTCCAAGTAGGGAAGCAAAGAGATGGTCTGCGATGTTTTACCGAGACCCTGTATAATTTAGTGAGTTATCAAAGTGAAACATCAAAAGTTAGGATACCGTTCAACCCGTTGTGGTGCAACGAGACCATCCAATTCAGTCCTTAAAGTTGATGTCTTCATCGTATCGTTAACGTCTAAAAGTGTGGTTTAGCGTGGCTAGTCATGGGACTGAACGACACGTACAGCTCGGTGACTCCTCAAAGACATAGGGTTGGTCGTCTCCATCCGCAGCGAATCCCCCATCATTCAACAATTCATCATCATCTTCCTTCTCAGACTTGCGATGACCTGCATTCTCGTCGCTTCTCAAAGAATTAGTCGGTAGTTATACAGAAAAAAAACACGAATGACGCACGCTCCCTTCTTTCAACCTCTACCCTTCAATGGCTTCGGCTGCGAGTCCAATATTGCGGATCACGAGTTTTCTACAAGACGGTGAGCAGAATATGATGGGACTGACGTGATATAACGCGCCTTGATATCTATAAAGTGCGTGAAAAGATCCGTCTGACCGAGAAGGTACGAGTATCGTTTAATAGCATCGGTAATCTAAAGCGAGATAAGTGCCGATTTTGATGGAGATGAAATACCAGCGACAGGTCCCTAATCGAACACATGATAGGTTAGAACCGAGGCTGAACATGAGGAGGCAATGTCATGAACGCGCCTCCTGCTCATCATCGCTGACGAGCTCATCTTCTTGAGCACTCATGCCCTCGTCGATGTACTCGCTCTCGCCGTCATCCGCTCCCTAGCTTTGCTAAGAATGAAACACGGTACTTCAATTTCAGTATGGTGTTACATGTACCACACGGACAAGGATGGCCCAGGCCGGTTTAACTTTCCGTCAATTGGTCTTGCTCATAGTATCGATCACTAAGCAAAGTTTCCTGCTAGTCGTCAGGTCAACCCGAGTTCGGCATCAGAATAATTGGCGCAGACCGAATCATGCATGATAATTCAAGGACAAGAATTCAAGATCCAAGTTCAACTTGACGTTTTGAAGACGGTGTTACATAATTACATGACGTCCATTCTGGGAGTAGGCGTACCAGTCAGCCAATTATGTAAAATCGTTTCGGATCGATCCCCTTTGATCAAGTCTAATGTTCAACGTTGCAACGTTCAACTGCCGAACTATTATGTAGTAAGTAGTGATGAACAGCGGCTGGCTCCTACCACAGTGCATCGACAAAACTTATTTTCTCAGGTGTGCCGCAGTTCACATCAAGTTCACACGATCCATAGGTAAGTCCGTCGTACATTTTGTGACATTTAACTGAAGTGAGGCCGCGTCGATTATCTAGCGTACAGTTGAAAAATCCTCGCGATCTTTCAACAGATGCTTATAAAGACCACCTCAAGGATTGGTCTTTATTCAAATACTAGCCTTCGAGGCTAACGATAGATGAAGGATTCAAGTTGCGCAGTGCATTATTACATCTTCATGCGGCCTCCCGATATCAATCTTCAACAACAACAGTTATTCGTTTCGACAGCCTCCTAAACTCGAGCTTTAGTGGACCACAAGTAAGACTAGGCACGATTGATCATTTCAGATAACTTCAAACATCTATATTGCTCGAGTAGTACGGAAATTTGTCCAAAAACAACTGTGCTGATTGGCTCCGAGCTAGGCATTGCACCATCAACCATAACACCAACGTGAAAGGAGAAATACGACTCGCGGTATCATCATCACAAACCAAGACATTACAGCAATTTTCATCTGTTTGGCAATCTTGTGTCTGGTTGAAACATGCACTGACGAACATGGCTGCTGTCAACGCAACAACAATGGTGAGGTAGGAGAAACGCATTGTTTGTGGGAAGTGGAATGCAACTCGAACGATATCTCCGAGGATGGAGAAGTACTGTAGGACGATTGCCAGCTTTTACATCCTGCATATACTCATGGGCGCGATTCTGATCGATTTAGCAGAATTATTATTGCTGTCAGATAGCAGAAGTTTCGGCAGAACCGGCCGGAGCGTATCCAATTGATCATGGTCATTGTATCATGACCTGCCGGCAGGCATCGACAATTCTCTTCGTAACCATGGTATACTCGCTCAAATTCCCGCTCTCTCACTCATCGCTTTATCATTTGAACCTGCAATGACGAGCAGCGACTTTTTTCTCACTCGCTCGTTGCTCCATTGTACGCGATATTGGCACTGTCTTTTTCTTTGTTCGTTGACACGAATAAACAGTGTGTATCTCGTCGATTTTTCACGCGTGACAACGCAGTATACGGTTGAACGTGCGTAAAAAGATCAGCTCTGAGATCCAGAACTGTTTTTAACAGATCTAGTCAGTCCTTAGCATTCATTGAACGTACTTGCGTAAGCGAATCTCAAGGGAAATTGCCTGTGATTCACTGTCCAGGTCGAGCGATAAGGATTGATTGAATGTAAAGTAATCCGTGGAATGCGGTGGCTTATTAAGTAACCGCACCTCGACCTCGACGAAACGAAACGATGATGGAGGGCTATTATGCACCTCTAATCATTTACTTTCTGATTGAGAGATTACATTGTATTGCGTACATGCAAAATGACCTTCAGATTCAGTAGAAATGTTCATACTGTGGTAGCATGGCACGATGAAATCTGAAATATGTCCGCTGCAGGACACGTAACCAGTCAGCGTCAAAGTAGTTGCCCGTAAACGTGCGGGTTTTGCATCAAAGGACTTCATGGCTGCACTCGCCCTTGGTCACAACATGTAACGTGCAAGAATCCCCAAGGATTGGATATCGCTATCTATAGAGCAGGTGCCACAGGGACTTGGTATACATCGGTTGCAATACAACCCTTAAACAAACAGCCAATTCGAGGAGAAGTTTGTTATCATATCAATGCACTCTATTTGGTTAGTTGACTTGCTTTATGTAAAGGGGGTGGGTATGATATGGCTGTGACCTCTCGCAAATCGAGTGTTTGAATAATTGAAAGCAGAAGTGTCGCATGAATATCATGGACTTCAATGATAAGACCTTGCACAATACAGGTGAGAAACATATACGCAGATGGCAAGGAAAATCGTACTAGGACGTAAAGCAGGACAATAAACAGCAAGATACATGCTCCTTCTGATATCTGCCTGACTGCACGCCTGTTCGCTCAAGCTGTGGCGCACAAGCTATGTGGAAGGGTAAGGCTAATAGACAAGTCTCAGCGTCGTAGTAATAGAACCGCTGATATTGGTAGTACCTAATAGACAAGTCTATACGTGAAACGGAGTCAGAGGTAAACGGCGTGCAAGTGGAAATGAAACATACCTCAGTGTTGTAGTAATAGAACCGCTGAGGTATGAATCGCGTGAAGCTAGGGATTATATATTATGGTATCGAGTCTGGAATATCAAAGATGAAAAAGGAAAACGACAGAGTGTGATGACGACAGAGTGGAGCGATGCTAATAGACAAGTCTCAGCGTCGTAGTAATAGAACCGCTGATATTGGTAGTACCTAATAGACAAGTCTATACATGAAACGGAGTCAGAGGTAAACGGCGTGCAAGTGGAAATGAAACATACCTCAGCATCGTAGTAATAGAACCGCTGAGGTATGAATCACGTGAAGCTAGGGATTATATATTATGGTATTGAGTCCGGAATATCAAAGATGAAAAAGGAAAATGACAGAGTGTGATGACGACAGAGTGGAGCGATGACGATGTTGAATTCAATACACCCCCTCAACGAGGCGATGCTCGAAACTATCTAATTCAAAACGAAATAAGAGAAAGACCGGAGCGGTGATGAAGAAAGGCAGGGCGAGGCAGGACTTTGGTAAAAATGTCTGCGGTGTTCTTGTGAGTGGATATCCAGATCGGCAGGAACATATTGCATTCAATGTGCCGTCTGATGAAGTGATAGCGGAGGTCGATGTGTTTAGTACGTATATGGTTTGCGGCTTCTTTGGAGAGAGCGATGGTGCCTGCGTTATCAGCGAAGAGCTGCAGGGGAAGGGACAGTGGGATGTTAAGACAGGCGAAAAAGGACTGAAGCCAAAGCCCGTCTTGAATGGCAGAGGTGAGTGCCATATATTCCGCCTCCGTTGACGAAAGGGCCTGAGTGGTCTGCTTCTTTGCAGAGTGTGAGACTGGACCACCATTGAAGAACCATACATACCCTGAAATCGAGATTCAATCTTCAGGGCACGATGCCCAGTCAGAATCTGAGAACCCATGAAGGCTGGAGTTGATCTCGGCACCCCCGTAGTGCGTGCGCAGATTCATCGTTCTGGCCAGATAACACAAGATGTGCTTGGCTGCAGCATAATGCTTGGGCTCAGCACACACATTGTACTGTGCCAGGCGCATCACAGTGAGCGCGATATCCAGGCGCGTGTACATTGCAAGGTACAAAAGCTCTCCTACTAGCTTCCGATACTCGGTCTGAAGGTCGTTGACATGGGGAAAGACATCAGTTGTGTGGCTGAAAGGAAAAGCTGGGTCCATTGGAAGTGAAACCGGGTTGCACTTGGTCATCCCATGTTCCTCGAGTAGGTACGTGATATATTCCTCTTGATGCATCCAGAGCTCTCAGGACTTGCGATCGCGAATGAATTGGACCCCCAGGTATTTTGTTATGGGGCTGAGGTCCGTGATCCCGAAGCGTTCGGCAATCTGTCCTTTCGTGCGATCCAGGAATGCACGATTATTCGATCCTGTGAGTCCATCGTCGACATGCCATGCTATAATGCATACAATTCTCACCCCCTCGCCGTTGATGTGATTGAACACGAAAACAGCGTAGTCAGCCTCACAGCGCAGAAAGCCGAGCCATGCGAGCACCTCTCGCAGGAGCTCGTACCAGTTGTACGCTGCTTGCTTGAGTCCGTAAAGCGATGAGAGTAGGTGGGCGACGAGACGGGAACCATCAGAGTCGAGACGCTCGAAGCCGGGGGGTTGCTTCATGTAAACATCCTCTCGTAATTTTCCCCACAAAAAGGCCCGTTTTGCGTCGAAAACGTCAAGTTCCCAGTCGTGTAAGGTTGCATAAGCCGAGATGATGCGGACGGAGGAAGATTGAGCCACCGGTGCGAAGGTGCGGCCGAAATCGACACCAGCTATTTGAGAAAAACCTTGAGCTACCAGCCTGGCCTTGAAAACAGCCCCCCCCCTTGAGATCTTGTTTAAATTCAAGTACCCATCGGCATCCTATTGCTCGCCGGTTAGGAGGCAAGGCCACGAGCTCGTATACATTCATCTCAGACATGAGATTCATTTCCTTGCGCATTGCAGCCAGCAAGTGGTCACTGTCAGGCCGCCGCATTGCCTCATCAAAGGTAGCTGGTGGCACTTTGAGGTTGTACCCGGGTGATAAAGGATTCTGGCGTGTGTCGCTCCGGATTGAGAGGCAGGTGACCTCGACAGCAATCAAGTTGGCAAGTACCTGTGGGAATCCGGCTTCGTCGTCTTCGACGGGTATAGTGTCGGGATCCACAGCAGTGGGAGCAGGAGTACTTGGCATTGGTGCAGGCGTATTGACGATAGGCACCACAGGGACATGCCCATCAACAGTGGAGGGAGGTATCCCATTGATCCACACATTCCGGAGTTCACGCTGATGTGCTAGGCGGGTCTTATCAGCGATGAGACCATTTTTGAGTGACTGACCCTTCTCTGTGAAGACAGGAATACGTCCAGATCGCTGGATTATGGTCGCATGAGGAGGTGATATGGCAGGAGGAGGGATGGGGGGTGCTGGTGGCGATGATGCAGGAGCTGGTGGCGATGAAGCCGCCGGGACACACGTGGCGTCCTCATCATCGTCATCACTGTCAGGAAAGGGCCGGTTAGACAGTGTCTCATCAAAGATGACATCACACGAATTAAAGAACATGCCCGTCATGGTGTCACAACAGCGCCACGCTTTGACACCGGGTGGATATCCCATAAATATAGCTTCACGCGAGCAAGGGCCGAGCTTCTGCTGTAGCTCGGAAGGAATGCGCGCAAAGCATCTTGCACCGAACACGCGGAGATGTGAGAGGTTGGGCTTGCTGCCGTGAAGCATCTCATAGGGCGTTTTGCCCGTAGGTAGCGCGCGCGACTCTGTCCGGTTGAACAAGTAACAAGCTGTAAGTGCTGCTTCTCCCCAAAGGTTTGGGGCCAAGTGAGCAAAGTCTAACATTGCAAACATCTGACCTTCAATTGTCCGCATGACTCTCTCTGCCTTCCCGTTCTGTTGATGGGCATAGGGAGCAGAACGCTGACGTTCCACTCCAGTCTCCTCAAGGTTTGCAGTGAAGGCATCATTGACAAACTCCCCTCCGTTGTCGGAACAAAACACCTTGACACGTCTTCCAGAGAGATTTTCCCATCGTGCGCAAAGAGTATGCCAGGCTTCAAGAGCCTGATCCTTCGACGCTAAGAGCTGGAGGTCGAGTGCGTGAGTGTGATCGTCGAGGAAGATGACGAAATACTGCTTTCCATGAGGAGTGATTGTTGGAATTGGCCCGCACACGTCGCTGTGGATGAGATCAAGGAATGCGGACGCACGTTCCGTTTCCGAGGCATGGAAGGGTTGCCGAGGATGTTTCGCGAGGATGCAAGACTCGCAATGGGACAATGGAGAGGCAGAATGGATTGTGACACCGTCAGCCACGCGATTGAGACGCATGACTGCATCTCTGCCAATGTGGCCGATGCGCGCATGCCACAAGTCCAGGGACAGGGGAACATCGGTGAATGCCGAGACCTCGGGCATTTGCGGCAGGTTGGGAAGACAGGCCGTGAGGGGGATGAACTCAATATCCAGCGCATAGAGCTTGCCGGTTGCTGGAATGGAGCCGAGTGGTGAACCCTTGTAAGCAAGTTCACAGGTCATACTGGCACGAAAGTTGACGTCCCATCCTTTGGCATTCATGCCACTTATGGAGAGCAGATTCAGCAAGGTGCCCGGCGCGTGAAGACAGTTGGCAAGCCGGACACGAAGTCTGCGCTGACCGATGGTGAACCATGCTATACAGGTACCCCGCCCAGTCGTTTGAAGGACCCCATGGTTGGCAGTGAGCACGCTAACCGGCTCCTCAGTTGAATAGGTGTAAAAGAACCTACGGTCTTTGACAAGTGTGACCGTGATACCTGAGTCCAAAATCGTCGTGAACGGGAGGTTTGTGGCGCAGGTGACTTCGTCTGGTACCTCCGTAATGGATGCAAAGGATAGGTCATGCATAAGGCTGGAGATATCAGTAGCAGCCGCTGCAATGACAGGTGCCGGCAAAGAACTGAATGTAGGAGGGGCCGCTGTAGTAGCAGCTGCAGCCACACCCGTCTTGTCCTTGGTGTCCTCCTTTTTCCGATTGCGCATCCATGGTGCCTGGCCTTCCATTCCACCTCCCTTCCCGTAGCAGTGTCCATGGTCATGGTCTCCCTTGTTGCACCCAGGTGTGGTGCAGAAGATGCCATCTGGGTTGTGCCTATGCTTACAGAGTCCGGTGATGGGGTTAATGTGCGATGGCGCAGCAGAGGAAGAGGTCGCATTGGCGTATTCTGAGCTGGGACAGGCGTTGCTTATAGAATGTGAGTGCACATGTCGTGCTGCTTCAGCGGTAATGTGAGACACACAACTTTCCACTGTGAAGACTGAAACAGCACCTGGCAGCGCTGTCATCACCTCATCATGCATGCGCTGCTCCAGCATAGCGCGGAACTGCTGCCAGATGGGCGTGTGAGGGAGGCCTATGAGTAGGCTATAGATGGCATCGCCATCGCGCATTGCTGCACCTGAGTCCCAGAGGCGCTCTCGAAGTACTTCATGTTGACCAACATAGTTGGTGGCATCAGTGGAGTCCTTCATCCATAGAGCATCTAGACACTGTCGTAGTTGATATTGAGTGCTAGTGTCAGTCTGATTGAAGTGTTCAGCGAGAGTTCTCCAGGCATCATGAGCTAAGACAGTGTGTGCGTGTGATACCAACGTGCTAACGGATGCACTAAGGCGACAAGTAATGAGATCCTTAGCCTTAATGTCTTCCAACAACCACTCTTGCATTGCCGTTCTTTCGGCGGGCGTAATGTTGTCGGGATCGACGGGATCAGGAATGAAAGATGGCGCTCCAAGTAGGTCTGTTGGGTCGGGATTCATGTTGATATGGCACCAAAGGTCTTCACATGCGAGAGCATATTGCATCTTTGTGGACCAACCTACATAATTTTCCATACCCAGTAGCTCGGGAATATGATCAAATTTGCCCATGGCGATGCCGCCGTGAGGATGGATGTGAGAGCGTGAGCGGCGAGTGACCGCGAGTGAGATTTCTTGTCTTGTAGTCTCATTTGATGGTTCAGTAAGAACCAGGGCTCATAACCTGTGGAAGGGTAAGGCTAATAGACAAGTCTCAGCATCGTAGTAATAGAACCACTGATATTGGTAGTACCTAATAGACAAGTCTATACGTGAAACGGAGTCAGAGGTAAACGGCGTGCAAGTGGAAATGAAACATACCTCAGTGTCGTAGTAATAGAACCGCTGAGGTATGAATCACGTGAAGCTAGGGATTATATATTATGGTATTGAGTCCGGAATATCAAAGATGAAAAAGGAAAACGACAGAGTGGAGCGATGACGATGTTGAATTCAATAAGCTAGAATTGACAACAAGACAATTCAACATGCCAAAGTGTGATCCCAACAATGCTCCGATGATAAGCAACGGCCCGATCATTAACCACAGTGCCGGGAGCCCAAAGATGATCACCTTGGCGGAGATGAATGAAACCTCCATCTTCATTGCGATAAGGCCTGTAGGAAATACGTGTGAATGCAGAACTGACAAACGAGAAGCTCAATAAACATACCAAATATTAGTGTCAGTGCCTCTGCGCTAGGAAGCAACCACGAAAAGACAACAAAGAAACGGAGGATACCAGGAAGCACGCTCATATGCCAACCAATGAGGAATCCCCTGACAGCGAAGAGGAATTCCAGTGCAACAGCGATAGCCATCGTAACATAAAGAGCGTGAAGAGGTGCCCACGGGAACTTGGAAGAATGCTCCAAGAGCTGCAATGGACCACATCCCGCGGTTGATAGTGAGTGCGGCAAGTTGTTGCTGCAAGTTGAACACCATAAGCTTCCTCTCTGAGACGTGCATCATCTGCCCAAATGATCGAGACTGTCACGATACCGTAGAGAGAGCCGGTAATTTGAATGAGGAATGACAGGTATGCAAGGTAGCCTGCATTGCAGACGGAGTGATAGAGGTCAAAAAGTTGCGTGCTGAGTCCAGGGTCCATTGACATCACACCGACGGCCTTTTTGGGAGTAGCAGTGGAACGATCTGCAAGCCCGGGCCATGCAGCAAGTACCGTACACTTTGCTAGACCTGAGTCCAATAGGGCACTATCAGCTTGAACGCCTCGAACCGGAACTCCATAGATGCAACCACTTACTACCCGTATACCTTTGCTCTGCAACATAATTACAAGTGGACGTTTCCGAGTGACCTGGGTCTTCTCTGGCTTCGTTATAGTATCTCACGAAGGAACTCTGCAGTCGTGGCTCTTCAATGGCCTCAACAACCTCGTTGGATTTTCCCATGGAGAGAAAAATAGAAGCGATAACCCAGGTCTGGCACCATCCAATTGCCGCAATGATAGGTGTTGATAGCTGGCAGGAATAATTGAGGATGAAGTCTCGAACACTGTTCAACCACATGCTGCGAGTCGTGAAGCTGAAAGCTGAAAATCGTGCACTGAAGAACTCAGGCCCTAAGGCCTGAGGCTTGAGTGTCGTTTAGCGCTCAAGAATTGATCGTGCCATCATTCGGGTCAAAGGAAGCTCCGCGAGTGGCAAAAATAAACCTTACTATTGCTAACTGTTCTGTGTTAATGAAGCTTTCGCAAGCACATGACTTGCAACGCGGAGTTACGGGACTCGTATTCATGAAATATACATATGTATATGTTTTGATGAACCTGTGCCAGTGGGGAGCCAGGCACAGGACTGTCCGAGTCGCTTGAATCCCGGGGATATCGATATTGCAGCTAGAATTATCATATATCATGATTGATATTGATAATCACTAGCACCAACAGGACTCTCAGATCCACTATGGTGTGCTGTGACGAGCTGCGATGGAGGAGGTCATGCATGCAGGCAGCCGCATGAGCATCTCATTTCCTGCTTTGCCCATATGTATCACCTTACCGTTGCTCTTGTAGTGGTGAGAGTTCCAATGAAACAAGGCGGAGGAAATCAAGACACAATATCGCTCTTGGCTCTCCTGTACTCCAACTAGCATCAGGTCCGTCATCGCATGAGTACACTGGAACAACATTATATTTCAACATTGGGAGGCGATAACGGTAGCTTCTGCAAACAGTGAATGTCGCAAAATCCTACATCCTAACAATATATGCGCAGTGTTCTGGCGATGTCTGCAGTATATCACATGCCGCTCAGTCATCTTTGTCACTGTCCAATGCCTTGCGATCGACTTTGGGAACGATCAATCGAAAACTGGTGCTGCTCAATGACTGTTTTCTTGTTAGGTTTCCCTGCTAGATTGTGAGCAGTCACCTTTATTAGGAGATGTTGTGCAAACTCACATTGTCAGGGTGGGATTGCTAGAATTCGTGAATTCTAGCCGAGGGACTATGTACCACGAGCGAGAAGTTTGTATTCGCTTTGGATCGGGCGAACACCAGTAATTTGGACGCGATACTGTAGATTGGGAGGTTGGGTGTTGACCGGGACCAGCCAAGTACTCTGTTCCAATCTCAATGCTCTTCTGGGTAACGTTGCAGAAAGCACTTCTCTTCACACGAGCGAGGACATGTGTCAAAAAGTGACACCCTTGGCAGCACTTTGACGATGTTCTCACGGTATGTGAGACCCTATTTTTACGTTGCCAACAAAAGGTCTAAGAGACTACTTCCATTAGGATGTCTCTCCCTAGTTTCGTAGGGCTGTCTGATTCTCCCTCCAGAGCTTATATGTGGAACCTCTCACAAAGGGTGAGTTCATCCTCATCATCTCCAGATCCTCCGCACCTGATGTTCTGTTGGTGCGATGTCCGTGAGGGTGACCTCCGAGTCTTGCCGGAGATCCTCTGCGTCTGACTTGGATGTTTACATCTCCGTATGTTGGTGTGATGTCGGATGTATATTTCAGAGTACGTCCACGATGACAGATGATATGTCAGAGTTCCTATATGTTAGACTACATGCTTCCAATTCATTTTTTTTTCTTTCCGTTTTTTGTCATGAGGCATGAATCAGACAGAAGGCCATGCATTAACTAGTATCTAGTATGGCAAATACAACGATAGGAAAAGGACATAAACGGTAAGATGGGTCAGATGCAACACTCAATGTCAAGATCGTATATAACAATGCAAAAAAAATGTGAGCGACCGAGGCAGTCCAATAAATGCGACATATCAAAGGTCCGTCTGATCATCAGAATAATCAGGACCGTACATATGATACCCTCCCCCCCCAGAGCCATAATATGGGTTGCTGGAGGGGTGCCAATAATCTTCACGGTACTCGCGAGGGTCGTGGTCATGGTAGTGACCATCATGATATCCACCGCCACAATAGTGGGTTTCATCATACTGCTGAGGGGGCTGAGAGCCGGAGGTTGAGAACTGCGAGGAGGTTGAGAACTGCGACTCGGAGGAGGTTGAGAGCCGCGAGATGGCTGAGGAGGCTGTGATCCACGAGGGGGCGGAGGGCCATGTTGCATACGTTGATCATAATAACCGCGCTGGTAATCGGATGGCGGATAGCGAGGGAACCCACGGCCAGGACCGTGTGGATGACTGTCTCCATACGGAGGATCGTTCCATGTCGAGTGATAACGTGGCTCCATGCGTAATCCCTGACGTGGACCATACATGCCTTCATCGGCCTGAACAAGATCTTGTCTCATATTGGCATCATGGGCACGCTCAGTGGCTAGATCTCCCTGCTGAACCAGCGCATCAACATTTTCTCCGCTCTGCTCATCATTGGGTGAGGTTGGAGTGGGAGTAACATTGTCGCTTGAAGCAGGAGCAACACTCTCTGGGGCACCTGCAGCAGAGACAACATGGTCTGTGAGCATGTGGGAAGGCTGGCAACGCATTGGTGAGGGTGATGCTGGTGACTTAGGCCGAGGAGGAAGCCTGTCATCAAGCTCAGCGTGGCCCAGAGTAGCACATGCAGCAAGCTCGGTGTTATCTAAAACAGTCTTGTTCGTGGAGTCATTCTCCTCGCATGCTACAGGGGGCTTGACTGGACGGGGCTTGGGGTGCTCTAAATATATGGTTAATCTACTAGTGAGAGGATAGCGAATCAGTACAATACCTTTGACACCTTTGAGTTCGGGTGGGCCATCGCGAAGGTGTTTGGCAGCATCACCAAGCATTTCATCGTCAGACGACTCAATGATTTTAGGCTTCCTTACCTTCTCGGTTCCTCCCTTAGTCCTTGTGGGTGCCTTGTCTTTATTTACCTTAGGCACAGGTGTCTCAGTAGACGAAGCCCTCTTCTTGGCTGCTCGTGAGCCACCCTCTGACTTTGCCTTCCGCTTCTTGGACGTAGCCTTGTCCTCATAGTCAGAGTCAGCCTTCTTAGTAGTCTCATCCTCCAAACCAGATTGGGCATCGCTAGATGTGAGAGAGATCACTTCCTTTGACTTCACGACCTTCTGTTGCTTCGGGAGCTGCACGACCTTGAATTCACAAGCAGGAGGTCTACCGATGGGTATGTTGGGGGGACCATCAGAGTCGGAGTCGCCAGAGTCATCAGAAAGAGAGAGTGGGGAATGACGCAAGGTTGGTGCCTCCTGAGAGGTCTTGCCTTTCCTTTTGGTGACAGCCTTACTAGGCTTCTCGCAAGCAAGGCCTTTGCGGTCAGAAGTGCCATTCGCAAAAAGACGACATCCTGCTGCATGGATGGAATCCACTGGGGGACGTGCCCCCATCACCACTGCGCACTCAGAAATGAGAATTTTAGCTGTATCAAAATGCGCCTAGATGTCAGAACACAGGAATAAGATAAGTCGAAGGTGTACCTTGCTTTTCCTCCCGAACCTTGATTAGTTGCATGGTGCCCGCCTTCAATGCCATGATGACCTCACTAGCTTCCTTCAGAGTGAGATTGGCAATGCCCTTGCTCTTCGAAGCATGGTATTCCCCAGGGAGTATGACATCCTCAGGGTAGCCCTTTATCATCATTCCCTGGCGTGTGAGCTCTCCTGGAAGTGTATTCCATGGGAACTTCTTTGACGAAAGAAATTTGCCGCCCAGGTTCGCTGTCACTCCTCATTAATGCAAGAAAGAGCAGGAAGATATACTAACACATACAGAGTTGGCGAGAGATCTCTGCCTTGATCCACCTGGTCCCGTCCTTGGCTATATTGATGGTGTCAGATAGGGCAATCGAAGCCTCACGGCCGCTGGGCACGTCTGGCTGGGTTACAATATTATCTCCTGGGAAGGCTTCCTCGACAACAACGAGTGACGTCAAATCACTAAATATGCAGAGCTCAGTCACTACCAAGTTCTCCGAAGGATATGAGCAACTTACTATACATGTGCCTTGAGATGCCCGATGATTGTATCATCATCAGCCTTACAACGTGAGAGCCAGAACTGTGAGAGTGTGAGCATGTGACGTTGAGGTCAAATTCAAATCAGAAGAGTGAACTTACACCAGCAGCTCCCAGAGTTGTATGAGCCATGCCAAGACCACCATCTTGATTAACGACTTTCCCACATGCCACCAAAGTTGCTTCAAATCCGAACCGTGCAGCTCCTCCATCCATCTATATCTATTCAATATTATGATACTACCAGTTGAGATGTACGTACCACTGCAACGATCTTCTTAAAAAACTTTTGAAACTCCTGTGCGCACATGGCAACGGTCTGAGGGACACCACTAAGAAGTACAGACTGGCCGTGGTACTCTAGGATAGTCTGCCAGGTGTCCAGATACGCTGCTTTAAATAGCTCATAGCAGTTACGGCGTACAGTAGCGCCTGGACAAAAGATTTTTTTTTAAAACATAGCAAGAGTGAGAAACACTCACTTGGTGTTCCTGGTACATCCGGAGCCTTGCCACCGAGTCTGTCAAGCTCCTGCTTAAGATTATCCTTGAAGTAGCCGCTATACGCGTTCCAATGGTTAACACTATTGACGCCGCGAGCATGGCTCTTGTGCCATAATGAGATGACTTGATGGGTGGGGATGGAGGTTTGACGACTGAGCTCATGCACAAGGCGTTCCATTTTCACAAAACCCTCGCGAAGGATGTCGTTCGTCGCATCGTGCCTCCGTCCTTTCACAGCAGGGATGATATCTTCATTACCATCCATCAGAACATCATCGAGATCACAACCTCCCAATGCTGGATCGATTTGAAACATGGGGGTCGGAGGTATGACACGTGTCTCAGGAATGGACGGTATTGTAGAGGGAGCAGTGGTGGTAGGCAATGTAGATGGACCAGGAGGGCCATTGAAGTCGTTGAAACCAGTGGTTGTGGATGATGTAGAAGGACCAGGTAAGTCGTTCTGAAAGCCAGCAAAGTCGCCGCTAAAGTCATATGTCTCATACTCCACATGAGCAGGCTTAGTAGATAGATTTGGTTGCGGAGGTACCTTGGGAGGGACTATGACGGGATCATAGAAAAGATCCTGAAGAAGTACGCTCTGGTGTGCTGGTG